AAAGCTAGGGTTTCTTAAATTTTTTACATAATAAGTATTTCTTAAGTATTTATTATCTTTAGCTTTTAAGATTAAAGTTATTAAGTATAAAATTTAAAAAGTTTATATATATTAGCTGCCTTATATAGTTCCTTTTCTTGCTATAAAGGATATTTATTATATATAAGTAATACTTTTAAGTTAATATATTGCTTATTAGCGCTTTTTTTAATATTAATTTCTTTTTTTTAAAGGAATTTCTTAAAGTTTTAAATAATACTTAACTTTTTAAACATTATTATATTTTAAAAAGTAAAGTCTTTTATAAAGCATTAAAGTAAATTATTATTTATATTTTAATATTTTATTATTTCCTTTATAAACTTAAGAATAGCAGTATTTACTTAATTAATTATATTATTTATTTTTATTATTAATTTATCTTAATAGCTAAGATTAATTTATTAGCTTTAAAATCTTTTATTAAGGTTAAAAAGTAACTAAAGTTTTTATATAAAAGCATTATTAATATTTAAGGGTATTTTCTTAATATTATTATTAAATTTAGTTATTTTATTAAGCTATTAAAATGTTTAAGTAATTTATATATAGGGAAAAAAGAAAGAGGGTAATTAAAGGGATGTAATAAGGTTGTTTTAAAGCATAGAAAGAAAGTATTAATTGTGCAATAAAAGAGTGTTTATTAAAGAGTGTTTTATTTATTAACTTAAGTAAATATAAATTATTATTTATGCTAAAGTAAAGTAATTATAAGCACTTTTAGCATTAATTATATAATGAAATGCGCTATATAGTTAATAAATCCAAGGCATTATTAAGGATTTATTAATTAATAAGTTAAATCTTTATAATAAAAAAGTTAAGGCATTATTAATTTCTTTTTATTAATTTTAATTATAACATAGCTATTAATACTTAGTTAAGTAGGCTTCCGTTATTAATAGTTGCTTACCTTTATAATATTAATATTAATTATTTAATATAAATATTGCAACTTAATTATAATAATTCCTATTATTAATAATTGCTGCTTAATTAATAATAATATAAATTTATTGCTTGCTTACCTTGCTATTTATAATTACTTATAGGTAATTACTAATTAATATTAATTGGGTTAATGTATATTAATTAATAGTAAATTAGTTATATTTAAATTAGCTATATAAAAGGAAGGAGGGTTGCGGCCATAGGCTGCAAAACTTCCTTCTGGCTATAAACTATCTAGGGGTAATTACGTGCTGCCGCACGTGACCCTTGCCTGCCGGTGCTCTAGTGCTAATTGCCCATAGTGCCTAGTGCTGCTATCCCCCTATAGCACGTCCATAACCATAAAAATAATAATATCTTTAATTAAAATAATTACTTTTAAAAAATTTATCTTTAATATTATTATAAAATACTTAAATTAAAGCTTAAAAAATAAAGATAATAATAAATATAATAAATAAATAAACTTAATAAAATAAAATTTTATTTAAAAATAAGTATTATAAAGTTATAATAATAAAAGCCTTTTAAATATATATTTAATACTTTATTTATTAATATTATATTAAATTATTAATAAATTAAATTTAAGTTTAATTAAAGCTTAAATAAAGTTATACTTTAAATTTAAACCTTTTATATAATTTAATTAATATTAAAATATATAATATAATATTATTTATTAAACCTATAAATAAATAAAATAAGTACCTTAATTCCGTATTATAACCCTTTTTACTTTAAACTTAAGATTATAATAATAATAATAAATATTAATTAAAAGCTTAAAGTATTTTTAATTAATATTAAGTAATATTTATAAAGTTTAAATTTATTATTTTAATTTTAAGTTTATATTATTGCTATATTTAAATATAATCTTTGGCAAAAAAACTTAAAATAAGTTTAAAGCTTAATAATATATAAATATAAAATTAAAATAATATTTTATTTAAATATTAAAAGCATAAAAGGTATCTTAAAATTAAAAAGTAATTTTAAAATATTTATAATATTATTATAAATTTAATTATATTTAACTCTTTTTTATAATAAAATAAAGATAAATATAAGCTTTAATTAAAGCTTTAAGTTAAAATATAAAATAATTTAATAATATTTAATATATAAATAAAAATAGAAATAAAATTAATAAATAATTAGCTTATAGCTAACTTTTTATTCTTCTTATTATTAATTAAAAATGCATAAAATTAAAATTAAGCTTAAGTTAAATTATTAATAAAAACAAGCTACTTAAATAAATAAAAATAGGTTTTGTTAAACCCTTTTAAAAATAACTTAAGAAGGAGCTTTAATGTAATAAAGAGAGAAAATAAGAATAAAAGGAAATTAAAAAAGGGAAAAGGCAAATATTTAAAAAATTCTTAAAAATAAAAAAGGCTTAATTAAAGCATTAAAGGTATAAGAAGAGAGAAGAGTTAATTTCTTAAAAGAATATTTAAAACAAGCATAAAAGCTACCTTTTTATAGCCAGCTAAAATCTAGCGCAATATCATTCCTTACGTATTTCCCTGCTCCCGTTAATAATATAAAAAGTTAATATGTTTTATTATTTATAAGTATTTAAGGTACTTATTACCATATAAGTTAATTTGTAAAATTAAGTTTTTTAAATAATTAAATTATTAAATTTATAATAAATAAATAAATAAATAATAAAATTAATGTTAAATAAATTTTATATTTTAATAAATATATTAAATAATAAATAAAGAATATATATTAAATATTAATATTAAATAATTATAAAAGTTATATATATTAATTAAGTTTAATTAATATTATAAGAATAATATTATTATCTTTATTAATATATTAATATTTTTTTTTACTTTAATTATTAAATATTATATTATATTTATTTTTAAAATATATATATAATAATTAAATTAACTTTTTTATTTAAGTATTTATTAATTATATTATTAAATTTAAGTTCTTTTTTATATTTATAATAACTTATAATAAAATCTTTATAAAAATAATATTAAATTAATATTTAAAGGAATTAAAATCTTGCTTTAAAACTTAAATTTTATTAATTTTAAAGCTTAATATATGCTTATAAATTCTTATAAAATCCCTTCCTATCTTTCCTTAATATTAAAAATCTTAAATATTATTTAATGCTTAATAAATTATTAAGTAATTAAATTTTATTAAAGGCAAGATTTTTATTTATTAAGAAAGCTTTTTTATATTAATTATAAACGCTATTAATTAAATAATAAAAAATATATAAATAATAATATATAAACTTATTATTTTAAAAAATTATATTTATATTTTTAAGGATATTAATATAATATTTGCTAAATATTAAAGGGCTAAAAAAACTTAAGTATAGCTTAAAAAAATACTTATTATTAAGGAATTTTAAGCTTTTATTGAAAAAAAATAAAAAGGGAAATAATTAATTAATAAAATAAATAATAATATTAAAAAGGTAATTTATAATAAATTAATTAAATAACAATATAATAATTATAATAAGATTAAGCATAATATAAAAACTTATAAAAAAGATAAAAAAGGGTTTAATTAATTAAATTTTAATTATATTATAATAAATTTAGCTTAATTAACATTAAATAATATAAGTATTCTTTTTAATAATTTATAATAAATTATATTTTTAATAATATAATTAATATTAATTTTTTATTAAAGATTATTTATTTTAAACTTATATTATATTTATATTAATTATTTTAAATTAATTAAAATAAAAATAAAGAATTAAAAGTAATTAATATTAATTAATATTAACTTTTTATTTATTTATTAACTTTAAAGTAATATTAATATTAATTAATTAAAATTAAATAAAGTTATAAAAATTTATTTTTTATTAATATTTATTATTTATTAATAAATTATATTATTTTATTAATATAAAATAAAAATAATTATTTATTATGGGCTGGCCCCAGAGGGGCTGCAAGCTAGCTAGCGCCTTCTCCCATAAGCTGCAAAGCAGCAACCTTTTAACTAAGCCAAAAGGTACGTAATAATCCAAGCTCCCTTGGATTACCTAGCTAACCACTATAAAGCTTGGGCTTTTAGCCTAAGCCCATTACATAGCCCCCTTCCCTAACTATTAATGGCGCATAATTACCCCTAAGGCTTATTCACAATATTACCTTTTTAAGCTAAGGTTCTTCTTTATAAAAGGGATACCTATATATTACAATAAACATAACTTAAACCTTTAACCCTAAAGCTTAAATTATTTATTATAAGCTGGCCCTAAAGGGGCTATAGGCTGGCTAGCGCCTTCTCCTATAAGCTGCAAAGCAGCAACCTTTTAATTAAGCCAAAAGGTATATAATAATCCAAGCTCCCTTGGATTACCTAGCCAGCCACTATAAGGCTTGGGCTTCCAGCCCAAGCCCATTACATTATTTATTATTTTATAACTTTTTATATAATTAAATTTAATATATTTTAACTTTTAAAAACCTTAAATAAATTAATTAAAATATAATTTAATAAAATATATATAATTTAATAAATATAAATTTAAAAAAATATAATTTTAAGTTTTTAATTATTTAAATATTTAAAAAAAGTATTTTATAATTATATAAATTATTTTAAATTTTAAATAAGCTTTTTTAAAAATTTTATACCCTTTTAAAAATTATAAAATAATTATAATATAATAATTATTCTTATAATAATTTTTAAGGGCCCTTTATTTAAACATATTTAATTTCTAATACACTTTATACCTTACCTTATAAACGCTGCTACCTTACTCAGTTTTACACTCTCAAGAACATGCATTCAACTAGCAGGTAAGGAGTTTGTAAACAACAGAAGTAACTCAATTTATCTGCACTACAAAGAGAAGCCCTACACACCCCATCGTGCACATACAGTATCATCTTTGGAATAGGATGTTTTTTTTCTCTCCCTCCCATCATCTTTCACTCCCTTTATAGCTTTATCATGTTTCCAAAGCAGCTCGTTTGCGCCGAGGCTCACAGAGCCTTGACGGTGGAAATGGCTGCATCCTTCTCTGTCTCGAGCTCCATCTTGACATCCCCGACGTTCATCCTAGCGACCTTGGCGTCGTCGCCATCGAACACTTTTGCGACCTCCTCCAACGTCAGACCCTTTGTCTCAGGGTAGAAGAAGTACACAAAGACGAGATAGCAGAAGTCCAGTATCTGGATGAGGAGTTAGATGTGTATCCAGTAGGACAGCAATCAGCCAGTGTTTCATCAACTCACAGTATAGAACATCGCAAGCGTCCATGCATGTCCAGCAGCGGTGAAGCTATCCCAAGCGATTGGGTTGGTGTAACTGACAATTACGGATCAGCCACAAGTGCATGTATGGAAAGGAATACGCTGGGCCGATCTACCTTCCTAGGACAATGAGCCCCTTTACAAAGATGGTCTGGATCACACCGGCCTTTGCTCGCAGGCTATACGGCATGATTTCTAGCGCATAGGCCGCCATGACGCCCGTCCAGGCAATCTGGTAGGCGACTGTGAACAACCAGATAAACGCGATCTGAGGATAACCGAATCTCGCCAGATCCTGGGTCCGCTCATACTGCGAACTAATAATGGTCCAGCCCATGTATGCGAGCACGATACCGGCGGTCGACGCGAGGAAGAGGGGACGGCGCCCGAGACGATCAATGAAAAGGGAGAAGGTGACCGAGACGACCAGAGACAGTATAGTCTGGCCTCCGCTAAGCTGTAGGACTCATCTATTAGCTTTCGTCCCCGTGCCAGGCGAAAGATGGGGCCAAGGGGAGCAGGAGGGACGATGGTCATCGCGCCGTCTTACGAGGATCTTGTTCGTCTGCTCATGAATACCAGCACCCTCGTATATCTTGTTGGCGTAGTTTGAGAATAGATTACTGCCGCTGTACTGCGATACCATCGCCAGCGAGACGAGCAAAAGAACGCGATACCTGTTCCCTGCGGTTCTCGCAAAGTCAAGGAAGCTGCTTGACTTCTTAGTCTGGAACTCGAGCGCCAGCGTCTGCTTCATCTCTTGGAACTCAAACGCGACCGTCTCGTTGGCCCTGTCATTGTTGCCGTGGTACCGAGCCAACATCTCCTCGGCCTGTTCGTATCTTTCCTTGGCGACCAGCCAGCGCGGCGACTCGGGTATCCAGTGGATAAAGGCGAGCACAAGTACCGCAGGGAAGGCCTGTAGGAGGGTGAGCGAGCGCCAGGACCAGTCTCCCGCGATGCGGATGGTGGCCAGCGCCAGCCAGGCGCACGAGGTGGACCCGACACCATACATGCAGTTCACAATGGCCGAGGCCTTTGCCCGGTGCTGAGGGTGGGCTACCTCGGTAATAAGCAGGCCAGCCATTCCGCCGTTGAAGGAGCTTCCGAAACCAAGAATGAATCGGCCGGCCATATACACTGCGACACCGCCTCGCGTTAGCCTTTCTCGCCTTCAGCCTTGCCCAACTCGGAGAAGAAGAGCCATACTCCCGTAGCCATTGGAGAAGGCGCCGATGAAGGCACCAATCGCCTCGACGACACAGCCAATGATGATGGGCGTCTTCCGCCCGTAGTTGTCCGCGAAGAAGGGCCTGTGCGGGTTTGACATATAGCCAGTGAGCGACCACTCAATCGTATTGCTGCTAGCATCCTCTCCACGGGGTCTACTTACACCATCCAGAAGCTACACAGAGATCCAATATCGAGAATTGCTACTATGATGCCAAGTCTACCGCCAGTGGGCCTGTCGAAATGGACCTGCCATTGGTCCATGACCTGGGACGTGTTCATGAGCTTCCTGGAGGATCATCATGTCAGTGTATTCAACGCACAAGTCGCGATTGGTCATAATACAGCAATGATCTGACTCAATTTGAAGTGCTTCTCTTGGCATTCGTGAGCAGAACCGACTTACGCGTCAAAACCTGTCGACGCTGACATCCACATCAGAATACCGCACCAGAAGTATAACCTTCGGAGCCCACGGTCCTTCCACCATACTACCGGCTCGAATTCAGGAGCTTCAGCCAGGGCAGCTTCTGCCTGTGTATGCTTGGCTCCACGGCCGAGGGCGATTTGGACCATCTCTAGACGCAATCAATCTATAAGTTGCAGCAGCGGGGAAAAACAAATAACGTTGAACGGAGTGGTCCTGGAAGTACTGGGTGATATCAATCTCTTCTGAATAGAACTTGCCCTTTGCTCTCTCACAATACAAAGGGGTATTTCCAGGCGGCGATTGATCAAGTCAAATACTCAACAGACGTGTCACATTGGCGTCTTCATATGTGTCCACGGTTGCATACCCATGGGGGGGAGACCCGGGGGGGGGAGACCATGGGGACGGGGATGAGCGCGCGCGGGTAACGCCGCCGGGTCTGCTGATCTCCTTGAACTCTCTCTGACATGCGACGAACCTTAATCTTCCCCGAGGGTGCAGTGCATTGCAGTAGCAAAGGAAGTGCGCTCAAAGGAATCAATGCTCTGTCTTGGAATATTTCAAACCAGACTGAATGTTTATTCACCCCTGGTATGCAAAGAAAAGGGGGAGGCTGGAGCCTAGGCTTTCCCATGTGCCGCCGCTTTGCTCGCCTGTTCGAAGCACTTATTCACCTTGTTTCGCGTCGCGAATGCGAAAAGCTTATGTTAGGTTCTCGGCCCGCTCTCCCTCCCCCCTTTGTGTGACAAATGCCATTGACATTCTGACCTTGGACTTGGCGCATGGAAAGTTCATCGCATTACGACGATCACGCTCGCCGCCGAATCCAGTACCGGCCACTGCAACAACCTTCCTCACAACGCTGACAAGTACTTTGAGTTCTGTTGATGGAACATAGGAGGCCGGCAGTTGCAGTCTGAGTGCGTCCCACCGCATACAGCAGCAAGTGTAGTACAGGGCGACCCGGAAAAGATCATCCATGTCGCTACAACGCCCCACAAAGAACGTAACAATCTCCAACTAATAACAGCTTATGATTTATCCTTTCCTTGATTAAACCTATATTATTATAGCACATTCAAAATGTAATGCTATAAATAAGCTACCTTTTTCTCCCTTATTTTTACCTTAAAAAGCTGGTATTTTTTTTTGTGGTGACGCATAGATAAGAAAGGAGAGGTAAGGGACCCTTCGCCAACGCCACAGAAGTCACAAATTATTAGGCTTCTTTGTCAGGTTTCGCTGTACATTAACCCGCTTGCGTACCCACATCGCACAAGATCCCATGCAGATTACGGATCTTGCTTGCAGAGTATCGCCCATGGCGATCTAGAAGCGAGGCATGCCCAGAGCCTCTCGCCGTCCTGTACTTGCAGGGTCCACATACGGTACTTCTCCAATACCGGATGCCCGGACGCCCAATCTGACTCCATCAGTGAGGTGCGTGTCAGGCTGGAGATTCTGATTAGTATCCTGATGCCATCGACCTTCTACGAGCGTCGTGCTAAGACCGAGGACTCACCGTGGCCGCATGTAGGGTGCAAGCATTGCTCCATATAGCACAAGCCCCCTTGGTCCAGTGCATCCTGGCGACGCAGTCGTGATTTCGCGTGATGAGCCGCATCAAGTAGTCCCTGATGATCTGGTCCTCATGCGCCCACACTCCATCGATCCTCGACACGTGCAAGCCCACGCCTGCGAACACACTCTTCCAGCCCGTCACCGGGTGGGTGCGGACCACTGGGTGGTGGGGCGCGAATGCGAAGTCGACGTTGAGAGGTGAGCCACGCGGCGACATGACTTGGTACCCGCCGGCCTCGCACGCCGACTTGAAGACGGGCTGCGCACACTCGGCCGTCAGGGTCTCGAGGAAGCATTGGAAGGGCGGCGAGAGCCGGTCGTACAGCTCATAGCCCGACACCCAGAGCGTGTCGCCCCCGGCGGCCGGAGTGGCCTGCATCCGCAAAAACGAGAAATCAGAGGGGCAGGTCTCGAAAAGACTGTCGCTGTGCCACTCGCGTCCGAGGTCTCTGGGCTCATCAGGGGAGGTGCCAGGACGCTTTTTCATGGTTGCGTACAGCTTCTTTTGGGCCTCGGAGTTGATCACGTAGCTTTGAAGAGTTGTCATCGGCTGCTCGTATAGTCCCTCTCCCTTCTGGCCGAGGAGACTCACATGTTCTTGTCCGTGGTGCCATCAGCCATGGGCACATTGTTTGGGTCGTTGTACAGAGGATGGACATGGAGGCCATTCTCGTCCGGCCGTCCCGTTAGTTTGCCAAGAAGATCGGTGACATTTTTTTGCTCGTCGATAGACAGATCATCCTGGGGAGCTCGGAAGAAGACCACGCCCCGCTCGCATATGGTGATGGCCAGGTCGCGAAGTTGTTCTTCAGCGTTATCTGCCGCGAGCATGTCTTTGATCCTGGCGGTGGGATACTCGCGGCCGATGACTGGAGTCACGTCGACATATTCGAGATAGTCAATCGATGACCCTTTGGTCAAGGGCGCACGCCTCAAATTCTCAGGTCGCACCGACCCCATCGCGTGTTGTTTTCAGAGGAGCCTTGGGGTAAAAGGTGCCCAGAAAGCCTGCGTCGGCACTCTCAGCGAAGTGGAATCCCTACAAGCCAATCCGTGCCTTGGTGTCGCCAAGTTGGGGAACGGAGACCTCGTGTCAGGCGGCCGAGACAGGCTTGTTCATATACTAGACATGCACCGCATTATCTTGGGTGATCTACAGCGAAGAGGAGCTGTATCAAGACCAGTCCATCAATCAGTTGACCGGACAGCCACCTGGCTCGCTGCAATTCGGGCCATCTTTGGCCCTCGTGTGTTGGAAAACTAGGACCATCACGCAGTCAGCAACGCCGTCGGCCTATCGTGTGCGGGGAATCTTGTTAACGCAGGGAATGCAGTCGATCAATGTGACCCATCTACCGGCAGTCGTCAGCATTTGAAGCTCAGCAGAAAGGGAAACATATGGAGAAACCTAGTGTCCCCGCCGGGTTCAGCATGTTCTCCCACAAGGCAAAACAATCTTGTGGCCCCCTTTGCCCCGAGAGAGAAGACGGACCCCAATGGCTGTGGCCATCCCGGATGAGTTGAATAGCGAACGAACAGCTGCATGCTCCGTGTTCAACACTCGAATCTGCATTTGACTCGGCTCATTTGAGCCATAGCAACCAGAAATTCACCATGGTTGCGGGCGCGGGCGCAGTCATCTCGAGCAATCCGCTCAAGCTCGATTACCGAAGCCACAGCAAGTGCCTCGCGATTTGCGCCGTCATTACCGTCTCGAGCTTCCAATATGGCCTGGACTACGCACTTGTCGGCGGCTTCATGGCCATGCCGGGCTTCCTCCGGGTCTTTGGGTACTTCGATGAATCAGCCCAGAAGTGGGCCATCGACACCACCGTCCAGCAGCTTATATCGTCGCTCATGACCGTCGGCACCTTTGTAGGTTCGCTCGCCATTGGGCCGTTTAGCTCTCGTTTCGGGCGGAGGAATGGTCTCTGGACCGCCTCGGCTCTGAATGCAATCTCGACGGGGATCATGATGGGTACCACGACTGTGGGGCCGCTCTACTTTGCGCGGTTCTTACTTGGTGAGAGTTCACTTCCCACTTGTCGTCGACTTGGCTCGTCTGACGGTCGTGAGTTGGAAAGGCATATCCGTGGGCTGGTTCCTCACCTTTGGCCAGGTCTACATCAACGAGGCAGCACCGGCACATCTGCGTGGCATCGTCTTCGCCGTCTACCAGACGCAGCTCAGCATCGGATCCGTCATAGGTGCAGCAGTGGACTATGGGACACACAATATCGAGACCAAGAAGGCGTACCGGATCCCCCTGGCACTCTTCTTCATTGCACCGACGGTCCAGTCCATCTCGCTCATTTTCTTCCCCGAAAGCCCCCGGGTAAGCAGCTTCCGGATACAATTTTTACCCTCTCTGGAGAATCGATTTCCTATCTGTAGCATGTACCTCAAAGGTATTGTTAAGCTGCAGGTTTTGAAACAAGCCATGGCCGTACTGTGGCCCGTTGCTCCCTATATCCAGATGAAACTTCTTCCTTAGTTCTTTGATAGCTGACTCCTTTTGCTGTAATAGTGGCTCATGGCCCACGGCAGGGAAGACAGCGCCGAGTTGGCCTTGAGGAAATTGCGCGGTCGTACCATTGAGGAGGCGGCCTTTCAGGCAGAGTTGAACGAGATACGCATCTCTACGAGGCAACAGGTCGAGCACAGCAAGCGGAAGAAGAAGCAGCTGTGGCTCGAGATCTGGAACAAGGGCAATCGGAGAAGGACGCTGCTCTCTATCGCGGTGGTGTGCTTCCACTGTGCTGCAGGTGGGTGCCCATTCAGACTTCAATACTCTCTCCTCTCTCCTTGCTTTTCTCCATCATGCGTCCCAGAACCCTGGCTCATTGTTGGACAGGATCCTCCTACCTGACGATATACACGACTTATTTCCTCACAACGGCCGGCATTCCAGCAGACCGCTCCTTCGAGTTCTCAACCATGATTACCTGCATGGGCCTCCTCGGGATCCTCTCCAGCTTCTTTTGGGCAGACAAGCTAGACCGGCGAGCTATCTTCATGATCGGGGTTGCTGTCTGCGGGCTCGCGCAGCTGGGTTTTGCTGTGGCTTGGACTGCGGCTCCTGGAACCGAGACCGCTGGTAAGGTGGTAGTCGGTCTCATCGCAGTCTTTACTTTCTTTTACACTGCCTTCGGTAGGTTTGATTCGGTATTTGCACACCCTAGGTGGTGAGTTTCTAACCTGTTGTTGCTACTGCTAGGCCCGTACGCGTGGATGGTGGGCGCAGAGTATCCCAACAACCACCTCCGTGCCCATACCTTTGGGCTCGCCACAGCTCTGAACTTCCTGGGTAACTGGGTCGGCATCTTCACTGCTCCCTACTTCATCAACCCTGCAAGCCTGGGATGGAGTGCAAAATATGGGTGTGCACCCTCCCGCCCCTGCCCCCCCCCTCCAAACCCAATGCACATTGAATATCTTGCACGTCCCAACACCAACTAACATATTTGACTACAGCTATATTTGGTTCGCATCAAACGCTATTGTGTTCTTGTTCATATACTTCTTCATGCCGGAAACACGGGGCCGCACCCTGGAAGAGATCCATGAAATGTTCGAGCAAGGAGTCCCGTCCAAGAAGTTCAGGGGTTTCATTTGTGCAGCAACGCAGGCGATGGCGACCGAGGTGATTGGGAAAGAGCGAAACGAGCATATTGAAGAGATCAAGAGGCCGTAAAGTGCTACGCGCTGGAGTTGACTCACCGTCCCAGACATGTTCTGTGCAGTGTCGCTTGCGAGGAAAATGGAGGGCCGGTGACAGGTCAGGGGAGGGTACTTGAGGTGGATGGATGGCTTGATGCTGTTGAATGTGGGACATGTTTTCAAACAAATGCCTCACTGAGCTCACAAGTGACTCATCCTTCTTCGACGACAAGACGAGAGAGAAGGCCAATGAGCACGGAGGTAGCTGAAAGCACAATAGAATTGGTCAATCCGTAGGGAAACGGTGTCGTCCCCGTCCACCCACAGAAAGAAACATCAGTAGTTCCGCCATCAAGAGAATTGTTTTGAATTATCTCAACGTAGCTGCGTTTGTGATAATCTCTAGCACATGTGTCACGCTTCCCCTCTTTAGCTGCATCGTGTCGTCATGTTTTGGAAAACCCGAAAGTAAACGATATCTTATCAGTCCCGCTCACGGAGGACAATCCAGTCGTCATTCCATTATAAAAGGTTAAACCGCTCCCCCTCTTTCTTTCTTTTTTTTTTTTTTTTTTTTTCAAAGAATGTAGTCTTGACTTGAGCATTCATCCTCATCTTGCTACCCGACTCTGCCATCCCCGCCCCGCACAAAACAACTCTCGGTCGCTTAGACACAACAAAGTACCTCACCCAGCTGAACATGGTGTGATGACTCATATATGGTTGACTGACACTGGCGAAAGGCACACGCACTGTTCGGTACTACCGTCCCTCAGTCAAAAGCCATGAGGTCTTTCATTGGTCACATCATCCAAGATGGATGATCAGTATCCAGGTAAAGTTAACACGCATGAGCCGGTGCCAATCCCCCCGTGCCAGGCTTGAGATTCCTGCTGCTGCAGTCCTCAAGTAACACTGGCGCGTGGGTGGAGCGGCTGAGATTATACGGCTTAGGAACTTGATCTTGGATAATACCAGCGAAAGGATCATGCGTTGCCCCCCCCCCCCTACTCCTGCGAGGACAGGTGACGCTGACAAACGGTACATAGATATACAATGGCCCCCTCTGCCATCGTGACCATGCCCGACTCTGGCACAGACAGCCTGGCCGTCAGGGGCATCAACAAGCCCACTGCCAAGGCTGGCATTGATTCCAAGGCCATCGACGGTATGATGGGCCAGTGGGACTCGTTTACCTTCTCGCCGATCCGCGAGAGTCAGGTGTCCCGTGCCATGACCAGCCGGTACTTCTCGGACCTTGACACGTATGCCGAGTCTGACATTGTCATCATCGGCGCGGGCTCCTGCGGCTTGTCGGCCGCCTACACGCTCGGAAAGATGCGCCCTGACCTCAAGATCGCAATCATCGAAGCCGGCGTTGCGCCCGGTGGGGGTGCCTGGCTGGGTGGCCAGGTGAGTTATCATTTCAGGATCGCGAGCATTCACACCAAGTCTCTTGAGGTGACGAGTGACTGTGTCGAGGTCGTCCTCTTTCATTTGGTATGCCCCGCTAACCAGAGTCATTATACAGCTCTTCTCGGCAATGGTCATGCGTAAGCCGGCCGTAAGTATATCCCCAAAAGTCCAGCGTCTCAATCGTTACCATCGCTTGAGGCATCCAAACATTTCATCTCACCGGGGCCCCTGCTCTGTCCTGCGCGACAGCACAGGAGACCAGGCCTTATGCGCCGTTGTCTCGCGTCATGTCCTTTCAATGGCTCCTTGCGTGCCTTCTCACTGCTGACTGGGTTCTAGGATGCCTTCCTCACTGAGATCGGCGTCCCCTTTGAGGACGAAGGCAACTTTGTCGTCGTCAAGCACGCTGCCCTGTTCACCTCCACGGTCCTGTCCAAAGTGCTGGAGTTTCCCAACATCAAGCTCTTCAACGCCACCACCGTCGAGGATCTCATCACTCGTCGTGACGTTGCTGGATCTGCCGATGTGCGCATCGCAGGTGTGGTCACCAACTGGACCCTGGTGTCGATGCACCACGACGACCAGTCCTGCATGGACCCCAACACCATCAACGCGCCGCTCATAATCAGCACCACTGGACACGACGGCCCCTTCGGCGCCTTCTCTGTCAAGCGACTGGTCAGCATGAAGCAGCTTGAGCAACTCGGGGGCATGCGTGGCCTTGACATGCAGACGGCGGAGGATGCAATCGTCAAAGGCACCAGGGAGATCGTCCCTGGACTTATCGTGGGAGGGATGGAGCTCTCTGAAGTTGACGGTGCTAACCGCATGGGTGAGCTACCTCTAGATCGGGATTTGGCCATGGCAAAGAAGCTGACCTTGAACAGGACCTACGTTTGGCGCCATGGCCCTCAGTGGTGTCAAGGCGGCCGAAGAAGCACTCAAGGTCTTCGAGCTGAGGAAGGCTGAGAGCGCGAAGTAAGCCGCGGACACTTCTGGTGAGATTCGGTCACCCGAGGAGTAGCACATCCACCTGCGTGTCATTCTTTCTCACTCGGCAGGCCGTTCGGTTAAACAATACGTCAAGGATGTGTGGAATCGACATAAATAACATGCTCGACAAATTGTGCAAATGCTCATTGTGACCAACTGGAAGATTGTTTAGGTGCCATAGTTTGAAACAATACACTCGTTGAACAACATGTCTATCTGTTCTTGTGTGTACCACAGGCTCTCATCTGCCGTCATGCCCATCGAAGCGCTTGGCTTGGGTTTAGCGACTCGAACCAAAGGCACAAAACTGTCACAGGCAGTGCTCGAGGTTGAATGCGTTGCGGTTGTTTGTTCGAGTGACATCATGCCACTGACAAAGAACTCAATAGATCAAAACTACTTCACACGTTCGATTGCCTCAATGAGATCCCCGCCTATTCTGGCGACTTCAGCAAGAATTGCCTCACGGTTGACATCAACATGCTCGCCACTTGTACCAGCCCCCCCCTCGTCTTCGCGTGCCGCGGGTTTGTATGAGCAAGGCAGGTTGACCCTGAATGTGCGCCGTTGTACCTGAGGGTTCCAGATTGCAGCCACGACCGTGTCTTCCGGTGCCCCGTGGAAAAAGAGGAGCGGCCCAGAGAAAAGGCTGTTCAACTGCGTCAGAAGAGTTCTGGCGGGATGCGACAACGCAGGCTGTATTGTCCGCCCTGTCCGGCCATCCAAGTTTTTGAACTGAGATTGTTTCACGGTATCGTCGGGGTCAGCGGCTCTTTTGACGGCCTTGCTGTGCAAGCGAATCAGGACATCATAGTCCTTGAGAGAGGGCTGGAAGAGTGTTCTTGGGTCCAATTCGATGCTCTTGTCTTTGACAAGCTTGCACGCTGCTCTGGCTAGAGTGGTTAAACGGGAGGCAACGACTCTTGAAGGCATGGGACGCCCATCGTGGATGGTATAGGCGGTGCCAGAGGTCTCGTTGGACGTGGCTACAACCAACGTCGTGTGACTCATACCTGGATCGATCTTGCGCCAGGCCTCGAGCCGAGTAGCGACAGCGGCCCGCTCAGAGCCCATCAGCTCCCCGGTCGAGTCCAGAACCAGCGGTTCCAACCGCCAGTCCCACCTGGACAAGAATTGCAGCGTCCGCAGAAACCCCGTCATCGCGCTCGATGGCGCTTGCCACGGGTAGGGCTCCAGAAAGACGCGCAAGGCGAGCAGCTCCACCAATTCCTCCAGGAAGTGGCACGAGAGCTTGTGGGAGTTGAACCAGTGTTTGACCAGCCTGATCGTGGGGGACAAGGCAGGGAACCGAGTGCAGAGTATCGACATGGTCTGCGTGTGGCGGGGGAGATGTGTATACAGGCGCTTGAAGGAGGCATGCAGCTGGGCGCCTTGGGTACGCACACGCTGGTCAAGAGTTTTATCCATGGTTCGTCTCTCTAACAGGCTCTCTTCAAGATCACTGTGTATCCTCAGACGGAATGAGGCGGCCCCCTCATACGTTACGTCTAAGAAGGCCAGGTTCTCTGTTTCTGTTTCTGCTTCCTCCAGCCCGACGCGGCATGCCACTTCGGGCTTGGACTCGGTCAGGAGCTCGCCGATCTTAAGAAGAAAGGCAATTTTTGTGCGCTGTATAGCGGCGAGATTATCAGGCCACTTGCCCGAGGCCTCAAAGTAGACCACAGCGTCCATTGGCAGCGTTGCGGCCTTCGAGGTGCTCAGAGATGGCGGCCGCACCGACGCAGACCGCATCTCGGGCGCCGCCGCGCGAACCTGTCTGATCTGGAGGGGAAGGTGGCTAAGTTCGCGCAGATCTGCCTCGAAAACGGCGAAGGCCTCCGTAGCAGCCTGGAACGCGGGCGTGTCTGATGCTTTGATGGGAATGATTACTGGGAAGCCGGCCCCGTAGAACTCGAGACTATCATCCTGTATCTTCAGGTGCAATTTCGAGAGCATACCGGGTGATCTCTTCCCAGAGGCCAAGTGGGGTAGCCTGCGTCCAGATCAAGCTCTCCAGGATACTGCCGTCCTTGAAACGTCTAAGTTCGGCCTTTTGACCCCAGAATTTACGGAATTCCTTGGCGGCCTGTTTTTCTTCGACTGATGGACCTTGGTCGACTTGGCGCGCCATGTTGGCCGTGTTGAACAGCACCCCCACTAGCAAGGTTGAGGGACCCAGAAAAGGCGAGGAGGTGAGTTCCCAGGCAGCTTCATCTGAACTGTCGGCACTCTTCACATGTATGAGTTCCACCCTGTCGCCCAACGCTCTCCTCAGGATGGCCACAGCCTGTTCCCCAAATTGGGCAGCGGCACTTCCATAATCGCCAGTATTGCGTGCATCTGTGCCTGTTGGTTGCGCAATCTGGACGACAGCGTCATAGCTGTGAAGAGGAAGATCAGCCTTGATGATAAAGGTTGGGTTAAACTGGTCAGCATCTTGATCAGCCAGCGATGCTTGCGTCCACCTGGCATGTTGCTGCAAAGTGAATGCAGAGCAAGCACTCATCTTATAAGCCAGATTGAGCTGCCGAGCTGCATCAAGAATGACCGGTCCAGGGTCATTCAAAGCATCCCGACCGTCGCTAGAGGAGCCGAGGACAGGAGGCTTGCGACAAAGGTCAACAGCGGCGAGATACTGCACTACGGCCTTGAAAATCTGAGTAGAGCTGAACGAGGCAGACAGTGCCGCAGCCCCTTTCCGGCCTCCACTTTTTAAGAGGAGGGCAGTCAGGATGGCCCATTCGAAGTGACCGAACCCGCCCCTGGAAAGCGAGCCCCCAAAACCGCGTTGAAGTAGCCAGACACGCCCCAGAATACAGGCATCCTTGAATGCCGGACACGCCTTCTCTGCCTGGCGGAGGACCTTGAGATGGGAAGAATAGCAGCTCTCGGCCTTCAAGGTGGAGTTGTAGTAAGGCGTTGGGGTTCTGGGGCTTTCCTCGGCGACTGGGGCGGTCCGAATGCAACAAGCCGTGGGCAACAGCTTCCGGATGGGACACCAACCCGTTGGTGCACACGGGATGATTCGTATGCTGTATCTGCTGGGCGAGCCCTGAGGAGTCAGGTTGAGAACAGGAAGTAGGCGGTTTCCGTTGCAGTGCTCGTAGGCAAACACAACCGAGGAGCCAAGCTCGTTCCGGATGGAGGCAGTCAGGACGGCCAGGTAATAGGCCCTCTTGTAGAAGTATCTGAGGTCGAGGTAGTCCTTGTCCTGGAAGATTTCTTTGGGCATCTCGACAATCATGTCGATAGCATGACTGCTTTGCGACTTGACCATTGTCTTGGAGACGTAGCTCCCGACAACATTGAACTGGGTCGGAGCTGCGAACGAGACCTTGTAATGCGAGTCTTGGGGCGGCCGAGGCTCGGGAAAGGGCACGACCAGACCATGTTTCGTTTCGAGGCTCTTGGATGCCTGGTGTATCTGCAAAGAAAGAAGGTGGTCAGTCGCAGGCCATGAGGCTGGACGGCCGGGGGGACTCACAGGAGTAAGGTCATGAGGCTTGGTAGCTTCTAGGGTGGACTTGATGCGATGCAAGAGCTCGTCGGCACCGGAAAAAGTCTTTTTGTAGTCCAATCGAACTTCGCGCAGGAGCTCTTGTGTCTGCAGAACGAAGGTGCTTGATCGGGCAGTGCCAGCCTGGGCGACGGCATCCAGAGCGGCGTTGCCATTTGCGACAGGACCGCGGGACTCGTGGTGGTCTACTTTTCTTCGTTTCGCAGGATTTGTGTCCATATTGATTATGGAGGACCTGGTGGTCTTTTCGTAGCCGCTCGCCCACGCAGCTTGGAAGCCTCGAGGAGGAACTGCGCAGAGAAATTCGCGTTCGGCGTGGCAATGCTGGATAAGTCGAGGCAAGGCAAGACAAGACGAGTCAAGTTGCGAATAGTACTGCTTGGAAATTTATTCCTTATCGATTAGACAGTGGTAGTCTAGGTTAGCGCGCGTGTGGTGGATGTACCACCCCGTCCAGGTTCGCAGGCACTTAGGTATCTACTGAGAATACCCAGGCACCTGGACAGGCTAGCAGTCAAGCAGACCCCACATGCTGGGCGGCACCGTTTGCCAAGTAAACCACAGGGCCGCTTGAGTCCAACGTCATTGAATTGGTGGCCCTTTTGAGCAGCGTGTGCTTGGTACGTGTGGCATGCTGTAGCTGGCATGACATGCAGCAATTTCAGACATTGAAGTTGCGCAACACCAAAATTGCAAGCCCTTGGCTTTCTACACTGTCATCTCGACCTTTGACCCCCGGGCCAGGTGACGCAGGTGTGTTGCATCTGGAGATAATGAAACCGAATTCGACCTTGACTCTGCCCCTGTCATTTCGCCGTCACTCACTGCCACTGTCTCACCGCGAGACGTCAGCCCGGCGCCTCCCTCGCATCTCCGGCCATGTCGTCTTCCAAGGCGGCCCTGAAGGCCATCGCTGATGCCGTCAAGCAGCAGAAGTACGACGATGCCCTCCAACAGGCTCGGGATTTTACACAGAGAGAGCCTAGAAACTACCAAGCGTAAGTCCAAACCACACCCTATACCCGCCATCCCGCAGCATCGCGTCACGTCACGCCGCCCTGCGTGGCTGCTCACGCTCACGCTCATGCTTACTTTTACACCTCACTCACTGACAACGCTCTAGTCTCGTTCTGCTGGCCCTCGCCCTGGATAAGACCAACAGGTTGGATGAGGCAGAGACAACGTACGACGCGGCTACAAGGCTGAAGCCCAACGATGCTCAGGCGTGGCAGGGTCTCGTCAAGCTCTATGAAAAGCAGGGCCCAAAGAAACTGTCTGCCTTCCAGACGGCCACTGTCCACCTGGCTGAAATCTTCCAGGCCTCTGAGCAAACCTACAAGTGCCACAAGACTGTCGACGATTTCATTGACTTTGCTCGTGCTCATGGGACAGTTCAACAGCAGGTCGCCGCCATGGGCCTCAACCTCCCCGACAGCCCTATCTACTCGGCAGTCGAGGGCCGCACCCGTCCTGCCGAGACGTACGAGACCATTGCCAAGCTCCTCGAGGCAGATGAGAAGAAGCAGATTAACACTCTGATCGGCGAGCGGAGGACCAGGCTGGGCGCAAAGGTCAGCGAAGTCACCATCGAGGTCAAGCGGGAGGTTCTCGGCCGCAGCCGCCTGGGCCACATTTATCGCGAACTCGTCAATTGGTCCAACGATGATGAAGTTCGTCGCCATTATGAGGAGAAGCTGCTGCAACACTGCCATGACCGCCTCCTCGCTTTCCCCCATGGCCAAGAGAAGGCCCAGGAGCTGCAGGTTGTCCTCAAGCTGGCCAATGACATGGTCATCATCAAACATCAATACAGACTCGCCTGGGAGATAAGTATCGACTGGAAGGACGCCAAAGAGACAGGAGCTTGGGACCACGCCGTTCTTCGTGACTACTGCACCTTTTTCCCGGACAGCGACCTGTGCAGAGTCGTAACGGGCTACCTCAGCAGCGATATCTCGCCATTCCCCAAGCTTGAGCCGCAGTCTGAAACTCCCGACGGTGGTGGACATTCCGGTGATGAGAGCGAGGACGACGACGATGGTGGCGCGCCCACAACCATCATCCCATTGACTGACGAGGACCGTTTGCTTATGATGTCGGAAGCGATTTTGACAACTAAATCCCTCTTCGCCCACCGTTTGGTGGCCGAATACTATGAATCACTGCAGGAGCACGAGAGCAATGTTGAGCTGACGCGCAAAGCTCTGCGTCTGCTAAGAGACGAACGAGAAAAGATAGGCATGGCGTTTCAGGACACCAGTGACATGTTCAACTTACACCTCGCTACGGCGCTGGTCTTCTACCAATCCCCACGCCATCACGAAGAAGCCAAGGCATTATTCGATGACGTCTTAAGCCGAGATCCTGTTTCAACACCCGCCCTGATCGGAGTGGGCTTAATCTTTGAGGAGGAGGAAGAATACAGCGAAGCCGTTGACTTCCTGGACCGAGCCCTGCAGAGGGATCCCGAAAACCTCCGTGTCAAATCCGAGGCAGCCTGGGTGAAGGCCCTCAAGGGCGACTACTCGACCAGCGCAGCAGAGCTTGAGAAGTGCATACCTTTGATTGCAGCCAAGGGTGACGCTGCTCATGATCTCTTGGCGCAGACGTTACACCGACTGGGTAGCTGCATATGGGCATTGGACCCCTCAAAGGCTGCCAGAAAAAATCGCGGACCTGGCAGCGCTTACTCGTGTTTCCTGAGCTCCCTGAAGAGTAATCTGAATTTCGCGCCGGCGTACACTAGTCTGGGGGTGTACTATGCCGACTATGCCAAGGACAAGAAGAGGGCCAGAAAGTGCTTTCAGAAGGCAGTCGAGCTGTCACCATCCGAGATCGTCTCGGCAGAGAGACTCGCACGCTCTTTCGCAGATGAGGCTGATTGGGATCGAGTCGAACTTGTTGCTCGGCGGATTGTCGACTCGGGCAATGTCAAGCCGCCTCCGGGCTCCAAACGAAAGGGGATCAGCTGGCCTTTTGCCGCCCTTGGTGTCGCAGAACTACACAAGCAAGATTTTCACAGAGCAATTGTATCCTTTCAAGCCGCTCTGCGAATATCTCCCGACGGTTATCATTCCTGGGTGGGCCTTGGGGAAAGCTATTACAGCTCCGGCCGCTACGTTTCGGCCACCAAGGCCATCCAGAATGCACGGAGGTTAGAGGAAACGTCGAATGACACCAGTTCTGCGGAGACTTGGTTCACCAAGTTCATGCTTGCTAATATCAAGCGCCAACTTGGTGATTTTGACGAGTCTATCGAGCTGTATCGGCATGTTATGCTGCACAGGCCGAGTGAAGAGGGCGTGGCCATCGCCCTGATGCAGACACTTACTGACAACGCGGCGGACTGTCTTGGAAAGGGCCTCTTTGGAAAATCTGTTGTAATGGCAAAGAGTGCCCTGGAATTCGCCACTAAGGCTCCGGAGGGCATCAAGGATACATTCAACTTCTGGAAGACCGTGGCAGACTCTTGCTCGATCTTTACCGGTATCCAGGGACATGTTCAAGAACTCCCCATTGAGGTCATCCGGAGCCTGCTCGGGGATGATGATGACAGTCCGGAACTCGAGGCCTTGAAAGACGTTGACGGGGTCGGAATCAGTGTCGTCTTCGCCAAAGGCATTTTCCCCGACGATGAGAAACTTGGCGTCGACCTCACCCGTGCCCTCCACGCTACGATCCTTGCCCACAAGCGTGCCATCCACGCTTCAGCCCACGATACACATGCACAGAGCGTAGCATACTACAATCTCGGCTGGGCAGAGCAACGCGCGCACGTCAACCTCCCTGAAGATTTCAAGAGGAGGTCTAGTCGATACTTGAAAGCCGCCATCAAATGCTTCAAACGGGCCATAGAGTTGGAAGCTGGCAACCCGGAGTTCTGGAACGCACTCGGTGTGGTGACAAGCCAGGTCAATGCGGCTGTTTCGCAACATGCCTTTGTCCGCAGCTTGTACTTGAATGAGCGAAACGTTCAGGCATGGACAAATCTGGGTACTCTTGGGCTTCTGCAAAACGACCTGGAGCTAGCGAACGAGGCATTCACAAGAGCACAATCCACCGATCCCGACTACGCCCATGCATGGCTCGGCCAAGGCATCGTTGCCTTGATCTATGGCGATGTTAAGGAGGCGCGCAGTCTATTTGCTCATGCCATGGAAATCGCCGAGGCCTCGTCCATTTCAAGGCAGCAGTTCTCTACATCAGTATTTGACCAGACCTTGACGACTACGGCGGATACTACTATGACATCTCTCATCCAGTCCATCTTTGCACTCGGCCAGCTTCGGGGGCTGCGGCCACAGAATCATGCTCTGGGGCATTTGCGCGCCTTGCTGCAAGAGCGAACCCATGAGCATCGGTTGTCGGCAAATGTCCTAGAAGAGATGTGCTCGGTACTAGAAGCAGACTACGAGGTGACCGAGTCTGCACAGTCCCTCAAGAGATTTGCACTCGCAAAAACAGATCTCGCCAGGGCTTATCTCGCTATTGGGTCCTACGACCAGGCTGTTGACTGCTGCGAGACGGCGCTGCAGCTCAGCAGTGACGAGTCGGACAACGAGCTGACTGCAGAAGAGCGAAAGAAGGCGAGGCTGTCTGCACACCTGACAGTAGGCCTCGCCCATTACCACCAAAACAACCTAACCGAGGCCGTCTCATACTTTGATTCTGCCCTGCAGGAATCGGATAACAATCCTGACGCCGTTTGTCTGCTTGCCCAGGTACTGTGGGCAACGGGGTCCGAGTCTGCCCAGGAGAAGGCCCGCAGCTCGCTGTTCGATGTCATCGGCGACAGACCCGACCATGTGCAGTCAGTCGTCCTGCTGGGCATCGTGGCAATTCTAGATGACGACGAAGAGAGTCTTGATGCGGTACGCATTGAGTTGGAGAGACTCCGAACAAGCGACAACACGACGTCGGCGGAACAGTTTGACATAGGAGAGGTTCTACAGGCGGCTGCAGCCGTGGCGGACGCGGGCACGGGACAGGGACTGCTGGCCCAAGCGCAGACGGACGTTCTTCTCTACCCTCAGCTGCCACACGGCTGGTCGAGTCTCGGGGACCTGGCAGGCAATGGTGAGGTGTTCCCAAGAGAGATGGCGGTCCGGGTGGCGTCACAGGGCATTCCGCCCAAAGGCGAGCTTGGCGCAGAGGATCTGGCCAAGACGTACGGCTCGACTGGAAAAGCCCTCAACTCGCAGGTCTCGATTGTGCTGGCGCCGTGGATGAAGGAGGGGTGGCAAGATCTTGTCGGTGTCTTGCGCAAGCAGTAAAGTAATTTACAGAGACAATTGTTCCTCATGGGAGCGAACAAGTGGAAATGCACTAGCTAAGAGCGCGTCGTGCATTTGTAGACTCTGGTGCTTGTCCGTCATCAGCGGACGACAATGTCGTGACATTTGACATGGGTTTGATCAGCCCTCTCCTCAGCCTTGCTGAACCAGTCTAATCGTATCCCTCAACCTGGTGAGCCGAGTGCTCACCCAAGCCTTCTGCCTTGGACGATGTTAGTCGATGCTTGGGTGCTCCTTACGAGTGAAGTGATGGCGTGGGTGTCTCATCTCGATTGCTAGTGGGAAGGAAACGTTACGAGAGTACTTACCACGCATCGATCTTGCCGCCCAAGACATGGCAAGTCGTGGTCTCTAGTAGAACGGCTCCTCTGGCGACAACGGTTCCCTTTTTGAGCATGATCTTCTCGCCGATGTTGAGTGTCCCGATAGCTATCCTGGGGATACGTGTCAGTTCGATACCATACACCGTCTGGCCCTTGCAGTCCTGCAAGACCAGGCGATGGGTGGCCTTGTTGGAGGCGGCAGTTGCAGGGCCAGACTGGGCGGCTCCCCCTCTTGGCCCTGTCGCTCGTGGCTCTGGTCCGTCGCCGGTTCCATTCTGGGCTTCTTCCGCATCAGCGCCACTGGTGGGGAGGCGAATGATCTCCCGGCCGCGGGTCTGCTCGCCTCTCTCGATGGCCTCGAGCTCCTCGACCTGCTCCCACCTGCTCTTGGCCAGGTCTTCAATGTCGACGACCTGCACGTAGACATGGCGACTCAGCCGGGTCTCCTTGACGGCTGGGTTGGTGATGTCGCTCGGCAGCGATATGATTGGGACCGAGTCAGGGTCCAGCAGGCCGGGGGTGGTGAGATCCGAGGCCAACAGGCGTGTCTTGGCCGTCATGACCAGCGAGGGGAGAGGAGGAGGCGGGTCGCGGGCGGAGATGAGAGCCTGCAGCCATGGTTGCGAGGGCGGGGGGAGGTTGAGACTCTGCAGCTGGGTGTTGATCTGGGCTGAGAGGCTCATCATGAGATGGGTAGCTGCGACTGCTCCTCATCGTACTCGGGAGGCTGAGATCCACGCGGTATTTGCGACGTGACCTTTGGTCATCGTAAGCCGTGTGGGTGTGTACGGGTGTATGTGTGTTGTCCGCATATGTGTGTGCATCTAGACGTTCACATTGACGAGCATCAAGACCACCAAGACCACGCACAGACAACAACAACACTCCGGGCTACTCACGACCGCACTGTCGACTTTCTCAGCCTGTCAGGACGACTAAATAGAGTATCGAGACTGTGGTGGACCGAGGAGCATTTCACGAGCAGGTGAGTTGATGATTATTGACGTCCCGGGGGTCTAGGTCCAGACGAGGCGGCTAGAGCCCCACCCTGAGGTACCTCTGCTCCCTTGCAGGGAGGTACCTGCGTGGGTACGTACCGAGGGCAGTAGTTGGAGAACCCCCGTCATCTACACACATGTGTTGACAACTCCGCCGTCGTGGACCTCGTCTCTACCTAGGTATTAATTCCTGGGTACTGCAGGTGCATCATCATCCATTCATTAGCCAGCCCACGCCAGCACCAGCCTCCGCCCTCAACCACCTGGACACAGGAGCGTACGTGCTGCCGCCGACATGTCCACCATAGCTTCGCCCAGAGACCCCCATTCCACCTTTCGGCGAACACCCTCCTCCCAGGCCGTTGTCACTCCCACCTCGTCCACACGCCCCAGCCTCGACATCCCCCGGTCCGCAACCAGCTCTCCCAACCCGTCCGCACCCGCCTCTGCGCCCGCGCCCAGCAAGCGTAACAACCGTGCCGCCCTCCGCGAGTACTACAACCTCAAGAAGACACCCGCTGCCGCCACGCCTCCACTGCTCGAGGTCACCGACACCGACTCCGCCTCCCTGGCCGACGCCGCCGACTTCCTCCACTCAGACGTCCCAACATCCGAGGTCGATGCCGATGGCTTCGACGCCGACGCCTACGTCAAGTCCAAGCTCAGGGACAGCAGCCTCGAGGAGCTGCTCAAGACCTACACGCGGGTCCTGGGCGAGATACGGGCGCTCGACGCTGAGAAGAAAGCACTGGTCTACGACAACTACAGCAAGCTCATCACCGCCACCGAGACAATACGCAAGGTACTAAGTCACCAGGTCTCGAAGCAATCCGGGGCTCTCTGGAACCGTGTAACTGACCGTCTCTTCCTGCCAGATGCGCTCCAACATGGACCCTCTGAACCCCATGGCCGCCACCCTCGACCCAGCCATCGCCCACATCTACTCACAGGCATCCTCCATCAGGGACGCGCTGAGGGAGTCCGCCCCGAAGCCGAAAGACACCAAGGGCCAACAGGAGGCGCAGGCGAGGAAGAAGAGGGCCAGGGAGCTCGTCGCGGGGGTGTTGGACACGCCGGACAGGTTACGGGTACTGGCGCAAGAGGGCAGGGTCGAAGAAGCCAGGGAGGCGTGGACGCAGCCCAGGCAGCTGCTCCTCGCCTGGAAGCAGAAGGGGATCGGGGGTGCTGATGTTGATGAATGTCTGGCGGAGGGGGATGCAGCCGTCAAGGGCGCGGATTCGCCGTCGTAAGAGCGTAGGTTGGATGATGCTTTTGAAATGATACCCCGGGCCTCAGCCCGCCCGATAGTCTAGATCTTCCCGAGGTTCATGGAAAACCCACTCACTCATCCACCGAGTCCTGCCGGCGCCCGACTCAGCGGTTGCGCTCCCGGACTAGCCCTTGTGCGTTTACGCGTACATGTCCCAAGACGCACCCTCAACGCGCCGTATGCTAGATGAGCTGGTCGGGCGAAAGTGTGTGCCATCTCGCTCCTGATCTGTTCCAGTGGCCAGTCATGACGCGGGCCCGGCACCGAGGCGCTCCACGTCCCAGACCTCAAATGGATCCCTGTCCGCCTCGCTCACCAAGATCTGTGCCTCGGCACCGATCCTGCGGAGCTCCGCCTCCAGGGCCGGCTGCATCCTTTGCCGGAGATATGCCCTCTCAGAGTTGCTGTGAAACACCGTGATGACCAGCTTGCCCTCCATCGTGGCCCTGAGTGCGTTGTGGTGACTCATCTCGCCCGTCACCAAGACGTCGACGGGACAGCTCTTGAGGACGTCCCAGCCCGAGCCCGCACATACGGCGGCGGACTGGACCGTTGTTGCGGCGGCGTCAAAATGCCTGGGCGCTGCCACCATGACATGCTTCAGGCCGCCCATGCCGGCGGCGAGGCGACGGACCAGGTCGCCCACCACGACCGGATGGGCAAACTCGACCTTTCTGCCATAGCCGGCGCCTTCAAAGCCGGCCGGGGGAGGTGCCGAGGTGGGCTGGACAGCGGAACGGCTCTGGGGCTGTTGCGAGCCGCAGATGACATCGACGAGCCAATCATTCAGGCCACCAGGGACGGCGTCGACGGCGGTGTGGGGGCAGTAAACGGCGATGTTCTTCTGAGCCAACTGGAGCAGGATCCTCTGCTGAGGGTCGGCGAGGTCGACCGACTTGAGCCCTCTGAAGATAAAGGGATCTTAGCAGCCGGGTGCAACTGGTCAGTGAAGGAGGCACGAGGCAAGGAGCGTGAAAGTGTGGAGATGCGGACGTACGGTAGCTCACGACCAGGGAAGCCTTCTTGTCGACAGCCTCCTGCGCGACGGATGGGCTCAGGTCGTTGGTGAGGAGGACGGTCTTGTGCTCCGGGGTGGACTCCAGACCGAGACGTTGTTGGCTGGGAGCGTCGAAGTTGCCCAGGAGCAGGCCGACATTGTCCCAAGCCCTGTCGGCGACCTCTTCCGGGTACCTGGAGTGGGGGGTGTCAGCTCGACACGTCCGGATGGCAAGCAGCGAGGGCGGTGGGGGGTTGAGGTTGAGGCTGAAGCTGGGGTTAAGTTGGGGTTGGGGTCGGTGGCATGTACAGAGATCTCAGAGCTTGCACCACCGCCCGGGTGAAGGGGGTGTTCTGAGGCGGTGGTGGCAGTGGTTGTGCAGCGAGTGATGCCATCCTTCTTGCCGGTGACAGTGGTCCTGGTGACAGTGGGGCTGGAGCAGAAACAGCAACGGGAGATGGCGTCGAGGAACAAGCTCTGGCGGAGGTGGGGGCGCCCTTGGTCCTTGGCCAGGTGCGAACGGCGACGGCAGGAGAGCGGCTGCTTGGCGACGACGAGGCTGGGCCTGCAGTTGCGAGACGGAGGCGAGGAGAGGGGTGTATGGCAAGGCGGAGCCGTGTCGTGAGAGAAGTCATTGCTTCGGCATGGACAGTAAACACTGACGTCGACAGCTCAGGCAGAGCTTATAGACACAACTCCTGCCTACCTAGGTAGGTACCTTGGTAGGTACCTATCAAGTTTGACCCACCGGTAGCGGCCGTTGGTACCTTGATCTCCGCCCCGTTCATGACATAGCGTATGTGTACCTGCCACGCTTGCGTACCAACACTACGATAAGTTGCCGACAGCCCTTCTCCACCCTCGCATCTTTTGTCATTCATAGACGGACCCCATACCTAGAGTTATCAGAGCAATCAAGTCGAGGCCCCTATACACACACAGGCACATAACGTCGACGACCCAGATTTGCCCACTCACCGACAAACACTCCTTCCAAATCGAATCACCTATCACCAGCCATGGAGAACACTGCAGTGTCAGAGGCCGCGCTCAAGGCCTCCATCATAGAGCGGCTCAACGCCATCCATGTCGACATCACCGACATGTCTGGTTCGTCCCCCAACAACATAGACCCGCCCCGCCCCCCCCCCCGGTCTCCCACATGCACTGATGCTAACACTCTTGTAGGCGGCTGTGGCCAGGCCTTCTCAACCTTGATTGTCTCGCCCGACTTCGCCGGGAAGAACTCGCTCAAGAGACACCGCCTAGGTTGGTGACCGCCTGTTCACGCCCTCGCACGTCCCGTACACGTCCCGTACTCGCTAACACGTGGCGATTACAGTCAATTCCGCCCTGAAGGAGGAGATTGCCGCCATCCATGCGTAAGTAGAATCCTGTCCGGTCCGGCCCGGGAGCACATCACCGCTATCCTCATCTCTGCCCCGGTGCTTTGGTTTGGTCGTCGTAATCCACTATTGACTCGTCATGACCGACAGATGGACTGCAAAATGCCAGACACCCGAGGAGTGGCAAAAGGCAAAGGCTGCCACTGGTGACGATGCGCCCCGCCTTGACGGTACTGTGGATGGTAAAGTTCAGGGCAGTACTGCCTGAGAACCACCTTTCTCTAGCACTTGAGCCGGCCGCCTTGAGGACGCGGCTCACTCCCAGATCCGGTCGCTTTCCTCCCGCGTCGCATGCTTTCCAAGGCAGCCAGGGCAACAGAGCACGTGGGATCGCGGCTCAGGCCCCCCTAGGCACTCGGGCCTGCTGGCCATTTCAGCACAAGCAATGTGCAACCGTGCTGCGAAGAGCCCACTCCGGCCGCCAAGCCCACAAACAGCTGGGGCAATCACGTGGGAGGATGTCTGGGGTGATGTCTAGACATTACACGATTTGCGGCGGCAAGTTCGCCAAGTCTCCGGTGGTATTAATGGCAGCATTGGCTCTGCTGTGTAGCGCAGTGTGATGGAGGACGACAGGGACTGCCACATGGGCGGGCTTGAGCCGTCTGGCCAAGGGCATCGTGGTGTGTTGCATGTGTCATGAGGAGACCCCTTACAGGCATTTTTGAGCATTTGTCCTTTATGTAACTAGACTTGATTGCATTTGGTCTCAGTGAGTCCGTTGCTCTCCCCGCGGTGCGTCGCCCTGAGCAGCTGTGGCTGGGTTGACCGCCGTCCTCGCCTCTGATATAGGCGGCCCACGACGAATGCACCATGCCTTGTCTTCGAGACGGCAGATCAGATCGAGCCTGGATTTGCACACCGTGGACTTTGAGCGGACCTGTGTGGCCAAATGATTCATCACAGTACACCCCAATGATGTTAATACGCGCCAGCTAAGTCCAGTTCTATACCTTTTCTGTCGGGCCTGGAGCTGATATGCAGCGCACTCAGATCGTGGTCCTTGCCAGTGACCACTCAGTCATGTCTTCCGATGCTGTGTAACAACGACTTGATATGCCTGCCTAGAGACAATCCGACATTTCGGCCCTATCTTCGAGACGCGAGGCACTGGACGCGCAGTCAACAGAGCGTCGCTTGTGGTCTGGGTCGGTCATGCAATTGCCTCCACACGGCTTGGATCAACACCGAGACACGTGCAGGCACGAAACCTCAGCTCGAGAGCTCCGACCAAGCCTACCCGCCCGGCGATTACGGGAGGCATTGCTCGCGCTGATCCAGAGCTGGAGCTGCCCAGACTGCTCGGTTCGGCCTCGAACATGAGCACTCATACGCCGTCTAGCGTTACTCCATCGTAATGGTGCAACTTCCGGGTACCTGCTCATGCCATTGTCGCAAGACATGTCGCCGCTCTCTGTCTTGGGCCGTAATTTCGCCCTCGCTCTGTACCACCGTCCCCTGGACCTGGTCTTGCCGTCTGCATACAACTGCCGCGTGGCTTCAACGTCGTGGCACCTGTCTGCCCGTTTTGACAGCCCGTTGATGGCTCGTGTTATGCCATGAACCCTCCGTCTCGGCACGTTCTCCATGTCCAGGCGCTAGTATGCTTGCAGTTGTCAGAAAAAGCCACCTCCGGGTCGGGCCCGTGGATGTCGGTCCGTCAGCGCGGTGCGCCGTGCATGGCCACCTCCACGGTGGTGTCCGAGAGCGAAGCACTTCCGTCTGGACTTTGAACGAGATCCGGACAACCCATAGCTGCAGCTCTGCTGTCACATACTATTTCGGTATCCGGACCATTCATCTGGGGCCCGCAACCCAGACGGTCTTGCTCTGGCTGAACGGTGCTCTCGGACGCTCGATGCTGGCTCTCCGCGTCTCTACAGTCCCAAGACGCGCGCGAGACCAGGCTGCCTCAGCCTCTGGAACGCTCATTGCGCTGATTCACTCAGTATGACTCTTGTCTCCCGTTAACTTGATTCTTCGCAATCAAAACCTGAGTCCTCTCTGCTCATGGCGGGGTGTCCTCGACGCCACGCAACGCTGTTCGGCGAGCGGTGCTGTTTATGGCGCAGCGAACACTGGGAGCCAGACTCGTGTTGCCCGAGACATGTGATGTTGCCATCCCGCCTCGTCGTGGTTTGCTTAATATAAAGTAAGTTTGTTCGTCTCTTAGTGACCCTCCCAGTAATATCACTTGTTCTGAATATCATCCAACTTGTGTCTCTCTTTCTCTTGACCTGTCTCTACCTCTGGATTACTGCGATATTATCGTCTCCAACTGCCTAATTTCGCAGATATCATTAGCGGTCATGCGATTCAGCTCGGTGGCCAGGCTGGCTTCGGCCGGGCTGGCAAGCATTGTCGCGGCCGAGGACCTCCTCTTCTACAGCACCATGGCTGACACCCAGGAGTACATACAAGCAACGACTGTTCTTGGCCTGACAGGTATGGCAGCACCGGGGCGAGCTATTTTGTGTTCCATGCTGACGACTCGGCCACCCCAGCCCATGTTGCAACCCCTGAAGAGTGGGCCAGCTATACCACAGCTGATTTCGAGAAGTACAAGGCCATCGTGATCCCGGATCCCATGTGTGGTACTGTCGACACGATCGATTTCTTCGACTCGACAAAGGCGACCTGGGGCCCTGCCGTGCAAGGGAACATTATCCTCATCGGCACTGATCCTACTTTCCACTCTTCGAGTCAGCCTGGCGCGCTGACTCTCATCAACAACGCTCTTGGGTTTTCTGCCTCTGGCAACGGAACTGGCTTGTACTTTGCGCTGTCCTGCTACTATGGCTCTGTCGACTCGGCGGCCGTCGATTCCCTGTCCTACTTTGGCACCATCACCGTTCGCGGGAATTTGGCATGCTACAATGACGCGCACCTGGTCGCCGACTCGACGGCTCTGGGCACCCTCGATGATGCCGCCCTGAGTGACTGGTCCTGTAGTGTCCATGAAGTCTTCTCGTCCTACCCCACCACGGGTCAGTATGGGTTTGTGCCACTTGCTATTGCACAGGATGCCATTGGGGATGGACAGAAGGACTTCGCGGATGGGTCAACCGGAATTCCCTACATCATTGTCAAAGGGGCCACTCCGGATGGCTGTGGCGATGGTGTCTGGGACCCCACTCTGGAGGAGGAGTGTGATGCCGGACCCTTGAACGGAACGCCTGCGAGCTCCTGCTCGTCGTCCTGCAAATGCCTCAACGGGGCCGTTGTTCCGGGTGTGTGTCGGCCACCGGGCTCAAATTCGACCTCCAGCTCGTCTCTGCCCACTCCGTCCTCTACATCACTGCCTGCCCTCACAAATTCAAGGTATGCCACAAGATGCGCAACGCGCGGCGTCCCGACTAACAAGAAGCAGTTCGGTGGTGCCGTCGTCAACCTTCTCACCCATATCTGCGAACTCTAGGTGAGACTTGCCACCAGAAGTGCATTCACCAGGGAGAACTGACGAGTCGAATTCAAGTGTGCCAGCATCGGCCACCAGCTCACTATCCACGGGGACCGTCTCGTCCTCGGCGCCTATTTCGCCCTCAGGTTCATTCACGAACTCGAGGTTTGTGTCTCCTCCCCCGGGATATGCTCGGCTCTTTGGCTGATACAATGGCAGCTCTGCACCAATTTCCACCACTGCAGTGCTTCCATCGCTTTCAAGCGCTGCTCTATCCTCAGCTGTCCTTTCCAGCGAGGCTTCATCTCTGTCTTCAACAGCCGTGACGAATGAAACGTAAGAGCCACTCCGTCCTCTGTTCGGTTCTGCGGTACAAATTTGACACAGGTGCAGCCCTGTCGTCCCCGTCCCGACAGGCTCTGCTCCCACAGTGCCGGGCAGCACGAGGTGAGTGTCCGTCCTGCACACGTTCGTGGCTCACGGGCTGACCACCGGCGTAGCGTTCCACCGGCATTGTCATCGACGCCGATTGCGCCAGGCCTGAACAGCTCATCACCTGCTCTTTCGAGCAGCACGAGGCCATCCGGGCTGTCCTCTTCCTCCGCGCCGAGCAACTCGACGTAAGCTTCTTGGGTGCCCTGGATTAATGTCCTTGTACTAATTGCGACAGCAGCGTGCCGCCTACCGGAACAGTTCCGTCAACACCAGCAAGCCCGAGGTGACAAGGTCAACTGGCTACTTATTTTGCCTACTGCTAACTCAATTATAGTCTTCCCACCCCCGGAACACCACTTGTCTCTTCCTCGAATGGTTTGACTTCTTCTAGCACCGAGGGGAGCACCGTTTCCAGCCCGACTCCTCCCTTGGTCGTCTCTTCGTCCGCGGCAAGCTCAGGGTACGTTGCAAGATACAAATTGGCTCGATGGTTTTCCGGCTGATCTTGGTGAAAGTTTGGTCCGTCCGACGACATCGACACCACCTGCGCCGCCGCTCTCCAGTTCGTCTGCTGGGGCGTCTGGTAGCATTAGTTCATCGATAAACGGCACCTCTTCCCTGGAACCGCCGACATCCTCGTCAGTTCCGTTCACAAATTCCAGGTGGGTGCAACTCGGACTTTGAAATAAAGGACTTCGTGCTGATCCTAGAGCAGTTCCACAGAAACTCTCAGCCCACCATCGTCAACGCCCTTGCCGAGTACGGTTGAAAGCAGCGGCACTGTGACCAGCGGAACCGATCTTCCATCAAGTGTGGGGTTGTCGTCTCTAGACACGCCGAGGTAAGAGAGAGTGTGGGAAACAAGTGTATCGACCCAGATGCTCATGCAAGACCTAGCACCGTTGCCACCACATCGGAACTCCCACCAGGATTCCCTACCGTCTCAGTGCCTACAGGAACGACCTCACTAGGACTGAGCTCGTCAACATCCACCGGAACAGGCGCTACCACGGCAGTAACAACACTATCATCCCCTATACTAATCTCAAGTTCTGTTGCAGTGTCGACCATTTCCACTGGTATTCCTTCCGAAGGCTCGAGGTTCGTAGATCAGCCGTCTTCCCGTGTGACATCCTGTTGACCGTCGATCCAATTAGCTCTGCCCCTGTCTCGTCGGCTTCTACTTTCCCGGGATCTTCTCCAATCGGTAGCTCAAGCAGTAACCCACCGTTGATTGCTCCCTCGTCCTCATTGAACGTATCCTCCGTGCCAAGTTCTTCTCCTACACCCAGCACCCCAGGAGTCGTCAGCCACGGCAATCCCATCGACGTTGCCTTCCAGGTAAGCCTTTCTATGAGCAGTTCACCGACCTGATGCTCAACATTCCTATCACAGCTCCGGACCAGCCGTACCAAGCAATGGTGTTTCCACTGAAGTCTCTTCTGTCGCTCCACCTCCATCGTCCGTGAGCTCTAGGTAGGAAATTCCCTCAGTCCCGTATGTTTTCTTGGAGCTGGAACTGAGAGTTCAAAGCGGTGCTACTGAGTCGGTGACTGTACCGGCCTCGTCTGTTCCTTCATCTTTGCTCCCGCCAAGCAGCCTTGGGTAAATATTCGAGAGGGCCCTAGCTCTGAAAACAAAGGCTGAAAGATTGTACAGGACTGGGTCCACGACGCCTTCCAGCGTGCCAAGCACAGGAGCACCGCCAACATCGAGTGCTAGCCTTGAGTAGGTCCCTGGGACTCGATTTCTTTTAAGAGAGAAGAAGAATTAATGATGCCCAAGGTCTTCCTCGGTCTCCACAACGGCGCCATCGGCTTCCGTATCAGCGCCAGTGATCTCGACGACAATAACGAGCAGCTTTGTCACTACTATCGCTACGAACTCTTCCACCTCACAAAATTACTGACTTAGTCACCACTGAGTCTACGACTTTGTATGTATAGCCAGAAGTAAATGGGTGGTGTTTTGACACCGGAGCCGGCCTCTTTGCCATCTATTTGAGCGGCCATGATCAATGATAAATGCAAAGACACGGCGCTGACTTGCCAAGGACGTTCCCACCGCCATCTACATCACTGACCACTTCAGTGTCAAGTCTCAGGTCAGAGTGAATGCTAGCCCTTTCACATAGGATGGTGCTGACACTACTTGCCATAGTTCGAACGGGGCTTCCACCTCGGCGGTACCGTCTTCAGGAACCGCATTGTCAAGCGGCCCGTCGTCGGGGGCACCGTCAAGCCCGCCTACTACACCGGGTTCGGAAGTGCCACCAGCGCAGACGTCGTCATCAGAGCTGACTCCCTCGACTCTTGCGAGCTCAGTGTCGCTTTCGTCTCTGAGCCCGAGCTCGGCCCTGCCCCCATCCTCTGGTCCAAGCTCGAGCACAGCAAGTCTCACCCCGAGCCTGCCTCTGACAATCACCACGAGCCTTGTCACCACAATAGCCACAAATCTGTCAACCTCCCAGATCACGGATCTTACCACCACCAGGGTCGAGACCTGGACAATCAGTTCATCGTCCACAGTGTTGGGTATATCAAGCACAGGTACTGCACCAAGTGGCAATCCATCTTCAGCCGAAACATCGTCGACTGGAGGGCCATACACAGAGTCTTCGTCTCCAAGCGGTACAATTTCGAGTGCTATAGTGTCAGGCCCTTCATCTTCAAGCGCAGGGCCCTCTTTATCGACCCAGACTGATGTTTCTGCACCGCTCTCATCTTCAACTTCGAGCCCAACATCCGCTGGCATATCCTCTCAGCCCTCAGGATCGGCGAGCAGTATCGCCAGCTCTGCCGTCGAGACAAGCCCTACGAGTCGGGAGAGTAATACTTTGTCTCCATCTTCCACCACTGAGACTTTATCGACCTCCGCGAGTCTAAGCACAAGTCTAAGCACAGGGCAGAGCACCGAATCGTCGATTACCTCATCTGGAAGTTCAAGTTCTGGCACTGCTACCCCGGGCTTGCCGACTTCAACCAGTGGGGCCGTGTCTGCTTCATCACCTGGAGCTTCTACTCCGTCCGAGTCCCTCGGAGTTCCCAGCCCGAGTAGCAGCGAAAGTCTGAGCGTCTCCATGACGGAACCGCCGAGCTCGGCATCAAACAGTGTCATCTCCAGTCTGCCAACAAGCTCCGTGTCGAGCGGAGAGAGTGAGGGGCCTTCGAGTTCCGTCCCCGCCTCCACTTCCTCGGAGAACTTGTCCGAGAGTGCTTCGTCGCCATCTGCTGGTCGTCCTGGTCCTTCATCGCCACCATTGTCCGGTACACTGACCGGGCCTGGGCTTTCAACTGGAGCACCGAGCACGTCAAACACAGCGTCGGCTCCCTTCTCTGAATTGACCTCAATATCTGTAAGTACCCTGAGCGAAGATCGGTAATCTCTTGTTTAAGACTGACCCAAGGCACAGCCAACCAATACGAATCCCCTGCTATCTTCAGGCACAAGTCTTCCTAGTTCATCACTGGATACTTCATCGCAACTAGCCGGCTCTTCCGTGGCAAGTTCAATTAGCCCGGAGCCGCAGAGCAGCGCGACGAACCCACCGGCCTCTAGCTCTGTCACGTCAGCTGGAGAAGGCCCAAGTAGCTCAGTAGAGGTGTCGAGCCCGGCCTCGAGTGACACCCCAGGGCCGAGCACAACCTCACCTTCTGGGCCGGTCTCGAGCGGCTCCACGGGGACGCCATCAGTACCCGCGACTGAAAGCTTTAGTGTACCTTCAGGCACCGGAGAAAGCAGCTTGTCGGCATCGACACCAGCAGCACCATCATCTGTGATATTCCCCACCTACGGCGCTCCTCCACCGAGCAGCCCCTTGCCTCCGGGGTCAACGAGCCCGTCTGGTAGCACTCTGCTCTCCTGGGCTGCCACGAGCCCAGGGTCATCTGGTGTTCCGTCGCCATCAGCAAGCTCAAGCACCCTGTCGATCCAGACTTCATCGGCTCCAGCTAGCGCCGAACCGTCGAGCCTGACGCCCTCTGCATCCTATTCAACGGTGACTAGCGAGACTGTCTCTGTAAGTACGGTATCCACAAGCACAATCTCTGTGGCGGCGGGCACAGAGTCTCTGCCTGGTGGGTACAGTTGGCCAGGGTCCCTCACAGCACCGACGTCCAACACCTTGGTTCCGTCTGTTCCTGGCGGCCCGGCGCCCACAGACGGTTGCGGCAAATGGGTCGGTGTCGAGGTCATCGTCATGGTTGACCTTGTGGAGATCTGCCCTGACGGACAGACCTGTGAGTGACGCAAGCATCCTACATGATGGTGGCATACACACGCTAACAGCACACGCACAGCGACGACGACGTCCACAGAGACGTACGAGGTTATGACTCGATCCATCTGCCACACATCCATGCCGAGCCTGCCCTGCTATGTGTGCGAGTTTGGGCTGCCGACCGGCGTGCACCTGATGACCGTCTCCACGGTAAGCAAGCACCTGGCAACCGGACCGATGCCACGGACAACACATATGCTGACACGAAGACAGACGTCCAACACGGCGTCCCCAGACCCGACACCTGCCGTTACTGTTCAGGCATGTTCGACCTGCGAGACGTCCGTGTTCAAGACTTCGGTTCTCGGATTCACCCCGGGCGCGCGGTGCTACGGCTGCCAGCCCTCGGGCACAGATGACCCCGTTGCCAGCATGACCCTGGAGAACCACGAGCTCGAGACGATGTCTCTGGTGGGAGGGTCTTCCCTGGGCGAGGTGGCGGGCGATGGTGCTTCCGGCCCTGTCGCTGTCTCGGCCCCGTCAGGAAACATCCCGTTGCCTCCGCCGTCTGCCTCGCCAACGTATCTCACTGCGGGAGCGTCCCGGAACACCGTACAGGCCGGATTGATCGGACTCGTTGTCGGACTGATCCTGATTACGTGATAGGCGATGGCAGGCTCTCCTTCTTGCGCAAACTAACTTGGTCAAGTTTAGATGGCTGTCCAGTCACGTTCTTTGGTTCGAGCATGAGTTGTCTGTCTCATAGCTGTCCTATAATACTGTTGCTCATTTAGTTCCCATTGCCCATTCAGCGAGACTAGCTGTATTAAATCATCAATTTCATTCATATCATCTTGTTCCCGCAAAAAAAGAAAGGAAGAAAAAAATGTTTCACAGGCTATTCTACAATACAGGGGGGTTCACAAGGTTATCCCAAGGTTGTTCGATGATGGGCCACGCCACTAGATCTTACCTGTCCCGCTAGAGGTTATCCCACTAGAGTTGATCCCACTGTGCCTGTCCAACAGGAGAGTTGTGCAATGGAGAATGGTTAAGCTGTGCAAACAAAGTTTTGGGACATCTGCGAGATGGAGACTAGACCGGCTAGGCCCAAAGTGATTAAAGGGCGGCCTCCAGCCCCAACTGTGGCGAAGAGGAAACATAGTTCACCGCACTTGAAACGATTGCCCGATGAGGAGATGCCTGAGCTCGACGAGACGCCGCCATTGGCCCTTTGACGCCTGCTTGGCGCGAAACAGTTCCCGTCCTGTGGCTTGACAGCGCCGTGTTTGTACGCCCCGGACTGCCGTTGGTCAGCATCCTGGCATGTGGCGAAGAGGGAAGAAGAAGCTCTTGCGTGGCAACGCGTATCCGTGCGACCGGAACGCAAGCCCTCCCAAAACCCGGCGTGCCGTGGCACGTCGAAAGCCCATCCTGAGTGCGCATGGGCGGCATGGACAGCTGAAACATGCAGCATGGCGGCTCTGGCTGCACGGCTGGCAGTCGCACATGCAACAGCAGCCTCGTCAGGGTCCGTCACAGCCAGGGCTGGCTAGACTGGACAGTCTAGTACGGACGATCCTGAGGAGACAGGACTGTGGCTAGTGACGCCAAGACGTCGTCCCACATCGAAGCTGTCTCCAGTGTGCCCGGTCTCCCGGTGCACAAGCTGCTGTACTGTACCGTTCGGGCAGGGCTGGGGGCCGGTACAAGGGATTCAAGTACCTCACCTGTGGCTCAGCAGGCATCAAAGGCAGTTCCATACATCTCCCTGGCGGCTGGGGCGTTCTCGGTGTGGCGGCGGCCTCGGTGCTGCCCCCTCCATCGGATCGATCCATCACACGCAGCCAGCAATATTCCGCGTGTGAGCCCATGGGGTAGGATAAAGCAACATCCGCCAGACACAGGTCCTGCGGGATCGTGGCGTCTCCCCCGTCTGTCCTGCAGCGAAAAACGCGGGCCAGCCCCTTCGATGGGGATCGTCGAGACCACCACAGGCCGCACATGTGATCGGCAGACGGCTATCCGCATCTGGAGGGCATCATCTAGAACATGACCACCCCGGACTTGACGGGAGCCAGAGAGAGACAAGCGTGCCAGCCAGCGTGCCATCTACCCGAGCAGCCGCCAATCTGCTACCGTAGCTTCTCAGTGTGTGGTTCGAGAGCGATCCTGTCGATTCACTGCGTTCGCACCTCTCGGCAACCCCCCTGCCCAACACGCCCCCTCCACCCCTTCCAATCTCTCGTGGAGGGGGTGAAAGCCACTGGTGGTCCAGAGCAAGTGTGGCGAGTGCTGAACGACCCAGGCCCTCGGCCTGCAGCCGTCCCTTGCGGCCTTGGACCACGAACCACTGTACCTAGGTAGTCAGTCTGTACAGCAGCAGAGCATGTACTGTACTCGTCGCCTTATTAATCCGAAGCATTGTCGCACCGCAGCGCGCTCTCCCTCGCGATGCGAGGCCCCCCCCCCAAAGTCACGACCGTGTCTGGCCATCACACGGGGTCCTGCCGTCGAAATGGCGTCGTCCCCGTGTCGATTTCTGTCTCACTTTGACCACCTCGTCGCGGGCCTGGCGCCCAAGTGCAATTGGTTATGCGCCTCGCTCGTACGAAGCGGCCCGCCCACGGTGATTCGCCCGGCCAGCAACAGCACAAGGCCATCCATCCATCCATCACCCGAGCATATGCACGCAGATAAACAACCCGGCCAGAACATCTTCTGACGCGCAACCTTCGCCACAGCTGAGGTGTGGCTTTTCGGGGAGGGGGGGGGGGACAGAGTGTCGATCACTGTGGCTTGACCGGCCATCCGACGTCACCCCCGTCATGGGCCGTCATACTGCAGGCACTCGAGCCTATCTTGGGTCGTTCGTCGAGGTTCCTCCTCACGATTCGTCCAGACCAGAGACGCCGGTGCTCGCTTTTGCATCCGTAGTGCCGTGTGCTGTGTGCTGTACCGATGGAGGACGACCGGCGGCCTCAGATTGTGGGCAGAACCGATGATGTTTTGTCACCCATGGGCGGCTTCCGGGCAGATGCACCAGGGTACATAGCAGTCGGTACTGTACCGCTGTCCTGGTCCCCAATGCTACTCTGTGCCGACGAACCGAGAGACACCACACCGCTGCGTGCATCTCAACCAACAGCTGCGACACGGCATCACGTCCCGGGAGAATAGGCGAATGGCGGTTGAGTGAGCCTCAACGGCCGGGTTGGCTGGGTGGTCGGTCGGCCATCGCTAATAAACCAAAACCGTTCGCAAGGATCCCCAAGATGAGCCAGCGCAGGTACCTCACAGTATGGCAAAACCTTCAGCTGGCGTAACCTCTCTTGGCGCGGGACTTTGTCCAAAAGCGTCTCCTTGTACAGGCTGTTCTGCAGTAACGCGCAATGTATCTGAGCTTATTCTATAGGACGGTTTTCGAGCCAACACCGAGCACGAATATCGTCAACCCACAGTCAGTTAAGTGACGCTCGACTTGGCCGTGGACGGCTTAGGTTATCTTGTGTGGAACACGCCCGTGCTGCAAAGTAACCCACGGTTGCTGTCGACTGACCATACGGTATAGACTACTCGGTACAAGGGTCATGACACCGTCATGCTGCTGCTCTGTTGTTGTGCGTGCGGTACCCGCCCGAGCTAAGCGTATTTTGTTTCATGCCGCGCGCCGATGACATCAGTCAGTCAGTTAGTCAGTCAGTCAGTCAGTTCCCTGAGCCGCTAAACACCACACTAAATTGAAATAAGGAGAGTGACAGGCGAAATTACCCGTGCCTAGCGCCTCGTGGCTTCCCTCCCAATCACCGCTCGCCCACGGCCCAGAGCAGGCATCTTGGCTAGGCTGGTTCGCCGAGTCTCATCAAACTTCAAATAGTCCGTCCGGCGTGGAATCTCCGAGCCAGAACGGCAGCCCCGCCCGGGAAACTCTGAGCTCGCTCTCTCTCTCTCTCTCTCTCTCTCTCTCTCTCTATGTGTGTGTGTGTGTGTGTGTGTGTGTTATCACTCTTGCTCTGCACACAGCCTGCCACCTTGCACGGTGACGTCGGACCCAGAAGAGTCTGTCCTTCTCCATTTCGCGGTCCATCCCTTCTTTGGGCCATGGTGGCCGTTGAGGGCGCCACCCAACGCGGCAGTAGTGCATGTGCCCGGGTAGTGATGACAGCGAGGGCAGAGTGGTAGTACTAAGATGGCGTGCCCTGTCTCCGCGCTGGTCTACTGGCGGTTGTGAAGTGGGCAGCTGGGGCCGTTGAATCAGCACGCGGTCAGCACCAAGCCTGCTGCAACCGAGCTGGATGGACTGCATGCCAGACCTACCCCCGGTGGTGCTTGAACTTAGTTACAAGTAAGTCTACAGCACAGGGAAAACTGGGCGCACCCACCACCCCTTGAAGTGCCGGTCGACTTGTGTAGCCAGGGACGACAGTTGCAGGTGACGAGAGGACATTGCTCGGAGATGAGCATATTCTTCGGGCGTCATTATTTCTCCCCTTGTCTCACAATCAACATGAATAGCTGAGCATCGTCACGTCTCATCCCCCCGCGCCCCCCCACCCCGAGCAAGTCCCGGTGCATTGGTGGAAGAGGGAAAAGGTAAGTAGAGAGAGGTAGAGAAGAAGAGGAGAGCTTGATGCGCCTGTATTCAGCACTCAGTATGCGCGCAACACTGGATGGACACATTTTACCGCCCTGGATGAACTCGGCTCGAATCTTGACACCAACATCGTCGCTCTGGTATTGTCTGGTCCTGCTTGTCCAGAACCTTGTCAACCTATGTGTCCTCGTGGTCCACCACGCACAATGCACATCGAAGCCCGGCCCACGCATGCCTTCTGTCCTTGCCCCGGCGCCCCTTAACCCCCTAGATGGCTCCCACTCACAAGCTGCAACTCTGGTATGCCGCGTGCGTCTTCCGAGCCGCACGTCTCCTTCGACGTAAATGATGTAGTAAATGTTCGCGCCAGATCACTGGGCCAGGGAAGGCGTATCCCAAAAAGAACAACAAAAAACTGCCCCCCCGACGAGGGACTTGGTATCTCGAGAAGTGTTTTTGCCAACGCCGTAAAAACACATATTCACCCAACCCGTGTATAGTTAGTTGTGGCCGTGTTCGTGTTTGCTGATGAACTCTTTTTGAGGAGCCGACCTGCTAATGATTACAAGGCCCAAGAGTTTAGGTAGCTCTTGGTCCGATGAACACCACAAAGAAAACCCCCGGTCCCCCCCTGCTCTTCTCTTCCAGATGTTGTGCTTCAGAAGGCAAGCCGGAGCTCGTAATTACTTTGTTGTAGCGTTTGCGTCCCTGAAGCGTCGTCCTCTTCGCCGGGTGCGTCATCCAGTGACATTTCCCACTCACGCTTCACTGGCTGCTTTTGCTCGATAATGTCCAGGACCATATCCTGCCCCTCGGAGAGCTCTTTGATTACGTCGTCATCCATTTCGACCTCCAGCCCGCTCTGCAAGGTATGCAAAACCCGGGACACTCGCTTGACGTCGATGTTCCATTTTGACGCGATGCGTGCAACAAACTCGGGCAATGTGCGCTGCATGAGATAGATGGCCCTGTGGTACTCGCGCGCCTCCTTCTCTGCCCCGTTCTTCTTGAGCACGTAGAAGCACGCGATCGGCTTCGCAGATCGCTCGGGCGGTGGCCGGTAGGACGGATCAACACCCAATGCCTCGATCCAGCCGCTGAGTCCACCTGCGTCCGAGGCCTTCTGGACGCGAGTTGGCTGTAGGGAGCCTTGTCGCGACGACGGGTCTGACCCTACAGCCGCACGTTCCTGCCACGGCACGCCCGGTACGGCGACAGATGCGGCTGAGTGCAGCGACAGCGAGCTGGGAGACGGAGACACGAGCGACCCAGTCACAGAGCTGTGCGTGCTGCGGTCTCTCCAGGCGGTGCTGTCCCGGGACTCGACCTTGACCAGGTCGAGAGACGAATCGCCGGGCAGTGAGACCGGGTGCGCGTCTGGGTCGTCGAGGTCGTCACCCTTCAGGTAAAGTACGCTGACTGGCCGGGTGCTGGTGAACATGTCCTGTAGGGTCTGCAGCTTGAAATGAAGATCGTCCTCGAGTGCGTTTCGGGCGCCGCCGCTCCCGCCACCTGCCGAGCTGGCAGACGACATGGACCACGTGCGCTTGTGTTTCTGGACCTTACCAGGCCTCTGGCTGCCGTCGGTACCTTTCATTTGTGACCCACCGGCCCGCTTGCGCTTGCCAAAATCCTTCAGGCCGCTCTCGGCTTGCGCGATTTGTTGCTTGAGCTTGTCGATCGTCTTCTTGACGTGTGCGACATCGTTGGACAGTTTCCGTTCGGCGCCATGGTCGCGGAAGAGTTTGACCTTGCAGTAGCATATCTCGGGCGTGGTGTCTGTGGCAGAAGGCCCCTCGGAGTCCAGAGCACTCGTCTTGGCGCAAAGACGCACAGGGATTCCCTTGACGCCCTTCGAGTGGCTGAAGTCCGTAGAGAGGAAGTTGAAGCGGACGGCGACGTTACACTCGACGGCACCGTTGACGCCGGGGGTCCATATGACAGAGAAACCATCGAACGAAGCGCTTTCCAGCTCCACCCTCGTCCGCTTGTCGTCTCCCTCCGCGGGCTGGCCCGCCTCGACGTATTCCACGGCCTGTAGTTTGCCACCCCGCTGGTGTGCCTCGTTCGTACCCCGGCCCTCCTTCCACAGGCTCCAGCAGACACCAGGCTTCTGGCGTTGCTGTTCATCCTCGAACGAGACGCGGACGAATGTCCTAAGGCGAGTTCCTGGCGCAATAGGGATGGCGGGCCGCGTGTCCACTATGGACAGCGAATAAGCCTGGCCCTTGTTGAGGTATGTGACTGGGATCTCATCTGCGTGCTTGATCATAGCAGTCGGAGCGTTGAGTGTAACATGGAAACGGTACTTCTCGGCTGAGGGATGCATCGGGAGCGGCATGGCCATCCCATACTGCTGCCTGGGCTGGAAGCCCATCATGGGAGACTGGCCATGGAAGGCGCTATCAATGGAACCCATGCGCTCGTCGCCCTGGTCAGAACCCATCGGAGAGCCATCCTGATCCATGGTCTCGTAGCCGGTATCCTGGTGGACAAAGGTGGAGGGGGCGAAAGACTGCTGCTGCGGATGGGGCTGGACGAATGGGTTGAATTGCGGCTGCTGATGGAACTGGGCGGGATGCAGGTTCGTGGGCCCGTGGTGGAAGCCAGCGAGATCCATCATAGCAGGGCCTGGGGTAGGACCTGGGACTGTGCCCGGGCCGGAGCCGGGGCCAGACTGCATGGCAGCTTCTGTCGTGGGCATCGACAGCGGCGTGCCCAGGCCCATGCCAAACAGGCCAGGGGTGTGCAGGTCGCCAGCTTGGGGATGATACAAAGTGTTCGTGCCGCCAGGCGTTGGAGTATAGTAGCCGGGCGGGGCATTGGCGAAGTTGGTGAAGGAGAAGGAGTTGGGATCCATCAGGGACGGAGTGAACCTCCAGGGCTCATTTGAAGCCCTGGGAGTGGGATCCTGGTCATGGAAGGCATCATGACCTAAGCCGTGGGCTCTGTGTAGTAAAAGTGGCAGTCAGTAATTGGACATTGGCTTCGTGGAGCTGCTCGCGGATGTGTTCGCGGCCCTCCAGACAGTAGAAAAGGAACACAAGGCTGAGCCCGTGACAAAAGCCAAAAAAGGCTGGGCGTGGGTGCCCCAAAACTGCCCCTCAGGGCAAGACTGGAGCTCCCCATTCCCCCAAAATCCCCAAGAGCCACAGGAGGCTGGAAGGGTGAAGGGCGCTGCGCCTGCCTGTACCCCGCGTTCTGCTTCCCAGTCTCGCGGCAGCAGTAGGAGATTTGGAGAAATCTTGCCAAGCCGGGCCCGGCGCGACATGAGATGATCGCTGAGGAGCCAGGAATCAAATGCTCCTGCCTTGTGGGCCGGCAACGAGTATTTCACACAGCCTGACACGACGCGAACGCTCTCTCTTTCTCTTCCTCGGGCGCACGCGCAACCACATACGGCGCATGTAGCGCACAAAGCGCACAAAACACGCAGGCACCAGAACAACACACGTACCTGTCTTGCGCATTATGTGCGGCTCCTGGAACTCCGGCGGTAGTCGTCTGGGACGATGAGGGGGCGGCAGACGAGCCTGCTGCGACCTCAGGGAAGTGTTGCCTGAAGTTGGCGATCAGGTCGTCGCCCGGCTTTTGCGAGCTTGTCCTGTGGGTGCGGAGAGCAATCGTTAGCGTCCACGCCCTGGACTGATCTCAACGGGCAACGCCAGCTCGCATCCAGCCTCGTCCTCGGCTCGCACAAGCACTGACCCATCGGGCACGAGGGAGTGCTTGTTCGCGCTAGGCACTTTTGCCCAGCACACCTAAATCGTGCGAGGAGCGGGCACATGGGGACGGGGAGCGAGGTGAACCGGGCCAAAGGGATGTTTAGTACTCACCGTTGACGGAACATTTGGCTTGTGACCACGGTCGGCGCGTTGCCCGGGGAAGAATTCCCAGCTAAAGCGTAGACAGGCTATCTCGGATTTGGATCGTAGGGTAAGAATTGTGATGGCAGCACCAGCGGGACCGCTAGACGGGCTGCAGAGTCAGACCAAGGAGGCTGGGAGGATGGCGGCCAGGCGGTCGTGGTGGCGGTGACGGCAGTGTCTCGGATTCGTGTGGGGAAGGATGCCTGGAGAAATGGCGAGGCTGCGACTTCATAGAGCACGCGGGATCGCGCGTTAAGCAGGTTCGAGTGAAGTGTGAGGTATGATGAATGGTCATGCGCCTCCCAGGTTGGGACGAGTCGAGCCGAGTCGCATTCGAGCCTGGCCGGATTGGCTTGATCGCAGTGGGTCAACCTCCAGTGAGACACCCTCGGTGGTGTGGTGCAGTGATGGGAGTGCGCGGTGCTGCGTCTTTAGTTAATGACCTTATTTTCCCGCCTCTTTAAGACCTGAGCTGCGGGTGTGCCTGATGTCACAATCCACTCTGCACTGGGCCGAAATAAATCTAGAAACAACCGCGTGGCGTTGGGAGCGAATGAAGCGGTTGGCGATCGTGAACCCTGTCAGATGATTTTTTTTCCTTCTCTTTTTTCTTCCGTGGGAGATTCTTTCTTGGATGCGTTCCTTCCTTGAGTTTGTCTTTGCCTGAGGGTCGCGGGGGTGCGAAAAACGAGAGACAGCGCCCGTAAGCTTAGGGTGGGTGGATGAGCAAGTGAGCGAGCGAATTGGTGATTGAACGAGCGAGCGAGTGGTGAGAGGCAAATAGAGCCCCGAGTTCGAAGTCCTCAGTCCAGGAAACAAAGTAGTCGCAAGGTTGGGTCGCAAACGACAGCACACGGATGCGCGTAGATGTAGCCGTAAATGCGGACGCAGAGGCAAATGCAAAGGCAGATAGGTGCAGGTGGAGGTGCAGAGGTAGAAGAGGTAGAGGAGGCAGAGAGGCGCGGAGAGAAAATATGCGCCAGACGATCAAGGTCAGGGCCGGGGCAGAGCAGGGTAGGGCTTCGGGTTGCGCGCAGGCCGGGCAAGGGTAGGCAGATCAGGAGAAGAAGTCGAGCAGGCTCTTAAACAAAAAGGCCCGAGAAGGTCAAGACGAATAAGTATAAGTCAGAGTGGGAGCCAGAACGGTGAGGGCGGGCGGCGGGAAGCAAGGCACCATATGTACTGCACGCGCGCTTGTGTGTGTGTGTGTGTGTGTGTGTGTGTGTGTGTGCGCGTGTAGGTGAGTGGTAGGTATATAGGCCCAGCCAGGCAGGTCGAGCCAAGTCGGGTCCAAGTGGAATCGCAAGGTGGACGAGGCGTGGCGCGAAATATAGGATAGAATGGCTGGCCAATGCCGACAGGCGGGAGGTGGAGCCGTGCTTCCTCGGATATAGGTGGCCAGGTAGACAGAGTGCCAGACACAGATAGACAGGACGAGTCGGGGCCCAGGCAGGGCGGGCGAAGAGAGGTAGAAGTAGAGAAGAGAAGGCGAGGCAGGTGTAAGCAGCACAGGTGTGCGGTGTTGACGGCTTTGACGACCGGCTACTGCCTCGACTGGTGCTGCACGAGTGACTGCGGGCGATGTTCGAGAGAAGGAGGCACGAACTTATCCAGACTGACGTTGTCCGGGAGCGGTCTGTTTGTTGTATTCAATCCTGAAGAGGTGACAGCAGAACAGACATAAAAAGAACAGTGTGCGCAGCGATCGACATCGACATAGGCCTTGGGACTTGAACCTGACCTCTGGTCCTTCCTTGACCCTTGAGCGCGGGAGCGGCAAGCGGTCGCAGAGTACCAGTTACCCAGAGGCAGGGGAACCAAGGAGGAGGGAGGGAGCAGCAGTAGGAGGAGCCAGCACGCAGTAACAGTAAAAGGGCAACGGCTGTCCTGGGTCCACCTGCTGGCTGCGTGGGTACCGACTACCAGGCAGGTACTCGGTACGGAGGCAGAGGTCAGCGGGGAGGGGGTGTGCGGGTATTGTGTGCAGCATCTGTCGCCCGGCGAGGTGAGGGGGTGGGGCTATCGGGCCGGTCACAGGTACGCCGGGCCCACATGCACCACACCACGCTCGCACTGCACTCTCCCGCACGGCTGGATGACGGAACGTCGAGGACAGCAGCCAGGAGACAGGCGCGGTGTGTTGACCAAGCGAGCGTCAATAGTGGCCAGACAGACACTCGGAGACAGACACCAGAAGGGGGTGGACGGGGGGTACAAACCCACCATGTCACCGCAATCATAATCTGCTTTGCAGGGCTCCTCCAGCCTGACCCATCCATGCATCCATCCATCCAACCCACTCGCCCTGCCACCCACACCCGTCTGATGCCAGTCTACCGCGGCCAAGTACCAAGTATCTGATCCGGCGGATGGTACTGTGCACAGCCAACGGTCCACGGTCCATGTCGACACATGGACCAGGGCCCCACCGGCGTCCTGTACCACAGCTTCGGGGCGCGGCAGGCTTCCCGACTCATCATCACTCATCACTCACTCCCTCTTCGATCAGTCATTTCCTGGTGGCGACCAGGCGGAGGCGCCAGCACCAGCACCAGCACCAGCACCAGCACCAGCGGCGGCGGCAGCGGCAGCGATATCCTCAATCCGCTGAGGAGTCGGCGGCGGCGACGGCAGCAACGGCAACAGAAACATCCACTCCACATCATCCTTCCTGTCTGAAGAGAGGGCCTGGCCACAAGGTGCAGCTTGGGGTGCGAAAGGACACCCCGAGGCTTGAGCACTTCCGGCTTTTCATGTGGCTGAGCAGATATTGTGCATCAAGATCGCTGCCCTCGCTTCGAGACATGGTGGGGTCCTGTGTGCCTGTGGGAGCCCACCGTGCCGGCCCTTGGCAATGTGGGACTTTGCACCAGACTATCCAGACCCGCCCCCATCCTCTCAAGGTGTTGCTGCGCGGAGGCTGGTTGGGCTGGTTGACTTGATGCTGTGCTGTGGTGGGCCTGCACCGGATTTTGTTGTTTACATTGCAAGCATACTCGGTCGCTCTCTTGGCCATGTCGACAAGGTCTGCTGCCAAGGAAGGACGCACGTGAACCCCACGAAGTGTCAATATATGGTTTAGAGTCCCAACTATGCAGAGGCTAAAACCTTCATTCGGAGCGTTATACCACGCTCACGCCGGGAACACTGCCTATCCAGGCCCCAGGCCAATTCTCGGGGACTGGCTGGGTGCAGGACCTCCTTGCCTCTCCTGGCCGAGCCCGTCCCATATTGTGCTTTTCCTTCCCTCATGCAGGGTCTCCCAGCCTGCGCTATCCCAGGCCGCATTACTACCACACAGCATCGTACAATATCACCGGGTCTGATATCGACATGCACGCCACTGAAGATAAGACAGGCGCCTCAGCTCTTGCTGCCCATCAACGTTTCCCCTCTCCCTTTTCCCCATCCCCCATCTCCCAGCCCAAAATCCCGTTCCCTGCCAGCCCCTGCCACGCAATGCCTTGGCTCTGTTCGTCCGGGTTCATCTCGGCGAAGACGAGGCCGTAACATTGCAGAGAAGAGAGACGACAGTCTGACCCCTGGGCACGACCTGCGCCGTTACATCGCGTCGTCTAAATCTTTGGAGAATCCCGATTGCATCTTCGCCCAAGCCAGAGGACCCTTGCCTAATAGGGGCGCCGTGAGGCGGTGCAGCTGCCGCTTTCGCCACAGGCCCTTGTGTCACCGCGGTACGCCGCTCCCCTGAATCTGCTCTTCGCTAATTAGCCAGGCGACGGGCGCCAGAATTGCTGCCATGTCCCCGGCAGTGAGCGAGCGATAAAAGGACGAATCAGGACTGCGGACTGCCAAATGCAGTAGTGCGTGCCGACTGACAGCTTACGTAGTGTGCTACTATGCGCGATTGGGCACCCCCCCCCTCCACCCTCCGTTTGGCTGTAGGCGGCTGCTGCTGAACTTTGTCTCAGAGCGGTCTGGGTGGCAGTAGGCCATTCGCTGGTGTCCATCCTCCGTCGGTCGCAGGCTGGGGGCAAAAGCCGAGCATTTGCGCTACACCACAGCATCAGGGCTGTCTGGGCTGTGCGCTGTGGGTGGGTGTGACAAGGGAGCACGTGGCAGAGCATCTGCTGTGTTCATGAGGTTTGGATGTCCCAGTGGTGCGTACGGCCCGTGGGTGAGTGCGCCCCCTTCCCCCGAGCTGGCGGGTCGCTGTGGACTAGACTGCTTCGCACATAGTCATAGTCTGCATATACTTTTGCTGAGAAACCAACCTTTAGCTACCTGCGCGCGGTTTACACTATTAGGTTTCGGCAAGGGCAGAGGACACATGCGGAATGACAGAGCCCACAAGGCTTGATCGACAGCACCTTACCCTGCCAAGTTAGCAGATCGCCGTGCAGATAAACTTAAACAGATCGCTAACCCGACTTTGAATGTCCTCATCGAATTAAAAGGTTGGAGGCCTGTGGCTTGCGTGGCTGGTGCTGCGTAGACGTCGCCACAGTGGTATGCTCAGGGCCTATTGTCATCTTGGGCTCGGATTGCACTTGCTGCCTCGCCTACGCGGCGTGCCGTGTAGGATCCCATGGGGGGCACACATGCCAGACGTAGATGTGCCTACCCTTCACAGAGTATGAACGCCCGCCCGCCGCCCGCATGCACAGGCAGATAAGCTTAGCCGAGGCCCCCTCGCCCCTACAGCGCAGAACCGATAATGCCAGAGCAGGTGACTTTCTCACTCCCAGGCCCTCCAAAGGCTGTACCACCACTGCGGCCCGAGATTTGACTGGCAATGGCCGCCGGCGTATTTCCTAAAGAACGTACCTTGCTTTGGGACTCAGGTGACCCCCCTTGGCGCGTTGCACCATGCACAGGTACCTAGGTAGGTACTTCTGTAAGGTTTCCAAATAGGCACACTAGGCCCTAAGCAAAGCAGACGGCATCACTAACTGCCCTTGTGTGTCTGTCGGCCCCAGTCCCCGTGCCTGTTTGGACACGGCACAGGCGGATTGGTTTACCAAGACGCTCGCGAAAGCCCGTTTTCCATCCCAAGCCCGTGTGTGGAGCAAGCACGCGAGGATGGCTTCCACGGACCTTCTAGAAATATCATCCTGGGCATTGGCAAGCGTACACGACCACACCCACAAACATAATGCTCCTGTCTCGGATGCATTGACATTGATGCTTGCCAATCTCGGCGAACCAGACTTCCACAGCAGAGCGCGTGTCGGGCATTCCCATCTGGTCTACAACAAACGCCCAGATGCCAGGGTCGACTGCTATAGGCATCGCCATCCCTGGGAGCCTGGTCGGGCGTATTACGGCCCTGCGAAGACGTTGAGACTAGCGGAAGGGGTTAGACAATGCACGGCAGGGTCCCAAAGTCTGGTCCGATGCTTTCTTTGTTGACGATGTGGAAACACGCTTCTAGTGCAACAGACGCCTTTCCGTTACCCCAATTATCGGCTGCACCTGATATAGCCACAGCGTACTGTAGGGCTGATTACCCAGAATAGCACAACCCCAACATCGTGCGCCGTTGGACCTAGGGAGCCGACGTCGAGGTTGAATGCTGGCTGCTGTGCCTCCGGTGTCAAGGCTCCCAGGTCGGCCCGCCCTCCACGTACGGCTGGGATGTCTCGTCGGGCCCACCTCGACTTGCCGCCGGGAGAAATATCTCCTCACAGCGTATGCTATAGGCCGGCAGGGACAGCAACGGTCGTGGGTCTGGGATTGGTTTCGTTTACTGGGTGCACACCACTCACTGAGCGAGGGGGGTTGCTGTGCTGGATACCGGTACTGGGTACATTCTGTTTGCGATGGTCGCAGGTGGAGGAAAGTCTCTTGAGTGTAAAAGAGAGAAGTCGCGCATGATACAGAATGCAGGTAACAAACAGCAACGGGAGTCCCTGGACCCTGGGCTGTGCTGAGGATCGAAAAATGCCATGATGGATGAATCTTCACCATGATCGCGGAGGTATTGACGTCACAGCAGACCCGGTCTCGAGTCAAGCCGACACACAAGCCGGCGTCCGTGGGACGGCAGAAGGTTACGGTGGGCATGCAGACATGCTTGACATGCCAGGCCCCATCGACAAAATTCAACGCTGGGCCCCCGGGGGAGGCTCGGCGTGAGTGTGAGGGGAGCTCGAGGCCCACAGGGCGACCCACGCGGTCTGATCCTGAGCCTGAGCCTGAGCCTGAGCCTGATCAGACACCTGACTGACTGGCTGGCTGACTGACTGACTGAATGATTGACTGACTGGAGCACACACAGGCAGATGGGCAGATGGACAGACAGGTGGGAGGAGCATGTCTCGTCTGGCACGGAAATGCAGAATGCCATTCCCCATCGACCAGCCGTCCAATCAGGGGTCAAAGGCTGGCTTCCATCAAGCCGTCTCCAGTCTCCAGTCCCCACCGCCTGGGCATCCAATCCAGCCAGAACCCACCACAACTGCCACACCGACCTCCACCTGTGCAGCGAACGTCGAGCTCCAGCTTCCCTGCCCGGCAATCTGAACTGTCTAACCCCCACTGGCTGTGCTCCCCTGCTCCCCTGCTCCCCTGCTCCCCTGCAGAGCCTGACTTGCCTGACTTGCGAATTGGCTTTCGCTGTGACGTCACCGCGACCTGGCGCAATGAGGGTGAAGGCCTAAAACCCAAAACCTCCGACTGGCAGCGCCCCAGCAGACGACCGCTCACCCGCGCCCACTACGCGGTCCACTGTGCAGCACGGCACAAAAACTGAGAGCAAGTCCCCATGGCAAGATTCCAGAGTTGTGTGTAATGCGCCCGTGCCGGGCCGTATGTAGATAGATGTCTTCTCACACCAGCGCGACTTGCCTCGGCTGCACCACAGCAGTGACCGACCGAACCATACTTGCATCCCCTGCCATGGCAATTGACAATTACCGTCCAGTGGAAGGGCCTCGGAATACCCTCCTTTTCACCAGCAGGATGGGGACCCCGTTGCGTCCCCCTTGCGTCACAATTCACACGGCCGACGCACATCTGCGGCGCGAGTCCCTCCTGGCGAAGCAGTCGGCTCAGGGAAGTTGACTCGCTCTCGGAGACAGGCCCCGCCCGCAACCTTCCGCACGCCGCTGTCTTATTCTATGTGTCCATGTACGGACGTATCAGGGCCCCCCGGGACCTACTGTACGTACCGAAATACTTGTACCGTACCTAGGTGTCGTGGGAGGACCTGCCGAGGGTGGGTGGTGTGAGCGCACACCACTCTTGTTGCTCCCTGCATCCCGTCCTTTTTTCCTCTCGAGAGGGAAAATAAGTGCGTGCCCCTCTCTGTCCGGTTAGACGGGCCCTGTGCACGTCCGCCCGGCCCATCGGCTGTCGCAGTACACCGTGCAAACAAGGACCCCAGCAACGGAGTTCCCAAGATCATAAGAATGTCGTCATTGTGGGGACGTGACAGCTCGCTTCTTCCGCCCTAGCCTCTTTTCGTCCAGCGACGCGAGATGTCATCGAAACCTCCCGAGCGGCGCCCCGACAGGGACTGACTGCATGCAAGGACGGGGCCCTTTTGGTTCTTTCGTCTTTCGGCGTGCGTCTTGCGTCCTGACCATGTGGCCACCATGCTTTGTCACTGATTACAAAAGGGGTTTGCGAACCAAGGCGGATTCCACACCGTCAGCATCATTGTGCTCGGTACGCGGTACCAATGATGGCAACGAGAGGCAAATCCCACCGCTGGCCGGCCTCCCCCTGTGTGCGCAAACGCCACCCTATTAGACTACCACCTCGTCGGCGGCAGAATTGGGTTATAATAAGAATATCCAAGACCAAGTACTCATCCCTTGGCCCGACATGTCCTGCCTGATTGGGCTGTGCACGACACATCGTCTGGGCTTCACTGGATGAACGCTTTGGGATTGCATGTGCTCAAACAACTAAGGCGCTCACCATATCCCGACCGGCCTGGCTCAACCAGTGCCCGGTAAAATACTGTCTCGATGGACGCGATGCGGTCAGTATCTCAGAGCAGGTTTCACCAAAGCGTTCTGTGTGCCCAAAGTGTGTGTGCACCCGCATGTGTGTGCACCCGCATGTGTGCACACACACACACACACACACACACACACACACCTACCGAGTGCTGGCCGCCCCAACTGGGCCCGTCAGCCCGTCAGCCCCAACGTGCTGATCCAGGGTCCAAGAAACCATGCAACAATGCCGAAGAGCTAGAGCCAGGATTTTTTTCTAGAAGCACCTTGGGGATGCCGATCATCAAACGATTTCCTCCCACACATATACCCAACATGTTTGGATGCCGAGATACGAGCTCGTGTGCTCTCCTCCGCGTCCCACTCCGGCAAGGACCACCGATCGCACAAGATGGGGTCGGCCGCGCAACCTGTGTTGGCGATGACGGGAGGGATGACAGGTACCCTTGACCGTGGTTCCCACGGCTCCCGTCCCGGATGTGTCCTGGCTGTGTAAGCGGGCTGGCGGGCGGGCTGTCAATTTTGAGCTGGTGGCCGGAGATGGGTCGACGATCATTTCTCGACGCGGCACACGCAAACTTGGCCGCGGCGTCAATAATGCAACGGCTCGCGCATGGGCCCTGCGTCCCATCCTCGTACCCAGATAACCATAGATATGTTTCCATGAGTGCATCACTTATTTTTGGCACGACGATCGGGCTCTCTGGGCTCAAGTTGACCTGTCAACTCGATCGGTGACGGCTGTACGTACCCATTGTGTCCAAGCTTTGCCCTCCGGGCTACCCAGCCAGCCTGCGGCTTGTTGGACCCTGAATATCACGGCGGTCATCTCTGGGTCGTGTTGGGTCCTCCTCGGGCGCACTAACCAACCGAGATGGTACCGCCAGCCTGTACAGTGAACTGTGTAAAGTGGGATGGATGACATGCTCAGGGGTTCGTCGAGCAACGGTCGGTAGGTATGGGACCGGCCGCTGGCGCAAACCTTCTCTCCGGCCCCAGAGCCCGCCCCCGGTTGCCACGGACGTGGGTGAGCCAGATGAAGAGACCTCGTGTTCAACAATGTGTTGTCCGGATACGACGTCTCGGGACGGGGGAGCTTCGGCAGTGGGTGCCCGTCCCGGGGCTTCGGCGTTCGTGGGCCGGGGTCCCCAAGAGTGGGATGGGAATAAGAAATAAAATTATACTGTGTGTGTGTGAGTGAGTGTGTGCGTGTCTGTCTTGCTTTCCCGTCGGCTAAAGAAGTCCATCCAATATCGCAGCATGCTCGGTACAATTGTAGGCAGGTAGTCTATACCTCTGCTTGTCTCGTGACATCGTCTGTGTGCACAAGATCTACACTCCTACCTGTGCGATCACGAGCCCCTCAAAGACGAATCCTTGCCCTATTGCTTCATCTTGGGCGGCGGTGATCGCTTGGAGAAAGGCATCCCTGGTTCACGAGATATCGCCACAATGACTCTGTGACAGGCTTGAATCGCATCAGCCATGTCTGCGCGCGTATCTGACGGTAAATGGTCATCAAAGCGCTGCGGGCGTCTTGAATGATACACACACCCTCGAGCCCAGCGGCGTGGAAAGAGCAGAGTATGCGATTTGACGTCAGGGGCCGAGTCAGTTTTTGAGTTCGTACCGAACAACTTGGTTGCATTTGTGAGCAGGAACCTCCTGTCACGGTTCCCAAACTCAGGGTCCCCAAATCCCATGGGCGCAGGGCCGGGCGATGACGCCGGGTGGGAAAACATTGGGTACAACATTGGGTACAAACACGATGCGCTTGAAACCGCGCAGAAAGCGTGCAATGGTCTGTCAGTTGGGTTGGTTAAAAAGAACAAAGCGTCTCCGTCCATGTCCCATCGGGAGATGCGTAGATGAATCCTCATCTCCAAACGGACATAGTTATCTCCATGTGGACAGCCTTCCAGATCCGGCCAACTGACCCTGGGACGGACTCGAGGCCCCAAAGAGCTGTGGTCCGCCCATTTGCTGGCCTCATCCCGGCCGTGGAGAGATTCACAGTCTGAGACGACGGCAACGTGCCGAGGCATGCTGCTGGGCGGCCTGGCATTGGCATGCTGACATAACAGGCAACCCCGCGGACATCCTGCTGCATCCTGCGATGTCTCCCTGAGCCATGCCCGTCCAAGATTGCGATGGCTGAATTCGTCACCCATACTTGAACCCTTGAAATTGCCCAATCACACAAGGAGGGGAGGCGGATGTGAGTGGTGTTCTGTGAGGTGAGGTTGTCGACGGGTAGGACGGGGGAGAGTATGCTCGTGGCTGAATGATTGGTCGCGGTGCACCTGTACGTTTCCTTGTGTCTCGCCCGTCATGTGCAACGGGCGAGGCTGCGATAGCGAGCCGCAGCAGGCTCAGCTGCCCCTCCATCTTTCCCAGCCTGGGTCCTCAGACTGTCGCAGCGAAGGCACCTGGACCACCTGGACCATCTAGTCTGCTATTGCAGTAGGCCACCTACCTACCGGCCTAGGTAATAGTCTACCTAGGTAGTCAGATGTTCAGGAGACGAGGTAGACTGGCCTACCGACTGCGTGGGTGAGACGGGATGCTATTCAGGCCCAAGCTGCTTATCTTATCGGGGTCCCCCGATTGCGCATTCTGCTACGCTGCGGTCTGGCCTCGCCTCGCCTCGCCGTGCGCAGTCCCCCTTCCATCACATATTCTTCCTGGTCCGACTGACGACTCGCGGATCTGTCTGCATCACCGCCATTCCCTAACCCCTACCAAGGTCTAGACACCTTTCACGAAGCCAGAAGGTGCTTCTTGCCCCCTTTTCCCTCGCACTCTTCACCTGATCGTGTCTGTCGCCTCGGGAACACGCAGCGGTGATCATAGGAGACGCTTCGTCCTCGCAAGCCGGGCCTCTGCCCCTTTGTCCCGCTGTCTCGCCGCCCCCCTGCCCTCCAAGATGTCAGCATCGGGTGCCCCTCCGACGATAGCCCCTCCCCCAGAGGAAAACCACAGCGACAGCTCCAAGCTACGCATCTTCATCGGTATCCTCAAGAAGTGAGTGTCTGTCTCGAACCGCCCACCGCCTCCCGTTCAATCTCGCTCGGTGCCGCCGTTCCACCCTGGCCTATATCGTGTTTGGCATGGGTTGCGACAACTCGAAACACCAGACCAGGTCCACGACCCCAGCCAGACTTGGGGCTGCCTTGACGAGCCCTCGCTGTCCGATGCTTGGCTGTGGTGCCGCTGCGATGCTGCGTTGCTGCGCGGACGCGGTGGAGTGGTGTTGACGACGCTGACATGCAACTGCGCAGGTTCATTGGTGTTGCCGACCTCGCCTCTGTCCGCTTCTCTCTGCCCTCCCAACTCCTGGAGCCCACGCCTAACCTTGAGTACTGGAACTATCTCGATGCGCCCAATGCGTTCATAGCCATCGGGACCTCCGACGACCCTGTCGACCGCATGCTGGAGGCTCTGCGCTTCTGGTTCACAAAGGATCTGAAATATGCAAAGGGAAAGCCATGCAAGCCATACAATTCTTGCCTAGGCGAGTTTTTCAGGGTATGTCCCGCTCGCTTGCCTTTCGTGGCGTGCCGCTGATTGTATGACGTTGTGTAGTGCAATTGGGAGGCCGAGGATAATGCCCCGAGGATCAAGACCAAGGACGTCACCGCCGGCGGCAGTGTCCCTGGCAGTGGTGCATCCAGCCTCAAGTCTGGCAAGCTAGCTGGACTGGGCTCCGGTGGCTCGCGAGCAGCCTCTACCGTATCAGTCCCGCAGACGGCCAAGGACCCGACAGCCCCAGTCGTGCGCATCTCATACCTGACTGAGCAGACCTCCCACCATCCTCCGGTTAGTGCCTTTTATGTCGACTGCCCTGACAAGGGCCTTCATGCCTGCGGGTTCGATCAGATCAGCGCCAAGTTCACCGGCACATCCATCAAGGTCAGCCCAGGAGAGCACAATTTGGGCATTTTCATCACGTTGGAAAGGAGGAACAATGAGACCTACCAGTTGAAGCACCCGGCAGCTCATCTGGGCGGTCTCCTCCGTGGGGCCCTCAGCGTGAGCGTGGGGGACATGGCCTATATCACTTGTCCGCAGACGAAGCTGAAGGCAATCCTCAACTACTACGACGAGGGATGGCTGCGGGGTTCGACCAACAAAATGGACGGAGTTGTCTTCAAGTACGACCCCGACAACGACGACAAGACGAAGATCAAGGACGTTCCTGAGGAGGACATTGTGATAAGATTGCACGGCGCATGGAAGGAAAAGATCCAATTTACCACAGGACCCAAGCCATTTGTACGTTTTGGGGTGCTCCGCTCTGCTTGTCAACTGTGCGTGCTGACCGCCTTCTTGCAGGATTCCCACCCTCCAGAGGCGAGAACAACTATTATAGATATCGAACCCCTCAGTGTGGCCCCCAAGTCTCTCCCGCCCATGGATCAGCAGCTTCCTCACGAGTCGTTGAAACTCTGGAGCGGGGTGACAGATGCCATTGTGAGCAAACAGTTCTCCAAGGCCACAACAATCAAGCAGGACCTGGAGGAAGCGCAACGCGAGAAGGCCAGGGAAAGGGAGAAGTCGGGCGAGGAGTTCAAGCCGGTCTTCTTCAAACAGGTCACAGGCAACGGCGGACAACCCGAGTTGACTGAGAAGGGCCGGGAGGTACTGAGGCGAGCGCAGAAGGCGGAATGGGATCTGGATGGCGTTGTGCCGTGAGTGAGCAGCTGTGCGACACGACTTTTTTTAATCTGGTTATTCCTTCCTTCTTTATAATCGTTTAAGGCAGGTCTCGGCCGCTTGAGCGCGGGCTGTTCTGGAGGTGAGCGGGGGCTCTAACCCTCACTTCATCTGAGGTTGCATGGCTCTCTGGATCGGGGGCGGCGTTGCTCTCTTGTACACCCGTCATTTCTCGGGTTCATGTTTCGCACAAGAACTGGCGATACAAGGTCAGGCACAGACACACACGCGCGACCACACATACACACACATACACACACATACACACACACATACACATATACTTACAGCTTATACACGCGCGCGCATTCGCCGCTCGGTATCTGGAATTGGGCGTTCAGGATAGAACCAGGCTGCATCTCCAATGTCAAACAAGCTTTCGGCTCTCGTCTTAGCAGTGATATAATTACATGACTATTTTGTAGGTGCATAATTGTATCAGTTGCGTGCTTTGGCCCGCGGGTATCCCAAGGGCTTCCACCGTCGCTGTGTGCTTCGGAAAACCATACAGAGACAAACTGATTCTATCTAAAGTCGGGAGTTATTCTGCAGGATATTGTCGTGCGGAAGACTGTGCGTTAGGTAGGTTGTACCTTGGACGCGCCTTGAGAACCCTACATTGCCAAATTGTGTGTCGTCTTATGTCCCAAGGCGAGGTTGTACCTGGTTGGATCGAATGTGACGCCATCGCACCTGGCCGGCGTTGTGTACTGCAAAGTGAGGAACAGCGAGATATTCAGATCACCATGCCACATGTTGAGCTTTGAAGATGTATCAAACCAGTGCTATACTCGAAAGTGTATTCAGAATGAAGTTGGCCGATACGCTTCAGGCTAAGGAGACGTGTTGGTCGACTATAATATTGCAATGGCGAGCGTTCCCTTCTTGCTAAGGGATCCCGGGATCCCGAGTGATCAGCACAGCGCGTTTCGTATTTGCTGTAAACGTGTGGATGAGCTAGGACATAGTGGCTTTGCTGGAGTGATGATCAGAAACGGTGTGCTTGGCCCTAGATGTGGGAAGTAGATGTTCTGGCCTTTCGTTTGTATTTGGTTATCACACAGCACTTTCGAAGCACGCGATGTTTTTTTTTTTGCCAGAAACTCGTCAGCCGCACAGCTTGGCTGATCTTTGAGAAGGGGCCTTTGGCTGGCACTCGAACCCAGCATTTATGGACAGCCGAGGGCACTCGTGTTTATCAAGCTCTCTTGTAGGTAACTAGTCACCATGGCCACAACTATGCTACTTGCTGGTCGACGGGACTTTTCTGCGTTCAATCGAACAAACAGCGTCACAGGAGTACCAAGGTCGACTATTTTAAGTCGCGTGGGCATGTCGGGACGCAGAAGAGTGTTAAACCCTGGTCATTTTCGTAAGCACACTTTTCTTTCGAAGGCGAAGCAAAGTCTTGGAGGCGGAAGCGTCCGAGTTGAATTTGGTCATAGAAGACACAGTGGATTCTTCTACATATGTAGCTAGGTAGTGGAAGCAGCATCTTGCTCTCCGGGTAAAGTATTCATAGTCCGACTTGGTTGGGGCGAAGCCACGAAAATGAAAGAGCGCTTCCAGCAACATGAACTTTGGGACTTCGAAAGCCCGGGCTATACTAGAAGGTAGGAGCTTAAGATTATGGCTCAGGAGCTCCAAAAGTGATAACTTCCACAGATGAGCCAAATAGAACACCGTTTGCAGCGGAACTTTGCATAGTGGCAGGGAAAGCCAACCAGAAAAGACGGAGATTTCGATAGTGAGCATGCCTTGTCAAGGGATATTCTTACAAAATGACATTGTGCCATGGGGTGCTTCCCAAGCAGCAGATTTTCTTCATTTCGAAAGGGTTTATGCCGCTGGGAAGATCTCCCGCCTAAAATAATTTGCATGACTGGGGGCCATCACTCGATGGGTGTCTGGCTCCATAGTACCGGCAAGGATTCTAGAGGAGGTCGCAATCGACCAAGTATCACTATTGTAAGTCTTCGGGTATTGTTGAAGACATTCTGATCCTTTCTCCTTATAACGACGAAGACATTTGCAGCGTTGGTTGGAGATGACGTCTTTCGTGTAAGGAAAACTTCACCCCACGAGTTGGATAACCAAAGCTGCACTCCACCCCGGAGTAATATGTATTCCCGGAATTCAGTCACTCATATCGAGACATACAGACACTTACCCACAGCAGGAGCATCATTATAGTCCTATGCATGCTTTATGGTAGTTAATGTAATTAGCGGAACTGCTGAGTTGGTCTTCCGTGGTTGTGTAGATGATTATAAAAGGATAGTGAGATACTGGGCGGACTAGATTGGAGAGATCGGGGTTCATCTTGAAGGAGCCTAAGCATGGGAGCAGGATTGAGCCTATGCACGAGAAGATGTACCGTACCTGGGATCGATCGATATCTTTCTGTAGCCAGTCACCTATAAAACATACAATCCAGCCGGCCCCATAGGTGGAGAGGAGTTCCCCGGAGACCGCTAATATCGAATAACCGTCTCGCCTGAAGTGGTTCACATCAGCGCGTTGCTTGCTTGAGGAAATTTGAGCGGACATTTGAGTGCACCGATTGATGGGATGCGTATTGAAGCTGTCCGGGGAACATAGCAGCATCCTGGCCACCAGTTAGAGTAAATTACTAAAAGCAGATACCCGTGCCATACCTTGGAGGAGGGGATTATCGTCCCTACCGGGGTTGTCTGTGGTCGATAGAACATTCTGTCTGCTTGCCCGGGTTACAAATGCTTCGTCAAACCGCCACTGTCACGGTGGCTCAGTAAAAGGCCCGCACGCACGCGCGTCGGGACACACTTATATACAGCCCCTCGCTAGCCCGCTACTTGATCTCGGAGGCAGGCTCAGACAGCTGAGGCATCGCCGTCTCGAGCCAACAGATCCCCGAAGGACACGAGGGCGTTTTGTCGAGCCAGAATTGAGCTGTTTAGCACAACCATGCTCAGTAAATCATCGGGAGAGTAAAGTCAAAGGACGGTTCAGATATTGCTCCCGCCCGGGATTTCTCTCAGTCTCCATGGTAAAGAGGGCGGATAGCTATTGATGCCAGACCGGAGCAGGCTTGTTGGCCCTGAGCGTTGGGCCAAAGGAGCAAGCAGCGCCTTGGGACGAAGGTTCTGCTGGAACTAGGTAGTTAGGTAGCCATCGGCGCACGGCATGCCTCAGTAAAGTCGCGCAAGTGTGCAAGCCAAACTAGGAGAACAAGATTGAGACGACGGGCCAACATGTCTCGCTGAGAAATGCTATCCTACGTTGCAGCGTGCATGGGTACCGGCTTTGGCTGGTCTCGTGGGCCGGATCTTCGACTCGGCCGAGTGGTGGATGGGGTGGAAGACGGTGGATCACTGCCCTATCAGATAGCACACAGGTCGACGAGTTGGAGGGGAAAGCAATAGACTTTGCCAGATAGCAAGAGCCGGTGATGAATTATTTGGCAATGTGATTCGACCATGTGATGTTGAACACCTGGCAGGTATTGCATACCTAAGTAGGTAGAGATTTTTTTGATTTTTTTTTGGCTTGGGGGTCAGGTACTAAGGTACCGAGGCATGCACCTTTGCACGGCAATTCATGCGGGAGCTATGCCAAACTGAGAATAGCTCCGCCGTCCTGCTCCCAAATATCGATCTTGGGCCTGAAGGCGGAAAAAAGGCACTAGGTGTTTACCTACCTAGGTAGTGACACCCTGGGCAGGCTGGCATCAGTGTTAGTCATAAGCTGATTTGTGTCTCCCTGCACTAACGGGCGACATTACCTGCGCGGGACCTGGCCCGGTGCCCAGGCCCAAGGCCCAAGGCCCAGGCCGTGCTGACTGAGCTGCACAGGCGCGCAGGTGGTCCCTACACAAGCAGCCCGGCCCTGCCATCCAGGTACCTGTCCACGGGCGCCATAGGGCCCGTGGCAGAGAAATAGGGAGAAAAAATAAAAAGGGAAAAAAACTTGGCGAGCCAAAACAACACCCACGGGCACGGCTGCAACTCTGCATCTGCCTCGCCTGCCTTGCCTCGCGTCTTCCTGTCCTCCCTCTCCTCCCGTCCCCTTCCCTCCCCTCCCCTTCCCTTCCTCAGCCCAAGCAAGGTCCAAGACGCTCGCCCACCGCACCCTGCCGCGCTGCCAATTGTTCCCTCCGCGGGTGCTTTCCCTAGCATTTTCTCTTTCACCTGGTTTTCATTCTTCCCTGTCCTCCTCCGTGCGGTCCAGGTCAGCCATAGCCCAGGTAGGTAGCCTCCTCTTCTTTGTCCCCAGTCCCGTCACCTCAACCCTTTCCGCCTCGCCTCGCCTCGCCGCCGTTGTCTTGTCCTCGTGCCTTGCGCTGCTCTTGTCCGCCCGACAGTGCCTTGCCTCCTCGATGCCCGGCAAGTCCTGCTAGGCGAGAACGTTGCTTGCGTGAGGGGCCCGAAGCTGGAGCCGTATCTTTGGCACCAGGCTGACTGTGCACAACTTGTGCCTGGCTTGGCTCGAACACTCCCATCTGCACTCTGTCGTCAACCTTTCACTAACGCTCCTCGTCTCGGCTCCTCAGCCACCAGCGCAGCCCCCGCCAACAAGTCACCGAGAAAGATACACGACGGGTCAGAGTCAAAGCACTGCCAACCGCTCCCACGCCACCCGCCCCACTCCATCTCTGTTTCACGCGCCGTGGACTCTGCCGCGCCTGTCTGCACCTTGTCCAAGCCAGTATCTCTTCCGCCGACCAGCCGCGCTTCTCGACAAGCAAAGCTTGACCTACGCGAAGAAAGACAGCGATTCCACGGGAATCCTGCCTGTACCGCACACGAAAACCAGCCGAACAGTGCCAGACCGACCGTTCTTCACCCATCCATCCACTCTGCATCACGATCACCTGTGGCTTTAACTAGTCATGGCCAATCCACTGCAGTTTGCCTACCGGACCCAGAAGGCCATCGGCGTCTTTGACGCCGCGCCTGTCTACGCTTCTTTGCCTGGATTTGTTAAGCCGGAAGGGAACCTCCGCTGCTGCATATACTCTCCCTGTGGCCGATACTTCGCTTGGGCCTCTAACGAAGGCGTGAGCGTTGTTGACGCCTCCACCGGCCAGGTCTTGGCCTCTCTTCCCCTGACCTCGGTCTATGAGCTCGGCTTCTCCCCCAGGGGCACTTTCATCGCCACCTGGGAACGGCCCTCCAAGGACGAGGCTGGTGATGCCACCAAGAACCTCAAGATCTGGCGCACCATCGAGCCGTCCACCGATGAAGCGGCCAAGCTGCCGCTCGGCCAGTTTGTGCAAAAGTCGCAAAATGGCTGGAACCTGCAGTACACAGCTGACGAGCAGTATTGCGCCCGCCTCGTCACAAATGAGGTCCAGTTCTACGACAGCAACGACCTCAAGACCGTCTGGAACAAATTGAGGATCGAGGGCGTGACAGACTTCGCTCTCGCTCCTGGGTCCACCCACAACCTGGCAGTCTTTGTGCCGGAGAGAAAGGTAAGCGAGCCTTGCCCCCGTTGACTGTTCCTTTTCGGGATCATTTTGTAATGTTGTGTCTTGGCTGACTCTTGGCTACGGCAACAGGGCCAACCCGCCGCTGTCAAAGTATTCAATGTGCCCCAGTTTGCGAGCCCCATCTCGCAGAAAACATTTTTCAAGGGTGACAAGGTTCAGCTCAAGTGGAACCAGCAGGGCTCCAGCTTGATCGTGCTGGCCCAGACAGACGTTGACAAGTCGAACAAGAGCTATTACGGAGAGACCACGATGTACTTGCTGAGTGCGAACGGCGCCTTCGACGCTCGCGTCACTTTGGACAAGGAGGGCCCAATCCACGATGTGGCTTGGTCTCCCAATGGCAGGGAGTTCGGGGTGATCTACGGCTACATGCCCGCCAAGACCACCATTTTCAACCATCGAGGTGTTGCGACCCATTCCTTCCCCATGGGCCCTAGGAACACCATCATCTTTTCGCCCACCGGTCGTTTCGTCTTGGTTGCCGGATTTGGTAACCTGGCCGGTCAGATCGACGTGTACGACCTCGAAAAGGACCATCGCAAGGTTTGCACCATTGAGAGCGGGAACCCCAGTGTGTGCCAGTGGAGCCCCGACAGCGTCTACATCATGACGGCGACGACCTCGCCGCGCTTGCGTGTGGACAACGGTGTGAAGCTGTGGCACGTCGGCGGAGCTATCATGTACACTGAGGAGATGGTCGAGCTTTACAACGTCATGTGGCGGCCTCTGCCGGCCGACCAGCTGCCCAAGAATCTGGACCCCCTCAACCCGGTCCCGACACCGCACGAGTCTGCGGTCGCCTATCTCGGCACGGTCAAGACACCATCCAAGCCTGTTGGTGCCTACCGCCCACCAGGTGCTCGGGGCACTTCGACGCCGTTACATTTCAAGCGTGAGGATGAAGGCGGCGCTGCTCATGTGATGGGCAATGGTGCCCCCTCCGCTAGCTTGAACGGATTCGGGCGAGCTCGCCGACAGGTCCCTGGCGCCGAATTTGCTGAACAGAACCAGGTCCCGGGCGCAGCACATGCTCGCCCTTCTGTCCCCGGCGCTGAGGTTGTCGGAGGTGATGACAACTTGTCCAAGACGGCTCTGAAGAACAAGAAAAAGCGTGGGAATAAGAAGGCGAAAGACACCGAGGGAAAGCCTGCAGGTAGCAACGAGGGTGGGTTAGCACCTCCGTTGCAGGACTACGGCAGTGGCTCGGGAGGTGATACCCGAAGGAGCGATCGCCGTGGAGGCCAACAGCATGGCAACTCGCGGAGCCGCTCGCGCCACCCACAGAACGGTCAAGGCCGTAGCCGCAGCAACACGCAACGTAACAACGAGCATGGCCGCGGCAACGGGATTCGAGACCATACTCCGTCCGGGCGAGACCAGCCGCAAGAGACGGCAGAACAAGCCCCGGCACAAGGTAATGACTCTGGTGCGAATCAGGCCCAGAACCCCAACGCCAAGAAGATGAGGGGCCTGCAAAAGAAGATCCGGGCGATAGAGGATCTCGAGATGCGTCTGGCCGGGGGCGAGAAGTTGGAGGACACGCAGATGAAGAAGATTGGGACCAAGGTGTCCGTCCTCAAGGAGCTGGAGACATTGGAAAAGGACTCGGCATGAGGGCTCGCCATGTATGAGATGACTGGGCGCACCCTGTAGCCCACTCCTCCCACGAGGCGTTCTGCTGCACCTCTCCCCGGCGGCCGCCTGCACCTACCAACCAAGAGCGTGCAATTCCAGGCAAGTCAAGGACAAAGCAATACAGAATAGAAGGCAGGGTACTCACGAGTCCGCAGAGACCCCCGTGGTCTACGCGAGCCAGGAGACTAGCCATTTTTTGGACAAACCACCTAGAAATGGTATCTGCAGATGGACCGAGGGCATAGAAGGGCTAGGGCAGAACGCTCAGCGTAGAGTTAACAGATAAATGATTAAAACATGTGTCAAACAGTTCTGTCGTCTCCTGGTATTTTTGCGCGAACTTAGGCCATGAGACAGATCTTTTGGCCCAAAAGGGGGCCTGGGGGGTGGGAGAGGCGTATTTCCGCATCATGCAACAGCACAGTCTATCGCCTTTCATGCGTGTCCCAAAGGCATAGCTTACAGAAATATATTAAACATGATTCCGCCCGAGAAGATGAGCAAGTACAATATACATGCGTTGCGCCCGAGACCAAGACCTGACACGGCACGGCGAGTGCAGACAGCCGAGTAATCCAACCGGGGCAGCAGTCGCCTCCAACCCGTCAGGGTGCGAAGAAGCCGAACCAGACAGACGAGTCGACCTTATACAAGATATTTGCTACCAAATAATGCATTTGTTAGCTGAACTAGCGCGCTGAGGGTCACATTGCCTTTTGGATACTTTTCTACTCCCGTCTGGCTGGTGATGGATGCTCACAGTTAGAAAGCATCATATGAGAGATAGAATATAGTTTTGAATACGAAGCTCGAATAACTCGGTAAGGAGGCACGTGCATCTTATCCAAGATGATTCGGGACTCAGAGTCCGCACTTGCAGTTGGTAGAGCAGTGGCCAGAACGGTATTTTATGCGTCTCAAGTAGAGTCACCAGTTGCCCGAAAGATAGCAAAGCTGTATCGCATAAATTGATCCTCGCAGATACTTGACCAACGCCGCTTCCTATTCATTTTTTGGGGGTATGTGGTGCTGCGAATGTGAAGTGATATCCTGGCCCCCAACCGTTGCCTATAATACATCGTCTCATGATTTGGAGTGGAAAATTCATTCAGAGACAACCGGGGTCGTCCGCCTGTCCCCAATCCAGGTCAGGCACTCAAGCGGCGCCGCATCCAACTCCAAGCGAGTCCTTACGCATCCACAAAACCCTTGACATTGTTCAACCAGGCCAGGTACTCCCGCTGCTCCTTCACGTCCATGTAGTCGGGCACAAAGACGGCCAGGGTGGAGTTGATTCCACGCTCATCCAGGTAACTCTCCATCAGGAGCTGTAGGTCCTCGTCCAGGGTGCCGAATGGCGGGCCCGGGTAGATGTCGCGGCCCTTGTGCTCGGCCTCGGGGCTCGCAGCGTGGGCGACGGCGGGGTCGTTGTAGTAGTACAGGTTCTCGACGATGATGCTGGCGTCCTGGGCGATGGCGTCGATGTTCACGGCGCCCTTGCCGGGCTTCTCGACGACAATGTTGAGGCGGCACGTCACGTTGGGCTCGTTGCCTGTGTCGGCGTCGTCGATCTCCTCGTTCTCCTGGGAGCGGGCGCCCTCCTCGTCGCCGAGGGCAGAGTCCTCGTCGAACATCTCGTTCTCCATGTTGGCGATGTCGGCAATTGAGAAGGTCACGGTGATCCTGCAGGCCCCGCATGTTAGCATCGGCGCCAAACAGCCCCGCTTGCGCGGAGGGGTGGCACAGCTTACTTCTCGTTCTTGTATGTGCGTGTGAGCACGACGTTCTGCGCGCCGGGGATGTCCTGGATCTCGAATGGGCTGTTGTCCAGGAAGTCCTTGATGCTGACTGGTTGCGGCTCGTTCTCCTTCATCTCGGCCTCGAACGAGATCTCGCTGCTCAGTTTCGCGCTCAGCTCACTGTCGACCCCAGAAGCGGCCCGCCGGAGCAGGGAGGTCGAGAAGGCAGAGACCTGCGGTCGCAAAGTTCTGCATTGGTCGCGCAGAAGAGCGCTGTGTCTGGCTGAGGCGGGTCTGGCGACTGAAGAAAGGCGTGCGACGGCCCGGGGCGCAGTGCGCGCCAGACTTCGTGCTGAGAACATGCTGTGTGGTGTTGAGGAAGGACTTTGCAGCGATAGAAAGGAAAGAGACTGTGAGCAGACGGCGCGATCGAAAAATTAGATCACGCGTGACAGGGCTTGGTTGAACAGGTTGAATTTTTCGTTGCAAGAGCTGGATTGAGGGCCGAGACGAGCTTCTGATGATGATGTTAGGCGGGTGGAGCTGGGCTGGGAGCTTTTTTTTTTCGATAAGCCAAGCAGGTCTATCGTCCGGTGATGACTAAGCATGCGACAAGGCTCATCAACATCAACCTTGAAGAGAACATGGGCTTGTATCCAGCACATTCTGAAGGCAATTGCATGTTTCCACCTCTCTGGTAGTTCGCGAGTCGAGTACAACGTGTGATAGGCCTGGTCATAATCCATCTTTTTTTTTTTTTTTTTTTTTTTTTTGGCCGATCTGCAGGCCAGTCACTACCCACATCGGCTTGGATCCACAAGGACCTCTCTTTCACCGAAGCAGGAACCAGCAGTCCGACAGACGGTCGCCACAAAATTACGAGTGATATTCGTTAAAACCCGATTCGTGATGCTGGAACGTCGAGACCGGAACAAAAGTAGAGGAAACCATTTCGAAGTTGAGGCGAGCTTCTCACAGCCTAAGGAAGCTGACAGCGTTTGTTCGCTCCCGCCTTCAATTCACATCTCGTCTCCTAGTACAAGTGCTATTCATCATAGACTATTCACGTCAAACAATAGCTATGAAGTCATTGGCATAACTACAAGAGACCCGCTGATCTCAGCTACCGCCCTGGTCTCGGGAGGGAATCATTTGGCTAGAAGCCCAGCAAGTAGGCCCTTTCATTACAGCAAGACCGAGCCACCGTACATCGTACTTGGAGCTTCCACCTAGTCCTAAGTATTTTCGGACATGGATGCAGGCCGGGGCTGAAAATCTAAACGACAGGGGAAAGGGGTGATGGACGATGGCCGTGTGGTCGTGTGGTATTGCCTCGCTCACAAGAGTTCCACGCGCGCTGGATACTGGGCACAGAGCGGCGTTCCAGGCAATGTGCGAGTACCCTTGCCTCAGACGAGGGTTTCGAGCTCGACCTCGGGGTTACTAGAAGGTTTCGTGGCTGACGTTCGGATGACCACGGGTCTCATGTAGATAGCCTGTGACAGACCAATGATGAAGCTCTGGGGTATCTTGAACCAGCAACGCTGTGGGCAAGGTGCATTAGCTCTGCAGCACCGCAGTCCGTGGCAGTCCCCGGGATACGATGAGGTGAGACTTTGCAGCGTATTCGTGTGCGGATTGGCGTGCTTTTCGCCTTTGGAAAGCCCCTCCGGCTGTTCTCTCAACACGGCCGCACCACTGAAAGAAGCCGTAATCAGCCAAGATGCCCCTGACTCCCTCGGCGCACTCTCCCGTGGCCAGGGAGTCAATAGAAGCCATCTGAGCCTGAGTAGTGTCTGCATGGCGATGCGGTCTTACACGGCGCGGGGCTGATGTCACCCATTAGAGGGAGTCTCTCTTCGTTATGTTTGACAGATGGCTGGCAGCTGGGTAGGGCAGCAGACAAAGCCAAAACGCTGGAAGCAGGCACCTCAGGTGGCGTCGGAGGAGAAAGGATCGACAGGCCAGGAGCTGGCCCTCACTGGCTGCTAGGTGGAAAGCTGGATGGCTTGAGATTGCCAGCCTCGGTTATACGAACGTATGACATGGCGGCCAGGAAAGACCATGCCCCTTCCCATCTGTTGAGCAGATCAAGATTGTTTTGCTTTCTAAGATCTGGGAGGACTAGAGCGGCTTCAATTAGTGCTTGCTTTGGAGATGGAGTCTGTGATTGTGTTGCAACCTACAAAACCCGTTCTGCTGCTCCTTGCGCAGAGTATCGACCTTCAAGCTCAGAAGGTCTTCTTTGACGCTTGCCGGCCTGCCTGGGCGGCGCGATTTCTTGAGTTCCTCGAGCTCTTGATCATTCTGATGCACATATCTGTGTGGTGATCAGTGAGTGAGTGACTGGCAAGACGACATGGGGCATAAGGACTTACTGGTTGATGAGATCCTGTATCTTGGCCAGATCGAAAGGTTGGCTCTCATTCTCCTGGGCAGCCTTCTGAAAAAAAGCGATCCTGTGGACTGAGTGGGCATGGCTGTCAGTAAGGGATCCTTATAGGAAAGGTCAGGGAAGGACAGGGGCGTTGCGGACTCAGGGGTTGATCGTGCTTCTTCCTGGCGGCAGCAAGCTTCTCAAGGCGCTCGTCGCGGACTTGGGCCTTATGAAGCTTCTTCGTGTCGCGGGAGAACTCATGAAGAACGACGTTGCCATTGCGCTTTTTGGCAATGCGCTTCCTCGTCTTCTCCAGGGACTTGGGCATTGTGAAAAGTAGAAGTGTGGTGCGGGCAAGGGTGCTGGTCTATCGATACCAATGTCGATGCTAATGTGTTGCAGTACGTCGGCGTCGAATTGCGGATTTCAGATCGAGACGTCGGGCCTAAAGCTATCGGCCTTTTTTTTTTTTTTTTTTTTTGTTCTTCGGCCTTCAGGGCGGGCTTATCGGGACTCGGCAGGGCCACTCGCGAGCAGGGAGTGCCCCTGCAGAGCTCGTTGCTGGGGAAGGTCTTGGCATGACTAGAACAGGGGAGTGCTCTAAGCCCACGGCCCACCAAAACGCGACCAACAGACGCGCCTGCCCAGTGCCCACTGTCTGATGTGGGCTACCTAGTAATGGTCTAGCAATTATCCATCTCCTCAGGATTCCTCTCGCGTGCCCTCGGTAACAGAGCCCTCTTCAATCTCGTGCATGTCCCATCTGTCACGGCCACGAGAGTTGCCCTCTGTCCAGCCATTGCCGGGTCATCTTGCTCACTTACACCTGCACCTGTCTACTGTGTGGCCTGACCTGTGCCGCGCCCGCTGCAAAGTAAACATCAACACCAACACATACACACAACCTCGCTCCAACCGCGTCCCGCTGCGGGTTGGACTGGACTGGACCCAACGCTCCGCCCGAGATCCAAGAGCCTCTATGTAGAGTACATCCAACGCATGGCCTCCTCATGACCCGGCTGAGACAGTCCTGCCCTTTTTCCACTCATATACCCACCGGCAGGTACCTTCACGCAGAAAATGGGCATCCAAGGTACACATTATGCATTACTCCCTGACCACCCAGACTGAAACCCACATTGCTGACTCCTGCCAAAAGGGCTCCTCCCTTTGCTTAAATCCATCCAGAAGCCCACCGAGCTGAAGAAGTTCTCCGGTGAGGTCCTCGGTGTCGATGCTTATGGATGGCTCCATCGGGGCGCTGTTAGCTGTGCCATAGAGCTAGCCCAGGGAAAGCCGACCAGCAGGTGAGTCAACATCACTCTCACGCCCCTGTATTGCTTCGTGTCTGACCGTCCGGCCGTCCGGTAGATATGTCGACTTCGCCATGCACCGCGTCAGGATGGTCAAACATTTTGGTGTCACCCCATACCTGGTCTTTGATGGCGACTTCCTTCCCAGCAAGGCCCATACCGAGGCAGCTCGAGCCAAGCGTCGCGAGGAGAGCCGAAAGGCCGGCCTCGAGCTCCTCAAGGCCGGCAAGCCCTCGCAGGCTCAGCTCGAGCTCCAAAAGGCCATCGACGTCACCCCGGAAATGGCCAGGCACCTCATCGAGGAGCTGAAGAAAGCAGACGTCCCGTATGTAGTCGCTCCGTACGAGGCTGACTCCCAACTTGTCTACCTAGAGCGGCATGGCTTCATCAACGGCATCATCTCGGAAGACTCTGATCTGTTGGTCTTCGGAGCCAAGAGACTGCTCACCAAGATGGACCAGCACGGCCAATGTGTCGAGATCAACCGGAGAGACTTCTGCGCCGTGCGCGAAATATCGCTCACAGGTTGGACCGACGACCAGTTCCGTCAGATGACCATCTTCAGCGGTTGCGACTACCTCGAAGGCATCAACAACATGGGCTTAAAGACAGCATACCGGATGATGCGCAAGTACAAGACGCCAGAGCGCGTGATCCGGATGCTGCAGTTTGACGGCAAGTTCCGCATCTCGGAGAACTATCTCGCCCAGTATAAGCAAGCAGAGTTGACTTTCGTGTATCAACGTGTCTTTTGTCCCAAGAAAAAGGATCTTGTCCTCTTGACTGAGCCACCTGCCTCATCACCGTTGGACGTCGAGGAGATGCCGTACATTGGTGCGAGAGTCGGCCGAGAACTTGCTAGGGCTGTCGCCTTGGGAGATGTGAACCCGATTTCCAAGCTGCCCATTGTCGTTGCTCCGCTTCCAGGAAATCGCAGGCCGACTGGCACGACAAGGACATCGGCCGTGACAGCTACAATGGCCCAACAGAGCAGACCATCTCTGGGTAAGCCTATGGATGCGTACTTCCATAACAACAGACGCATCGCCATGGCAGAGATGGATCGCAACTGCTTCTCTATTGATGCCGAGAGAGTCGCTGCTCTCACGCAGAATGGACTGACGCCGCGGGTCTTTCCCCTGCCAAGGCCATATATTGATGGGAGCACCCGCTCTCCGGCGGCTCGGCAATACACTTCGATCCAACGCCGCCGAACGGAGCCAGTCTCTCAGACACTCTCAGATCTCGATCCATCCATGAATCTATCAACGACCCGACGACGAACAGCTGGCCCAACCAGACGTATCTCGCTGACTGAAGGGAGACCGCTGAAAAAGGCACGACTTTGTGAGGACGAGAAAGGAAGTGAGACGGCAGATCAGTCGCCTCAGAAAAGCAAGTTCTTCCCCTGTGAGCAGTCGGCCAAGCATCGTCAGACCTTTGATGATGCCACTCTCTTGTCGGACGACTCGATCGAGGAGGCTCTCGCGAGCTTGCCTGATATAAGCGGGCAATGGAGCGAAACAAGAGCATCGAGAGACCACGAGGAGCTGAAGATCTTCCAGGACGGAACCTCTTCGGAACCGTTTGCCATTCCGGAGGCTCATGACACCAACGAAGAGGATGTTGTCAGAGACAGCCCAGTCAAGTCCCAAAAGACATCCGACGGCATTGGAGACAAGGTGGGAGCTGAAGCAAATGCCGGCGAAGAGGGGGGATCCGCGGAGTCCTTGCGCGGCTTGATCAAAGAATTCTCGTGCACACCAGATTTGCGGAAGACTGCAAACAAGACGCGCATGGCTTTCGGACTTCCCACGCCGGCGTCCAGCGCCCAGGGCTCAGAGTCGAGATCACGTGGCCAATTGCCAGCGGATACTCCGATTCAAACACCTCTGCAACGTATCGGTGCTCAGGCCCTACAGCGAGGCAAGGGCAACCATTCGCCTTTCCTCAAGGCGAAGCCGTCTGCCGGAACACCGAAGAGGCGGCAGAGTCTGAAGGATGCCATAGATTCCATGCCGCTCAATCCGGCCTTTGTGCCGTTGCCCAAGGTTGATCTAGCAGAGGTTGAGGCTCTGAACAGGCCGGGCGGTAGCGAGGATCAAATCATCCCGGATCGTGACGAGGAGAATGATCCACCGCTTGGACTTGTCGAAGAATCCCACCATTTGAGCAGCCGACTGGACCTCTCGAGATTTGTGTACGGCTGAAACGATTCCGCTCGGCAAACGAGGAGCCTGATGTGTATGAATGTGAGACTATGAATGAGAGGGCATGGGGCATCCGTGGAGAGAGGTATCAACTAGGCGCTCAAAAAAGGATGCTGATGGTGATGTGTGCTACAGCATGGCGTTAGGAGTTTTGCGGGTATTGCTTGGTTGGAACCAAGTACATGGCAACATAGTATCATGCTTACGAGTTAATGTTGGGAGTCCTGGAGTCAACCATACGGGGAGGGGTATGGGGAACGGAAACGAAAGAAAGTTTTTTTTTTTGTGTAACTACACCGCGCCAGAAAAAGGCAGACGAATGTTCATGTCTCCCATATGGAAGGCTTCCTCGTTCTGCAGAATGTCACTATCCGGGCTAATGCGATGCCACAGCCGCGAATAAAAACTGCGTCCAACTTGCAGGTTCAACCGCAAGAGCTGCGAATGAAATCGTCGGGATGGTATGCAAACTCACACAAAACTACCCGCTGAATATTCCTCCATCGAAAGTGAGCGACTTGGGTGATAGCTGGACGTTCGGGATTTTCTGTGAGTGCATGTACATTCCAAAGTGCAAGCCATGACAGAAGCTTGTACTACTAATGCAGGAGCGCGTATCTCAGCGCAGACCTCCATAGCTGTTCCGCGGTGGGTCTGGTGGGGCATAGGTACTAGGGTACATCGATCTTGGTTAGATAAGAGCAGCACCCTGAGATAAGGCAGCGCCAAGATTTCGAATCCCCACCCAAAAAATATTCCAACCACCATGGGTCGTATGTGCCCTTAGAGAAGGCGACATCAAGTGGAAAAGCCGCTCGAACGAATTGCCGTCAACTGCGCTTTCCCTAACTGCAGACATCTCCCTCTCTCGAAATGGCGGACTCGTCATTAAAGGTTCGGCTACTTTTACTCCCGCAGCTGAGGGCACAGGCACAGGGCGGGCGACTGACGCGCACATGTTACAGGATCGCCTGCGCGACCATTCCGAGGCTTTCGACAGCCTGCTGTCCCTGATACCAGCCAAGCTCTACTACGGTGAAGACACAAGTGTATGTCATTCCTCAGTCTGCTCCGCCCCTACCAGGCCACGCGCTCCCCCTTATTTTCAGCCAGCTCACGCAGCACGCCGGCACTGCAGGACCAGTGGCAGAGAAAGAAGCAGACGAAGGAGCAAGCCAGGGCTGCCAAGCGAAGCAAGCTGGATCCAGATAGCGCGCTGAACCGAAATGCCAAAGAGGTTCTGGACGAACGGGTTCGGAATAAGCGCAAGGCACAGGAGCTTGAGTCAAGTGAGGACGGAAGCGTCCAGGACGAAGACGATGCCCAGGAGCTCCAGCTGCGGGGTATCAGCAAGGAGGCGCCAGGGGAAGGCCTCAAGAAACGAAAAGTGGTCGATGACGAAGCGAATGAGAAATCCAAGGCAGCCCAGCCTAAGGCAGACGACGAAGCGAAGGCAGAGAAGCTATCAACTCACCAGGAGAAAAAATTACTGAAGAAGCAGAAAAAGGCAGAAAAGAATGCCGAGAAGAAGAAGAAGACAAAAACGGCGAAAGCGGTGGACAAGGGCGACGCAGTTGAAGAAGACGACGCCGGAACAGGAAACGAAGATGACCCGGCGATGCCAGATGGTGTTAGACAGTCGAAGGAAACAGCGGAGATGGAGGAGACTAAACCACACAGGGACATGAGGCCCATCGATGTGTCGGGTCTGGCGGACGGGGACACAAATCACACATCGTCGTCCCAAGCGTCCACACCTTCATCTCCCACCTTCGATACGGCTGAACCCGGCGAGCCATCCGCTGAGCCCGCAAGCACGACAACGTCAATAGCCAGCGAGAACACACCCGCAGACAAGTCCAGAAAGATCAAAGTCCCGTCGGACACCACAGAGCTCCGCGCCCGCCTGGCGGCCAAGATCGCGGCCCTGCGCGCGGCCCGCAAGGCAGATGGACCCGACGGTAAGCCGATTCGCACGCGGGAGGAACTCATTGAATCGCGACGCAAGAAGCTCGCCGAGCGCAAGGCCCACAAGAAGGAGCTCCGACAGCAGGCCAAGGAGGCCGAGGACAAGAAGCGCGAGGAGGCGCTGGCCAGCGCGCGGAACTCGCCCATGCTCAGCTTCGGCTCGCCGGAGCATGACCTGAACTTCTCGTTCGGACGGGTGGCGTTCGCGGACGGCACGCAAATGTCGCACGACCTGAGCTATACGAAGGACAAGAACGGCAAGAAGAAGGGCCCGATGGACCCCAAGGGCGCGCTCGCGAAGGTGGAGGCTCAAAAGAAGCGTCTGGCCGGCTTGGACGACGGCAAGCGGAAAGAAGTCTTGGAGAAGGAGACGTGGCTCGCAGCAAGACGGAAGGCCGAGGGCGAGAAGGTCCACAATGACGAGTCTCTGCTCAAGAAGGCTGTCAAGCGTAAGGAAAAGGCCAAGAAGAAGAGCGAGAAGGAGTGGAGCGATCGTGTACAAGGCGTGCAGAAGGCGCAGAAACAACGCCAGCAGAAGCGCGAAGACAACATTCGCAAGCGCAAGGAGACCAAGCAGGCGGGCAAGGGAGGCAAGAAGAAGGGCGGCAAGTTGCCGGCCAAGAAGAGTCGCCCCGGCTTCGAGGGCAGCGGGTTTGGCAGGAGAAAGTAAACCAAAAATTAAAAAGGAACCAGAGAGACGGGGGGCCAGCGACCGAAGTCTTGGGGGGCTCTCATACCAAGGCCGGTCCACCAACAAGAGTAGGCTCGGAAGGGAACTGTACATATCTTGCTTCTACAACCACGGCGTCATATGAGCGGTCACCAGCATAGCTGCGGAAAAGTGATAGTGGAACACCGGCGTTAGTTGGTAATCGGATACTTAATCACACGAGAGCTTTCATGTCCATTAGCCAGTTGCAGGCAAGTGCCGGCCAGCGTGTCAGATGAAGTGATTGAAAATTATGCCAGTGTTTTGAGAAAATATGGCCTGCAGAAACTCCTGGTTTTTGTCCACCCGCGAAGTGGGAAAAATTGGGTTTTGTTTTGTGGTCATAACGACAATGCCATTCTCGTTCGTTTTGCGTCCCTAGAGCCCCCCTTTACCGGTTGTTCATCCAGGTCCCCCATGCCGCTGAGTGAGTTGAAAGGACGCCCGGCCGTTCGCAGAATAACACCCGCCCGCTTACACCCGTCCGTCTCCTGCCGTCGTTCCTCGGGGCTTTCAATGCTCCGTGAAGTCTCTCCCGGGTGCCAGCCCAGTCGCATCGACGCCTTCGAATCGTCTGGAGCTTGGGGGCCTCGTTCCTGTCGGATCAGAGCAAGACTGTCATTATGGGTTGTACTGATACATTGTGCCCGCAAAACTTCGCCCATTATAGTAGGGAGTCGAGGCGGGTGAAGACGTTGAGGCAGGCAGCCACAACCTCGAGTTGAAGCTCCTTGTCTTTGGCCTTGTTGACCTCCTGGGAGATTGTTAATGCCGGATTCGGTCACGAGCCAAGGGCGACGGGAAACCTACTTCAGAGATGACTTGTGGCAAATTGGCGCCAATTCCGTTCCCAGTAGCCTTCTTTCCAAATGGGAACTGGCTGTATTCGGCCAGCAGCTCGTCCGTTTGGGCGAACGCACGCTCCCTGGCCTCATGGCCTAGGGTGGAAAGCGCATTCTCGAGGACGTTAGCCGCGTAGGCCGCGCACACCATTGCGATTGTTCGTGTGTACCGGAATTCGAGGTTTTCGGGGAGCCACTGCGTCGCCGGAAGGACGACTGTCCTCTGGGTGAGAACGTTCCTGACGCGCCGCCGAATCTCTTCCTTGGCGCCGCCGTCGGCGACCGGGTGCGTTGCCATGTCGAAGAGCAGGAAGTTGCGCTTCTCGGTGCGCAAGATTCCCTTGTCGACAAGCCCTTTTGCCAGCCGTTCACGGACTTGCTTCAGCTGGTACCCAATCTTCATAAGGTTCCACGTCTCGCCTACAACAACCAAAACACAAGTCAGCGGCCCGACAGCAAGGAAAGAAGCCCCGGCTGGGGTCTTGATCTGGGCCTCGTGCCCAATGGCTTACGCACCGCTCATTAGGTCGATCCACGAGCTGACGCTCATCTTTTCGCTCGCCTTCATCATCTTGAGAGCTTCGTCGAGCAGCACCTCTCCCGTCAATGTATCATCAACGACCTCGATGACACGGTCAGGCAGGGGGAAGCGCCTCCTCGAGGGGTCCTTCTGCATGCTGATCCTGCCGCGAAGGGCAAGCTCCAAGACGATGCAGCCTCGAAGGGCGTACGATATGTTGTCATTCCAAAAAGAGAGGTATCCCTGCCCGCCCGAGACATTAGCAACACGGTAGACACAGACACAGAGGCATATATAAATGCAGCGCGGTCGCGGCCGCGGCGGGTCCAGCCATTGCGCCAGCATTTCCATCAAGAGAGGGAATAGAACGAACCTGCTTATCCTTGAGCCCCAGCAAAAGAACTTCCTCCATCAGAGTCAACTTGGGCTGCTTGCTACGCTCTGTGCTCTCGCTGATATCTCGTGGGTCGAATGCGATCTTGTGGCCATTTTCGTTGCTCTCGTAGCTCGTCTCCGGGGTATTATCGAAGTTGCTCGAGGAGTTGTTTCGCTGAATGCCACCATTGCTGCTCTCGCCCTCAGCGGCGGCGCCTCCGCCTCCGCCCCTGCGTCTGGTCAATCCCGAAGATGATGACATTGCGGTGTGGAAGTGAGTAGTGTGCGTGTGTTGGGCGGGTAGGATAGGGCCAGAATTCGTCGTCGGCCGGAATGACTCGATCGCGAACCGTCAGGCCGTGGAGTGCAGCGAGGTGGCCAAGGCGACGAGTGGCCAAGCTCGGGGCGGGTTCTCGGGGGGCCGTGGACGAGGTGTTGGGCTCGGTGGCTGAGCCGAGTTGCGGAAGGTGTCGCGATCGGGGGTATGAAGCGGGACGAGGGGACCAATATAGGCCGTGACGGTGTGGCAGGCCAAGTACGTAACGGAGGCTAGAGGGTCTAATTGCTCCAAGGACAATGGCGCTGTGCTGCCTGGTGGGAAAAGGCCAGGCGCCGTGATGAATTGCACGAGAGTATGGACGACGAAATGGAGATGGCCCGTATTTCGCAGTGCAGCCCCACGGACGGAGATTGGCTTGGTGGCAGGCAGGAGGCAGGCAGGCGGCTAAGGTGCAGTAGAGCAGAGAGGTAGGTAGAGAGGTAGAGGTAGAGACCCCTACACTAGATGAAGGTGTCGTCGCCCTTGTGACAGGGTGAGGTGCCAGGGCCTGGAGGAGTTGTTGAGCATGAACTGGAAGAGACCACGTCGATTGACATACCTGTTGAGGGAAGACAGCCTCGAGGGAAGGGAGGTTCGCGGTTCACAGGAGGTCTCAAGCCGAGAGGAAAGGGAGTGTGGTCGTGTGCTCCTGCTCCCTGTGGCTGCGCAGTGCCAGTCCAGTGTGGTGCAGTGCTTTGCTGTGTGTGTGCTGTTCTCTTTTCTGTCCAGGCTAGGCTGTGCTGTGCTGCAGTCCACTGCGAAGTGAGATGTCGCACAGGCCTGGTTGACTGACTGGGCTGGCTGCTGGCTGGCTGCGAGGTGGCCCAGCCAGAAGGTACCTAGGTACCTAGGTAGGCAGGCTGGACAAAGCTCACCCTACAAGCAGCCTGCTGCCCTTGCCGTCTTGCTGCACGGCCGCCTTCTCAGGGATCCCTAATGCCTGTGCAGTGAGTACATCGTTCCAGGACATAGTAGGATAGTCTGGTCTCCACAGCTTCCGCAGGATAACCTCTCACATTTCACGGGATTCTTCCCTTCTAATTGCAATTCGCGCCTAGTAACACTTTGGGTTCATACAAGCTCGAGCAGCAGACATATATGCAAAAAGACATCGCTCACATGCAGCAGTCATCACATCTTTATTAATCTCCCGCCCCTGCCAGCCGGGCCTTGCAGTAACCCTTCCCTTTCACACCGCTCAAAGCAACCATCCCGGCCAGTCAAAGTATCACTCGAACTGGCTGCAGTTTGCATTTCGCGAAAGAGCTCGGCCCACACACCTACAACATCTCGAACCTCTTCCGCGGCCGTCGGGCCCAGCCCACTACCGACTATTCACCAAGATGGGCTCTGGAAGGATCTACGATGAGGATGACTCGCGCCGGACGAAGCATCGAACCGACGAGGGGGACGACGAGCACAGAAACTATGATCGGCCGAGGAAGCGAAGCCATCGGGATCGCGACTCGCCAGTACGCCATGATCGACGCGATAGGTCCACAGAGAGATATTCGGACCGACACCGTCACAGGAGGCGTTCCAGGAGCCCCCATCCCACGAGGCAGAGGTCAAGAGACCGAGATGGCGACAGCAGGCGAACAAGGCGGAGCTCACGGTCGCCTGGAGGTACAGAGTCACGTAGGCAAGGGCGGAGACTTTCACGCTCTGCGGGAGCTGACATTGGCGACGAGGTGCGACATAAAGGGACCAGCCGTCATCGTTATTCGAGCCCGGACAAGGGCGACCGCGAGAACAGCCAGCCAGCTGCCAGGCGATCTGGCCCTTTGCCGTCGCAAGCGGATTCTTTCGCGGTCAGCAACGGCGAAGAACCCGAGAAGCCCAAGGAGAAACCCAACTTCGGCAACACAGGTGCCCTAGCTGCTGCATCCAACTCGGTCACCCAAGCAGACGGGACGACGATCACGCTAAAGTACCACGAGCCACCCGAGGCGAGAAAACCCCCTGCGCGGGATCAATGGAAGCTCTTCGTGTTCAAGGGAAACGACGTCGTGGACACGATCGAGCTGGGTAGCCGAAGCTGTTGGCTCGTAGGGAGGGAGACCACAGTCGTGGACATGGTCGCCGAGCACCCCAGCATCTCCAAGCAGCACGCTGTGGTCCAGTTCCGGTACACGGAGAAGAGGAACGAGTTTGGCGATAAGATCGGGAGGGTCAAGCCGTTCCTGATCGACCTGGAGAGTGCAAACGGCACCGAGCTGAACGGTGAAAAAGTGCCAGACCGGCGCTATCTGGAGTTGAGGCCCAAGGATGTGGTCAAGTTCGGGCTCAGCACCAGGGAGTATGTCATTATGCTCGCGAGAGACTGATGGGCTGGTATAATGGCCTACACAGTATTCCTATCCAACACCGACATCGGCAACCCGGCGCAGTGGCATAGATGTTGCATGAGGCCCGCGATGGGCGAGATGTTACCTTGCAGGCGTCGCCCTGCCCACGTGGGCTCATAGGGAAGCCTAGATACCATGGCGCACAATATTTGTCCGACCGTGACACCAACAGGCGAGGCTGACTGCCGCAACGCGAGAAACAATGGCTTGCTTAGGCGCTGGCCCACGTCCCACAGCCCCTTTCAAGGACAGGCCGTACCTCGCACGAGCCTCTTCAGGTGAAGTTGATCGATCAACTGGCGCAAGGTTGACAGGCGCGAGTAGATAGCATCAAGGTTCCATTGTACGACATGCCCTGTAGCCCAGCGTCTCTCACACGGGTGGCCTCTCTTCGCTTGTGACAGAGTCTTGTTGTGGGAGGCAAGACGAACAAACTGTGCCCATGACATGCAACCGAGGCAAACTTGGACATTGACCTACAGCACGGCGAAATCAGATGGCGTCACATCGCCGGACAGGAGGATGAGTTGGTCCGTCTGAGTCATGGAGCATCAAGTGCACTCCAAGGCGGTCGGTCTGGCGCGTCTTGGGGAGGGTATCACCAAGCTTATATATCACTTCCAGGAAACCCTTGACGAGAGAAGGTGTTCATGGTGGTGGAGGGAGCCGTGTCGAGCGGTGCGTCACACGAAACGGCTTTTCCAGCGTAACCGCCACCGCGACGGACGACGAATCTCAGTCATGGGACAGAGCTTGATCCTTTGTTCCTACCCTCCATCAACCGGCCCTCCGAGAGGATGATTATGCTTCTGATCTGCTGAGCCCCCGAGATCCACCTGGCGCTGGTGATCCGATCTGTCCAGTACGCAAACCAGCCCGACCGCACACAGCCTAAATGCACTAGCAGACTGGTGTCCGGGGGACGGCTGACAGCCGGGAGCAGGGGTATGAGCACCCGTTGACAGCAGCACGTGAATGGGTGGCGTCCGCGAACTGCTGCTGCTACTGCTACTCTGCAGACGAGGCGGGATGCAGGACCCCCTGAATCGCTGCATCTCGCTCGAACATGGCCAGAGTGTGCAGGTGTTGCCCGCTGTGTTCTCAACCAACCACGAGGCCTCGTCCTGGGAGGCCCTCTGCACAGTTACACACAATCCCTTTTGCCATATCATTCTTCCTCTTTTTTTGTCACAAGGCCGATGTGATGTACTACCATGCAGTCCTTTCTCTGGCAGGCTGTCCAGTAGATCAGGCTGCCGGCCACGGCTTGGCTATTACTGTGCATGTACTCTCTTACAGGACAATGCCCTGTGGGATAAACCGTCATGGAACAACAGGCTGTGGGATAACCCGCCTGTAGAATTAACCTCCTATATCTCGCCGGAATGCACACAGGTGTGCTTTCATGTCTCTCCCTCTACCTGGGTATTGTGGCAAAGCTGCCAGTACTCTCAAGTACCTCGCATCCTCTCGGGATCCCTGCAGTCGTACCCATGCTGCAGCCATGCCAGGCAGATGCTACGATCTGATCTATCTTGGGCCGCCACCCCTGGCCTGGTTTCCGTCTGGGTGTCTTCGGCTTATACCCTCGCACATGCGCCTCTCCCGTGGGCGCGTGGCTGCACTGTCTCAGACTCTTGACTACACTGGAGCTCCTGAGCTCATGGTCACATGGACAGCCGGGCACATCGCCGGTCAGCCATTATAACCGCCAACCTTCCCAATCTGCCTAGTCTTTGTACCTGACAGCATCCTACGTGGCGCCAAGGACCACTTTTCACCGGACGGGGAAGTTTTTCTGCTTGTTGTCTCCGTCTTGGTTCGGTCCACCATCGTCGTCGACACACATCACTGCGACAGAGAAGCTCTGGCTCCTCGTCGCAGCATCACATACTGCGAACATGGTGAGTCTTCCTCCTTATGCTCAGTGCATCTGTGCGGACTGCCTGCGGTCTTGGCCAGGCAAGCTTGTGTTAAGCTTCGACACGGATTTACTCATGCCTGGCCACCCTGGATCATCCTCCGAGCCTCTGACCCGGGGCCGAGTCCCGCAACATCACATATCCGACGGAGCGGGCCGCTCACGCTGCCATCGAATCGTTTACTCGTCAGCAACGACTTGCATGCCGCTGGCCACTCCACGTCAGCACTTGATACGGCCCGCATTTGCTCTTACTGCATGATTCCAGCTGTTTCGGGGTTTTCATCTCTGACTTGATGCCGTTTTAGGGGACCATCAACAGGAAGATCTCCAGGTTCGACATCACGGCTGTCTACAGCCACCCAAGCGCCAAGGTAGATATCGTCCTGGTCCACGGTCTCAATGGCGACCCACAAAGGACCTGGACGGCCAAGAGCCCGAACGGGAACGGCGCTTTCTGGCCAGTCGACCTCCTTCCCAAGTCTCTGGAGGCAGAGAACGCGCATGCAAACGTCCTTGTGTATGGGTACAATGCCGATGTGTCATCCAAGAAACACGGCACCGGCCCCAGCAGCAACTACATCCACCAGCATGCCCAGACCCTGGTCACCTTTCTCACGACCTATCGAAAGAGTAAGAAGACCACGCGCAACCCCATCATATGGGTGGCCCACAGTCTCGGGGGCATCCTCGTCAAGCGGGCCCTGGAGCATTCAGACAGCGTGCGTGTTGCCGACCACGAAGACTACCGCTCCATCTACGTGTCCACATACGGCATCATCTTCCTGGGCACACCCCATGATGGCTCTGAACTCGCCTCTTGGGGATCAGCCCTGCAGGGCATGGCCGGTCATGTCCCGAGGAAGTTCTTCGACAGCGAGCCCGTTCTGATCGAGACCCTGAGAAAAGACAATGAGACACTGGACAACATCAACATCAACTTCCTCAACATCTATCAGAGATTCAAGATCCAGATGGTTCACGAGAACCAGAAGACCGACCTGAAGGGGACGAAATCACTCATTGTGGACGCGAAGTCTGCGGCACCTCGCTTACCAGGCGTCACATCTTATGGCGTGGAGGCAGATGTGAGTAATCACTGAATTCTTCGCGGTCTGAACACTACAGACGATAACTTCTTCGTCTCTTGATTGTCTCCCGCAGATGCCTCCGAAGATAGAGCTCATGGGAGACTCGCTGGTGATCTTGCTGACCTTGGCCGTTGTAGCATTCGAACATGTGTAAATTCGCCGGATTCGATGCGCCTGGATATCGGACAATTTCCACGGCCATCGCGGAATGGGTCCAAGCAGCGCCTGATGTCACCAGCGTTCGTTGGAACGTCGAGGACGATGGTCGCCGTGTCCGAGCCCAACTAGAGATGAATGAACGAGCGAGACCATTTGTAAGAGATGCCAAAATATCGATACGTATGATTTTACATGTGTGCGAATGACCCGCGCCCTCGAGCCCTCGAGAAGCGGATGAGCCAGTGGCTTCGACAGACACACCTGCCGTCCACGGACACACTTGCTAACTTCTGTCCATAGCTTGCACAGTCCGGAAGCTCCTCACAAGTGGCTGGTATGTTTCAGGTGTCAGAGACCCCGACGCTTTCGTCGCCTAGCAGTGGCGCCGCCCCGTTCAGCATTGAGCCGGCGGAGTCACACGACGCGGAGTCGCCAGGTGGTCGAGGTAATCGCTAAAGCCGCAGGGTATATGGGCTGATGTTTCTGTTTGTAGATCAACAAAATGAGACTACTTCGAGCTTACCAGCTCCACAGGAGCCAGCCGCTCCTCCTTCCCCATTGCCTCTATTAGCCCAGCCAGCACAATTTGAGCCAGGCACACAAAGCTCGCAGAAGCAAACTGTTTCGCAAGAGGCCCTTTTCATCCATCCCGAGGCGTTCCGCCCCAACTCCTACTTCGTCGGCAGGAAAGAGGAGCTTGATGACCTCCACAGAATGCTTCAGGATAAGCGGCGGAGGTCGGAAGGTACCTCTACTGTACTCATTTCCTGTCTCCCAGGAGGAGGGAAAACACACATGGCCAGACAATACGTATTCGCGCACAAGAGCGACTATCCAGGAGGCATTTTCTGGCTGCGTGCAACATCGGTCCAGGAACTAGAGGGCGAGTTCTGGCGTGTTGCAAGGACCGCTGCCCTCAAGGATCTCATGGACAAGAAGAACTACGACGAGCTGAGAGACAACACCAAGATCATAGACATTGTTCGAGAATGGTTCAATGGCTTCGAGGGATGGCTCATGATCCTGGACGGGATCATGTTCGACTCGCCAGGCATAGAACGCTTTGTCCCAGACGTGGCCAATTCGAGCATAATATTGACATCCACGGACCCCGCAGCGACCGGCAATCACCACTTCAACAACCCTCAACTCCTACCACTGCCACTCCTCCCGGCGCAAGAGGCCCAGGAGTTGCTGCTCCTGGAGACAGAGAAAAGGAAGCCATGGGGCCAAGAAGACCTCAGCCAGGCGACCGAACTGGTGCAGATCCTAGGACGACTTCCACTGATGATCCACTTCATTTCTCAGCAGATAAAGGCCAACCAAGAGCCCCTGGCCACCTTTCTCAAGAGATACCGCACCCGGCCAAAGGTGGGGAAAGTCCCGGCCTACGAATACGTGCTGGAACAGCTGCAGTCGAGGGGCGCCACTGCCGCTCTGAACGTCATGTCGATACTGGTTTTCTTTGACCAAAACATACCCGTGGAGATGATGGCACTAGGTAAGTCACAACCTCAAACTCGTCCTTCCACAGCTCGCAGGGACCCCAGAGGCTTCCCAGGTGCTTGGCATCATGGACTACGTGGGTGGACTGACCGGAGACGCTTGCAGGCCTTCATGCCCTCGGCAAAGAAATACCCTACAAGACGCGTGACGCCTCCACCCATGGCAAGGGGAGTCTTAGTAATACCCTGAGAGTATTGATAGCCTTCGCGCTGGTTGAGAGGACGGAGACACAGGACGTGTCACCAACCAGCTCGAGAAGCTCCAGGCAAAGCTTTCCCATCCACTCGGAGAGCTTGGACACTCTGCGGATACACAGTGTCATCCAGCGATACTTCATCGAGTCCCTCGCAGGGAAGGGCCAACATGCATACTGGCTCGAGCGAACCGTCGAGGTTTTCTCAAAGTCCTATGACGAGGCAGACCGGCGCATATCAGAGCAACCCAAAGTCGGCCTCCCGGACGACTACCGGAGATTCTACATTCACGGGAAGAAGCTTGCAGAGCACCTCAAACGGTACGAGCGGAGGCATTCGGCGCTCCAGCCGCTGAGGAAAGAGATTGAGACGAAACTGGAAGAGATCCACGACAAGATCCACGGGCTATCGGGCAAGATACAGGCCATGATCGTCGATCAATCCGATGAGATAGCACAAACCTCGATCTTCGATAGGACAAACAGCCTATCAGAGTCGGACTCGGCCACCTCCAGCTCCCAGAGCCAGAGCCAGCAGGACAGTTGGGCCCGGATGGATGAGGACGACCCTCGGTTGTACAATTCCCCAGTCGCATTCGCGCCTGGCCAGCAGTACGATGCGTACGGAATGCCGTTTCCATACCCAGACGGGAGCACCATCCCGGCCGAGCCCTATCATTACGAGGACGAGCACGAGCGGACACCACAGATTACGCCCAAGGTTGGCCAGGGCTCGCCGGACCTTGACCAAAACGGCTGGACGACAGTTGTCCCTGTGCATCAGAGCAACCAAAGGCCCAGGACCGATTCTCTGATCAACCAAAGGGGGCATCACAAGAGCGACTCGGAAATTGGAGTCAGCCACGGTATCGCCAGGCCACCCTTTTTTCACACCTCATCGCCGCGCGGTGGATCTAGGTCATCCAGCAAGGGACGCTTGAGCGTGCATAGCGAAGCCGAGCTGGCTCTTCAAAAGGTGCGGAAGGTATCGCCACCGGGCCCTCGTGGTGGAAGAGCCGTCCAGGACAAGGGGAGGAGCCTGAGCTCCGGCACGACGACCAGACCACGGGACATCATGACCCGTGGAGAGAATAACTACGCGAGAGTTGCATCCGGGCTGACGCCCACCGACAAGCCATCACCAGCCGAGTTCTACCGTGGCTCTGGCGGTAAACCTCTGCCCGGGTCGTCTTGGACTGCCGAGACCGTCAAAAGATTCAAGGAGGGCCTCAAGCCGACCGGCAGGAAGTCATCCACTGGGAGCTCAAACAGCAGGACGGCACCAACCCCTGGGAGTGTCCACACCTCGCCCGGAGCAGAAGAAGTAGCAACCATGCCGCCTTTCCCGCAGGTGACAGGCACGCGGACTGCTAGGTCCAGTCCCGGCGGAGTCACTCCCTTCTACCCCCCCAGCCTACCCGTTGAGAGAATGACTGGCGATGGGCGCCGCAACCCTCCACCGAACTTCCACCAGTGGAACACCAGCTCTTACACCCCTGGCCTGGGACGGCTTGAACCCTTGAACCTTCCACGTGGGCAGCAGGGCCTTGACCAGGATCCCAACGCATTGCCATACCCCTTCCCACCAAACGTCTGGTTTCCGGCCCCGGAGGCAGTGTCAGCGCCAATGTCGAGGAACTCGAGCCAGCAGTCGAGCAACCAGTCGTCAACCGGCAGGAGGCGCGGGGCCAACCTCGCACTCGCGACCTCGGCCACGGCGCTCAGGGGCCGGAGGCACTCGAGCCCCCTGTCCAGCCCCATAGGCTCAGCGCCGCCGCCGGGCTCCCGCTTCCCGGCACGCGGCCACAGCAGACCGCCCTCGGTGGTTACGGAGCCAAGCCCGCGCCTCCGACCAAGGTACGAGGTGCCCGAGCTGCCTGCCGGCCAGGCCCGAGTTTACCTCCCCGAGCCCCTCCCCCGGCCGGGGGCGGGGTCCAACACGCCCGGCACCGGCACCGGCACCGGCACCAGCGCCAGCGCCAGCGGGAACGGCACTCCTCCCGTGCGCCCGAGGTGGTACAAGCGGGCCTCTGGGCGGCTGCGCGGGCGGGCCCAGTCGCAGAGCCCGAGCGTGGGGCTGCGGGTCTCGAGTGGCGGCGCCAGCGTGCACAGCGCCGGCAGCCCGGACCCCGGGTCCGCGGGTGATGGGGGCAGCGAGGCCATGGCGCGGTCCGGCTCTGGCGGGATCGTTGTCGGGGATGGGAAGATAATTGGGTTTGGGGAGTTGCCTGTCAACATGGAACTCGCCAGGGAGGCCGTGAGCGCGCCGCCCATGAGTAGGAGTAGTTCTGGCGGTGTTGGGTTGGGTATCATGCATGAGACGGAGTGATTGTACATATCGAAGGGAGCCTGGATGGTTGCTAATTACTGTCTGTGACAGCGGCTTCATGGTGCCTACGTACACAGCCAAGAATAGTTGATGCAATGAGATACAAAATCTCATCATATGCGGTGACGCCGCTGTCGATGAACCACCGGAAACCATCCCCGTGGAAGGAGTGCTAGAAGGGTGTCGTGGTCAAGACGCGCAGAGGATTGGGGACAGGCGCATTTGTGCAGCACGGAGTGTACAGATGATAACCTGGCACGTGTAAAGAGAAGTGTACAATTATAACTACGCGTAACAGGCGGGCTGGCGCTTTTGCGCCGACCTGTTACCTACTGATATTCACCGGTGAGCTTGTCTCGTAATTCGTCTGCACTTTAGTGATACGCTAGCATCAAAGAAGAGCCTGCCGGACCTGCTGCTGCCGCCGCCGGAGCTTCCATCTCTTTTCAACCGTGATTCTACCTACCCTGGAGAAGCCATGGGGGCCATCATGCCAGACCGAAGTCTGCGATCTCACCCATCTCCGTCTTCAGCTCCGCCCCGACCTTGTATGCCACCCTCCACCTCAGCTTGATGGACTCGACCTTCTTGGTCTTGTCTCCTGCGTGCCAGACCTCGATAGACTGCGTTATCCCGCGGCTTTGTTTTGGCTCCAACGACCGCCCCGTCTGGGGCTTGAGTTGAGACTCGTATCCCTGGACGGCTCTTGTCAGTTACGCAACTCCTCGGGGTTACCAGGCGCCGGGCCAGGTGGAACTCACTTTTGTCACCGCCAGCTGGAAATGCAATTCTGAAATTGGCTGCGCTGTGTTGTTACTGAAGGCAAATAAGAGGTTGATGCTGTTGGAGGAGCCCGTCGTCCGATTTGCAAGCATGTCGATCTTTAGGGCGGTGTTGTTGACCACAGCCCTGTGTTCTCGAGGCAGCGCCGGTGCCTCTGTGGGTAAAGCGGACGCGAAGTTCCACTCGTCATCATCGTTGGCCTGGGGCACCGGTGCTGCCGATACAGGTCGTGCTGCCGCGGCCGGTGCTGCAGCCGGTGCTGGGGCCGGAGTGGCCGGCTTCGAGGTGTTGGAAAAGCCGGTGCCAAAATTTGAAGAAGACAGGGCGGCAAAGGGATCTGCAGCTTGTGCTGGGGCGGCAAACGCTGATTGCTGGTAGTTGGGGGGTTGCGGGGTGTTGTTCTTTGAAGTCGACGGAGCCGAGTTGAAGGCATTGAATGACGAAAACGGATCAGGTGTGGACGTGGATGGCCCTCCACCTTGGGCGGTGCTACTTTGTGTCACTGAGGAGAGCAATGACGGTCCCGGAACATCTGTTGGTTTTGGTGAGCGAGAGCCCTGTGTGTGGACGTTGACCATCGACTTACTGCTGTTGTTCCCGAATCCCAGCGATATCCCGCCGGTCTGGCCAAAGGTGCCGCCACCTCCGGCATCATCGCCCATGGACAGCCCCAGCAAGTCGTCTTCGAGACCTCCGGGCTGGGACTGGCTGGCTGCTGCACTCGGACCCGCGGATCCGTTGCCCGACGGTCCGTTGGCCTCCGCCTCCCCATCGAAATCAATGAGGTTAAGCTCCTGCGCCGCACTCTTGACGGCGGCCTGTGAGGCGACATGCTCCCCGCGCGCGATCTTGGACGCCCCCTCGAGGTCGCCCTTCTTCATCAGCTTGTATCTCTCCACCGTCCGGTGTATACTGTCATTAATCTCCAGTAGCCTTGCGACAGCCTCGTGGTCATCGGACTCTTCCTCGCACATCTTTTGGATCTTGGGCTGCGCGCTCTGCAGAGCAGACGCCAACTCCTCGAAGACATCACCGTCTGTCATGCTGTCGCCCGCCTTGAAGTCCTCCAGCCTTTCCTCGAGCAGTTTCGCCTTGGCTTGGATCTTGGAGACGTCCTCGGCGGCCTTTGCGCGGTAGTCAACCTTGGACCTTGTGTCGTAGCCGGCCATGATCTTCATGAGTCGATTTGCCTCCTGCAGATCCTCGGGGGCGCCTCGCCGGATGAGCTCCTGAAGCTTGGCTGATTGCGCCTCGCGCTCCTCCTCCTCCATCTCCTCGGCCGACTTGAGGTTCTGCACGGCGCACTTTGTTAGATGGTATTGCTAGGGGGTTGGGGGGGGGGGGGGGGTGAGAAGACAGCAGCTCACGTCGCTCGGGTTCAGGACGGCGGCGTCGTCCCTCCTGACCTCAGGAAAGGTGTAGCCCTTGTAGCTCAGCAGCCTGTGCATGTCCCTGATGAAGCCCATGTCCTCCTTGTAGCGACTGGTCTCGCAGATGGTGCTGCGCCACTCCTCGATGGCCTCGAGGATCTTCATCTGGACCCTGCTGTAGCGCATGGGCGGGCGCTCGGGAAATCTGCGGACGAGCTCGTTCAGGAACTCCTTTGTGCCGATCTGGAGGTGGAAGGGGTAGCCGCAGTTCTTGACGCAGATGTCGAGCAGGCTGAGGGCCAGCAGGGAGACATTGGGGTTGCGGTGGTTGATGTAGTTGACGATGGCGACGGCAGCCTCGCGCGGGGCGGTGCCCTTCTTGGAGTTGACGAGGTCCGAGATCTCGAGGTTGAGGGCGAGGTTGGGCTCGTAGTTCTCGGGGCTGCAGGCGGCCTGGATGAAGCGCTGGAGCTGCGAGGGGGCATGGCCGCCGTATCCCCCCCACTGGTCTCGAGCGGCGGCCCTGGCGCTCGCCGCCTCCATCGTGGGTGGTGCGTGGTGAGAAGCGCAGTGGCCTGTCTGGAGTCGTGCCCGGTTCTGTACGTGTTCGCGCCCTGCTCGCCTCTCGCCCCGTCTTCTGCTGCTGCTGTCCTGACGGTGCGGTGATGTGGTGGCTCCGGCTCCGGCTCCGGCTCTGGCTATGGCTATGGCTATGGCTATGGCTCCAATGGTAGGATGCAGTCTCACAGCCGCGGGCTCCGGGGCCAGGTCGCAATGGCGGGTGCCGGTCGCAGAGGTGGTGCTGGCTTGGATTGCTGTCCTGTTGAAGCTTCGACCTGCACTCTGGCCGTACGCTGAGGGGAGAGCTGGGGAAGGCCAACGGCTGAGCCTCCCTGCCGCCGGATGAACACAGTTGGACGTCAGCTAAAACGGCGGGGATCGGCACAGGAGTACATGTACCCAGCTAGTGCCATGGATAGCCGCCAAACGAGGTACAAGTACATGGAGGCGGGCCCTCCAGCCAGCAAGGTACCTGAGCACCGCCAGCTACCGCGTAGCTCTGGGCAGTGGGCACTTCTAACCCGATTCATACTATGCCGAGCAATCGCCCCTCCAAAAAGATGTCGCCGTTCCTGAATGCAAGTTCAACACCAAAACCACCAAAACCCACGAAGAAACATAACACAACACACTTTACGCACTCCCGCCGCAGTCACCATGGTCCGCCACAAGAAAGACCCTCGAAGCAAGAAAACATTCACTGTCCACCCCAAGCGCGGCGGCGGCAACGCGCAACAGGGTAATCATGCCGAGAACCAGCAAGGCGACGACCCCACCACCGGCGCCTCGTCAACTGGCCGATCGCGCCCGCCATTCAAGGCCGCCTGCTGGGACCTGGGCCACTGCGACCCCAAGCGCTGCAGCGGGAAACGCCTCATGAAGGTCGGGCTCATGCGCGGCCTCCACCTCGGCCAGCGCTTCAACGGCGTCATCATCACCCCCAACGGCAAACACGTCGTCTCGCCCGCCGACAAGGAGCTGCTCGAGACCTACGGCGCCGCCGTCGTCGAGTGCTCCTGGGCCAGGACAAAGGAGGTCCAGTGGAACAAGGTCGGCGGCAGGTGCGAGAGGCTTCTGCCGTACCTCGTCGCCGCCAACACTGTCAACTACGGCAAGCCATGGAGGTTGAACTGTGCCGAGGCCCTCGCCGCTGCCTTTGCCATCTGTGGCCACCTGGACTGGGCCACACAGGTGCTAGAGCCCTTCTCATACGGGGAGGCATTCCTAAAGATCAACGCGTCACTGCTGAGGAAGTATGCCGAATGCGAGGATGAGAAGGCTATCAAGAGGACCGAGGAGGAGTGGATAGAGCGGCTCGAGAAGGAGTATGCCGACAATCGCGAGGGAGGCTCCGACGATGACATGTGGAAGAGCGGCAACGTGAACCGACGGGCGATTCCAGACTCGGACTCGGACGAGGACGAGGACGAGGACGAGGAGGGGAGTGGTGAGGATGAAGAAGATGGCGACGGTTCCGTGGACTGCATTTATCTCGGCAAGAGACCGGACCCCACGCCAAAGGAGGCCATCGACGAGAAAGACCCATTTGACATATCAGATGACAGTGAAGAAGAAGACGCTGCCATGGAAGAGATCCGAAGGAAAGTCCTGGCGTCGAAACCCTTCGCCAACCCCGAGGACTCGGATCAGAAGAAGCGGCCAGAGACGATATCAAGACCGCAGCAACCAAGTGGGAAGACAAAGGTTGACTCGGATGCGGAGCCAGATTCCGACAATGGCGAGGAGGATGACGAGTTTGATAATATTATAGCAGCGACCCCCATGACCGACAGGATAGGGCTCAGCAAGCTGGAGAGGGAGAGGTCACAGGCGACAGTCACGAGTAGGACGTTCATGTCGAATAGCATATCGGCGCCAAAGCGGTGGTAGGACCCGACCGTGCGGTATAGCTCCTCGGCCAGCACCTCCAGTCTAATCTTGTACCCTTCTTCAGCCACGTGGTGAAGCCCGGATCTATGTATATATCTATACATCTCATGTACATTTTGTGACATATCTTTACATGGCTCGGCACTCGAGCAGCGAACATACTTGCCCCTCAAGTCTGAATGTGATTCGCCCTGCCAATGTGTCTGATTGCTCAGAGGTACCTCTTCTGCGTTACCTCTTCGAACAGCTGGATGACGTCGCCCGCCTCGAACTCATCCCAGGACTCAAACGAGACACCGCACTCGGTGCCCCTCCTCATCTCCTTCACATCCTTCTTGCCCTGCTTCAGAGCATCAAGTTTGCCTGTGCAAGTGGGTTAGTCAGTCAGCGCAAATGTCATAACGCGGAACGCGCAAAGTGAACGGGGTATCGCACCTTCGAAGACCTTCTCGCCGTCCCTCATCACCCTGTACATCCCGCCCCGCGTCAGTGTGCCCGTCTTCACCTTGACACCGGCAATGTTCCTGTATTTCCGCTTCACAATGTTGATCGAGAACACCTGCAGCACTTCAGCCTCGGCCAGGACCTTCTGGCTGATGATCGGCGCCAGCTGCTCTGACATCATCTCCTTGACGTCCTCGACAAGGTGGTAGATGATAGTGTGGTCGAGGATCCTGACGCCCTTTTCCTCCGCCTTGCTCTTGATGTGACTCGGTATCGGGGCGTTGAAGTTGATGATGCAGCCCTTGGCCACAGCCATGAGGTCGATATCGGACTCATTGATCTGACCAGGAGAGGACCTCAGGACCCGGGCGTGCACCTCGTTGTTGCCGATCTCCATGACTGCCGTGCAGACCGCCTCCACGGATCCCATCACGTCGCCTCTGACAATGGTATTTACCGTCTTAGGCCCCGATACCTCCGCCTCTGCTGAGACAGCGTCCTCGCCTTCTTCCTCCATCATCTTCTCCAGCGCCTCCTGCTCGGCCTTCTCGCGATTCTTGAGCTCCTCCTCTCCCTTCTGTGCAGCAGCCTTTGTCCGATCCGCGAGTTCCTCTCGGTAATCAACTGCAAGCTGAGCCCTGTCCTCGTCCTCCGCCTGGAGGACCAGATCTCCGGCGACTGGGGCGTCTCTCCATCCAAGGACCTCGACAGGCGTTCCCGGCCCGGCCTCCCCGACGTTGACACCGGCCTCGTTGCGCATCATCCTGATTCTGGCGTACGTGGTCCCGGCGACGATCAGGTCGCCCACGCGTATCGTCCCGCGCTTGACAAGTACCGTTGCCGCCTTGCCATCGACCTTGACGCTCGCCTCGAGAATCCAGCCCTCAGCCATGCCGTTCGTCTCGGCACGGACGTCCAGGATTTCGGACAAGGTCAAGATACTCTCTTCCAAGTCATCCATGCCCTTGCCCGTCTTCCCGCTCACGCCGACCACCTGCACGTCGCCGCCAAAGTCCTCAATCTCCACACCGTTTGCTGCCAGGTCCTGTTTGACTTGATCGATACGTCTTTCATCCACGTCTATCTTGTTGATAGCCACGATGATGGGAACCTTTGCGTTTTGGGCATGCTTGAGCGCCTCGAGGGTCTGTGGCTTGACACTGTCGTCAACGGCCACAACGAGGACCACAATGTCGGTCACGTTGGCACCACGCTGCCGCATACTCAAGAACGCGGCGTGTCCAGGCGTGTCCAGGAAGGTAATGACCTTGCCCGAGGAGAGACGGACTGAGAAAGCACCGATATGTTGCGTGATGCCGCCATGCTCCTGTGCAGCAACAGATGACTTCCGCAGCCAGTCTAACATGGTGGTCTTGCCGTGGTCGACGTGTCCCATAATGGTAACAATTGGTGGGCGGGGCGGCAACGCTGACGGGTCCTCTGGTGGAGGCCGTGGCTTCAAGTCTATGTCATCGCCTGTGTCGAGGACAGGATCGAGACCGTATTCCGCAGCGACTAGCGCAGCAGTCTCGCCCGTCATGATACTGTCGTGAAGTATGTTCTCGAATCCAAGTTCTCCAAGGTCGCTGAGGAATTGCTGCGGTTTGACGCCCAGTGCCTGTGCCAGATCAAAGATGGTTATGTATTCTGGCAGCATGATCGTCTTCGGGGCCTCGGCTTCCTTGGCAGCCCTTTTCTCTTCCTTCCGCCGTCTGGCTGCTTGCTTTCGAGCTTGATGCTCTTCATAGTCGAATCCAGAGTCATGTCGTCGTCTTCATCCTCGTCATAGTCTCGGGCTCGGTGGTTCTGCCTTTTCTTCGGTCGGTCTTCAAATCGCTCGACATCTCTGCCCCTGCTGCGCTGTTGCACATCCCTTTCAGGCTCCCTGTCTCTGCCCGCAGAGCGAGCAAACCTTCCCTGCGCTCGACTTTCTGCTTGATTCATAGCATTTTGGCGACGTCTCTGTGCGTGTCGCTCTTCAGGGGAAGCCATGTCGCTCTCGTAAAGACCTTGGTCCCTCTCGCGACCCCTCGGTGAATATCGCTCTTCGGAGGGGGCGAGGTCGCTCTCTGAAAGACCCCAATCACTCTGCTTGCCGCCGCTCCTGTGAGGAGCTCGTGATGGTGCAGCTACCTTCCGCATTATCGAGAACTGGTCGACTGGATCTCGGGGCTGTGAGGTTTGACGGCTCTCCGTATTGCTCAAACTCTGGGCAGTATCCAGCTGTTCAAGCGGCACCTCCTCAAGGCCCGGGCTCCTGTCCATCCCGGAACTCGCGATGCTATCAACTGGAGCTGGAGCGGATCCGCCAACAGCCGATGACTTGTCCCCACTTGAAGCTCCAGCTGGTCTGTTGAAGCCGAATAGCGACCTGCGTGGCAGCTCTTGGTAGGAGGGCGTTGATGGGCCTTCCCGAGGGGGGTTTCTTGGTAGTGGCGAGGAGGACTTACCTTCACCGGGTAGGTTGAACGGACTCAGAGTTTCGAACTCATCCACGCTTGGCGATCTCCGGCGAAGATGACCGTACTCGGCCCCAGGAGGCGGCTTGAATACTTTTCTTCTCACAGTGAAGCTCTGAGAGCCCTGGTTCTGATCAGTGGGCTCAGGCTGCTGCGCTATATGGTGCGCCCCGGAGGCCGATTGCGAAAACTCTGGCGCATTTTCCTGCGTTCCTCTCGCCGCTGGTGTGTTTTCAGGGAGCGGACTTGCTTCGGACTTGAATTTTCCCATCGTACTAGTGTCCCTCGCGGGCCGAATTGGGCTTCTATTTGCGAATCCAGGTTTGGGAGAGAAAGGCTTGTGCTCCGTCGGCTGCCATGCTCTGTCTTGGGCGATATTGTCGCTTGGTATCGCGGTTGCTGCACTCGGTTGACCGGAAGCCATGGCTAAAGGCGCCTCTTGGGCAGCGGAAGATTGGGTGTCTGGCATGGATGTGTACGTGGGTTTGGCCGGCGCTACGGACGTAGACTTGGCCGGTGGTATCTTGCCGGCTTGGAATCCCCCGGGTTTTCTTCCTCCCCAGGCCGGCGGGGAGGCTGCTCTTGCCCAGTCCGTGTTTGTCTGGCCGGGCAAGGTGCCTGACCCGAACTTTCCATATGAGCTGTACCCTCGGACGCCCGTCCGGTTCGCCCCGCTGAGGAACTCGTGATGTGTCTGCGGGGCTGCATCTCGAGGGTTTCGCGGTACATGTCGGTAGTGAAGGGTGCGAGCAGGAGCCGAAGATAGCAGTCGCGAGGCGGAGGAGGGTGCGCGGCCTGGCGTCGTGGCCCTAGAGCGCAGTTGGGTCAAGCTGTGGAGGTTTTGTCGGCGACATGATGCGCAGACATAGAAGCCACCCTTCTTCTGCAATTTTGCGCCCGTCAGCCTCCCCGGTTCGTACAATGTGCCGCAGGCTTGTAGACATACCTGAAGTTGACTTCTCAACATGCTGGTGCCCAGGCTTGCAATTGGTTGTTACCACGCAATGCCAGGTGGGTGATTTCTTGTCGTCAACGAGACGAGACGATGCGCGCAACCGGGACCGCGCCGGGAATTTTAATGGAGCTTGACAGGCAGGAACCGAGTCGACGGGTCGGATATGCACCGGGGGCTAGCTGGCTGAGTGGCTGTCTCGGTACCCATGCACCCGCCCGTCCATGGGCAGGCAAGCTCCGGCCAGCTCAAGCTTAAGCTCCTTACTTCAGATTCTGTAGTGTGGTCTCTCTACTTACCTAGGTACTGTACGTACTCAATGCTACCCGTCCTCAGGGGTCATCAACTTGCACGCGATACAAGCTCCAAAGAATAGCACAGTTGAACAGACAGAGATCCGTCTCATCTCGACGCCCTCTCTGCCTCTGTGGTCACAAGCCATTGGGCCCCAATTTCACCCGGCCATTCCGAGCTCTCATTCTGCTGCATTCCTTCCTCCAGGAAATCCGTTCTCAGCCACATCTGTTCAGAAGCCGCCAGTATGCCGCCCAAGAAGGTGCTCTCAAGGAAGCCCCCCAAGTCTTCGCCAGCAAGCTCTTCCGAGCCCCCCGCGCCCTTCAAGCGAGCCCCTGAAGTCTTTGGCCCCCTTCTATGCGTCCCTGTCGCCAGCCCATGTTTACATAGCGCACGTCGACTCCAAGCCCGCAGACTTCAAGCGCAAGATCTTCCTGGTCCCCGTCGCCATCAACATCGCCATTGCCCTGATCTTCGCCTGGCGCGTCTACTATGTGAGCCCTTGGTACTTCGCCCTCCTCGCCTCGGGCCTCGGCCACAGTAACGAGACCACCGTTGCCCCATCCGAGTCCTCCTGGGGCGTAATCGCCCGGGTCATTGCACGCCGAGCTTTCACTTTCCTGCTGGATTTCCTCCTCTTCGTCTTTGTCTGGCCTTGGCCCGTCGAGTTCTGTTTCGGCAGGACCCACGGCAGTCCCGCGCAGTGGCGGTGGAACGTCGGCTTCCGCGACAAGGAGATCTACGTGCGCCGCAGCAGGCCCACGTGGGATGGGAAGGTCCGCGAGGCCGTGAAGGGGACCGACTTTGAGGCGAGGAGCCAGCTCATGACCAACATCGGGGTGGCTGTGAACCCGATGCTGTTGAACGAGAAGACGGGCTACTTGACCATGAACAACGAGTGGGATCTCGACTGGGCTGCTATGGTCGACGCCACGAGGCTGGTCGACAAGAAGGACGTGGAGCTGGACGCGTTCAAGCTGATGGTTCTGGTGCACCACGAAGGTCATGGGTGGCTATCTTTGGACCTGAAGGAGACGAGAGCGGACGCTGCGCCGGATGATGCGCCGTTCGATGAGCGAAGGACACAGGTCTTTGCGTTCCGGGATGCCCTTGCTGCTGCAGGCAAGGAGGACCTGTTCTATCGCTGGATCGAGATTGTCCAGTTCGAGTCCTCACAGCCGGGCGGGTTTGGTCCAGAAAAGCAAGTGGAGGTGGCACAGAAGATCAGAGACCTGTTTCAAGAACAGGGTATCGATTTTGATGAATTTTGGAAAGAAAGTGTTGGCTCAGACGGGCTCGCAAGCATGTAGAAGCATGAGGCCAAGCATGCGATGCATTATCACCAATCAAGAAAACATCACTGATCTTGACAATGCGAGGGTCAAGGGACCGGGCAATTAAGTTTCTCGGTTGGACAAGCCGTCGTATGCTGTGATACCCAAACGTGAAAGAAACCAGGTGCTGCTGTTTATGGACCCACAACCGCTTGCCGTCTATGCGTGGCCCGCGTCAACTCTAAGGAGGGTCTTTTCTCCCATGTGGCTGTCTCGTGATCGCTATCGAAGACAGAGCACTACTTTGACTTCTTACCCGACTTCTTGCCTGATGCCCCTTTGCCGAGGGCCGCCTCTCGCTTCTTGGCCTCCTTAGCCTCAATCTCAGCCCGCTTAGCCTTCTCCTGCTCCTCTCTCTCCTGACGCTCGGCCTGGCAAATCGAGAACGGTCAGCGAGTACCAAGATGGAAGGCACTGTAGTGGTGGGGGACATACCTCTTTCCGGGCCTTGTCGGCCTCCCTCTTCTCACGGATGGCCGCCAGCCGTGCTAGGTCGGCCTTGGCCTGGTCAGTCTTGCCTTCCTCATGCAGCTTCCTGTAGCGAGCCTGGGCCTGGGCAGCCTCGAGAGTCTCCCGTTCGCGCCGGCTCTGTGGCTGCTTGACGCTCAGCCCGGACACAGCCTCGGCCGCCTCGTCAACGCTAACGGGCTCAAGCTGCTTGCGCGCAGCCTTGGAGTGGTTCGGGTTGGCGGGCATGTCGTCGTCGTCGTCATCGTCAGAGTCGCCGTCGCTTGGGGGCAGGTCGCCGACCTGAACAGCGGCAGCCTTCGCCCTTGCAATGGCGGCGTCCTTGCGGGCCTTCTTCTCCTTCTTGCGGTCTTCACGGCTCAGTTCCTGGGCGGCGGCATTGGATGGGCCGGCCTCGTCGTCGGACTCTTCTTCAGACTCCTCCTCGGACTCCTCGTCAGAGTCCGACTCGTCCTTCTTTTTGGCATCGGTGCTCCACATGGAGATCTCATTGCCGTCGGCATCCAGGGGTCGAAGGTCGCGCGAGAAGTGCTTGCCGCCTGTAGAGTTCTGTGTAAGCGATGGTGAACGGCAAACTTTGGGCAGGATGCACGGAGCCAGTGTCAGGAAACATACCTCCACGTGTGGGTTTCTTGAACTTGCCGCCTCGGCCGCGCGAGTTGCCTCCAGGACCGCCTGCCATTCTGAATACCTAGGTAGATAGATAGACGGGGAGTGTGGTGTGTGAGAGCCTGGCGCAGACAAGTCGCACAAAGTTGTCGAATTTGACCGGGAGGAGTATAGGCAGGTTGTTGGCACTGCTGCGTGTGGTGAGTATTGTGGACGCACTCGAGCATTGGAGTCGGCCGGGGGTGGGCGAATCGAGACGGTCTTGAACAGCAACAAAAGAAGGAGGGGCACAACAAGAAATGATTCACACTCGGTCAAGCCAGTAGATCCAAGTGAGAGCGCTGCCCCTGCCTGCTGACCGTTTTCCACCTGCTACCTGGGTACCTAGGCACCTAGTGTAGCAGCCAGGCAGCCAGTCAGGCAGAGGTAATAGGTACCCGATAGTATGGACTGTACTACCTACCTAGGTGGGTATGGTACAATGCCCTGGACCGCCACATTGCCTGGGCCAGGAACTCAGTGCTGACACCAAGGTTCGTCTCCACCTTGATTGGCTGGCTGCCTCCAGGGGCTTAGGTAAGGGCTGCGCGAATGGCCCACACGGGTTGGTCTGCAATGAAAACCTCTGCAGTGCTGTCCGCTGTCTCTCCTTTCTCTTTTCTCTTCTTCATCAACATAAAACTAAAAGACCCCCGTATTCACTCTGACTTTTGGCCTGTTTTTCTCCGTGGCAGCTGGAGGGGAAACCGGGGGTTAGATTAAACATCGTTTGCTTACCTTCTGGCCTGTAACCAGCTTCGGCTCAAGTTGGGTACCAGATAAATTATTTTAACGAAACAATCCGTTGTTGTTCGATCGTTGTTGCGATGCTGCTATCCCTGACCTACCAGCTATCATTTACCCAGGTATTTTCGGAGACTTCTTCCTGCGTAGTTGGAACCTGGCCTGGGTTGCCAGGCTGCTTTTGGTTGGCACATCTGTGTGAAGGGATACATTGAAATGAAATGCAAACGCGTCAATAGCCTCGGCGGCAGGCACGTTGAATGAGACCCTGCCTCGAACTCTGCTCTCGTGCCATGGCGCAGCGGACAATCTTCTACACCATACGGCTTCGACAGCAACGCATTCAAGCAGCTTGTGGACCGCAGCCACTACATCCGTGATGGATCCTTTCGTGGCCAGAGAGTGGTCAGCGCCAGCGACTAACAGTGCCGATATTGGTTGGGACCGCAGACCAAAGCCGCATCGTAGCCCGTCAGCACCACAGCACCGGGCACGCCCGCCAGGACGTGACCGTCCACAGCATCGCCGACCTCGAATGCCTGCCTCACTGGCCGACCAGGCAGCCAGAGTTGCTGCAGCTAACATTCAAGACATTGATCTTTCACACCTTCGCGGACTTCCTCCAAGAGCGTTGCAGCTCCTCTTGAAGCACCTGGACCTCGAGTAGGCCTGCCTTCCATCCAGAAGCCTCTCTCCCATTACTGTCGACAGCAATCATGTGCCCACTTTTTGCAGCCAGAACAGACTCTCTATTTTTGAGATCATCTGCTATGTTTTCTTGCCCATCCAATACCGGCAGAATATCCCATGAGTGTAAATTCTGACCATGCTTCAGGTCTATCTCTTTGAGCACTTGGAAGGCCTTACAGGAGCTTGGACGCGCCGGCCACCTCGACAACAAGAAGAAGCTGGCCTTGCACCAGTTCCTGCACCATGTCAAGGAGCCAACGGCTGACCTTTGTGTCTACCTGGCGCCTCTCCAGTCCACCGACTTTACTTTCATATCGCACCTACGACTTGCTGGCTCCTGCCTGATCAAGGTCGAGGAGCTGCTCTACCTCCCACGATGGTCTAAGAACCTCGGCCTGTTGGAGCTCATGGAGCCCATGGACAACGAAACTCCTTTTCCTCGGCTGAATGACCGCGTGTTTAAGGCGTGGAGTCTGCATGATGACCCTTTCCCCAAGTTGAAAGGAATCGGAATTTCCACCCACAGCTCCATTACAGAGCAGTCCCTCCAGTATTTCACACAGTTTCCGGCACTGATAATGCTCGACATTACGGCTGGAAGGGCGGACTGGACACGTTCGGAGTCCCTTGCCAATGCCCTCGGTTGGATATACTGCAACTGGGCCGAAGTTCAGCGCTGGTACAACGACGACGATGATGAGGGCGATCCCGACGTCGTGCCCAAGGTCAGTGTGACGTCTCACAAGGATTGGATGCGTTTGTCTCTGGGGCTCGACATGGTTGACATTGGACCACCACCGGTGATCGCACGGAACAATTGCGGGAATACTGAATCCCACGGCTTCCAGCTCCATAATCTACTCGAGATGCCAGCTTCAGAAATGCTGCAACAGGGAGACCTCATCTGTAAACTCCCCTGGTCCAGCGCCTTGGCGTCGTTGACCCTAGGTCGAGACCGAAAACTCATCCGCGGCCATCGACGCTCTTCGCCTGAGGAGAAGATGATATTCTGGCGATACTGGCAGGACGGGGTCAGACACCCGGCACCCAAGAAAAGGGACCAGGAAGCACCTCAAAAGACACCTTCTTCGACAGGGCAACCTGACAAATCTGCTCCTGCGGTCATACGATCCAGTAAGAAGCGCTCAGCCAGCTCCATCAGCGACGCGCTGTCTCATTTTGAAGGGAGATGACGACTCCAACAACCCAGAGGCTTCAATATCGCGGAAAGACTCTTATCAGACGAGAGACAGGGCTCATATCCGATCAAAACGCCTACTGGCAGGCTTCTCGCTTGGGTGATGTTTGTTTCAGCTGGCGAAGCCTCCTAAGCCTGTATCCATTTCAATAAAGCATTCGCCAGGCTCGCGCAGATTTGAAGGATGCCCAAGCGTTAACTGTCCCAAGTCATTCGCACGCATGCTCTGTCAATGCAGCTGCGTTGTGAAGCAGTTCGACGAGGAGTTAATGGCTACTACTCAAAGAGGAATCACCAGGCTCCAGCTGCTCTCCTCATCTTGCGTGAAAGTCTCATCTTGTAATATGCATCTAATCTCACCAGCAAGTAGCAGCTTGGAGATATGCTCAGAGGTTCAGAGGTATCAGGCCGGCTGTTGGGGTGGACATGCCTGTTGACTGAGTGTTAAAGTGGTTGTGAAAGTATAATATGAACTTTGCGGATTCCAAGTGCAATTTATCTGAATGTCATCTCGCAGGACACGTACTGTTTGCGGGATCGCCAACTCGGAACAGTGCAGAGGCCAGGATAATATTGCCCAAAATGCGAACTTGCAAATTCTCCTGCAAGAGATCGTTACTTAGGGTCTTTGCGCGTCTGATCACTCCTCGTTCAAGACGGAAGTCATTTTCATCCCAGTCTTTTTGCAACAAATTGATTTCAGAATATTTTTTTTAAAAAACAAATTGACGGAGTGTATGAAGATGCCCACTCGTCTTTTGTCCTGAGTTCCTTCACATATCGGTTGATACCTCACATTTCCGTCACTGCGGTCGGAAGGATGATCGCTCGTCCTCCCATCTGACCGCACTCTTGCCATCGCCGCGAGGTAATACGTTCCCTCCACTGCTACACCGAAGACAGCTTATTCACCACAAATCACGCCATACTTGGATTACAGCATAGGCTTCAGGTCATCCGCCACCCGGAATGGTGCCTCGGTCTTGGACTTGATCTCGTCCACCGTCACGCCCTCGGAAATCTCAATGAGCGTGAGCCCGTGGGAGAAATCGACATCGAAAACACCCTGTTGCCACGTTAGAGTCTCCTCGTCCAGATTCGACATGGAAACAATAGACTTACCAGCTCCGTGATGATCCTAGACACGCAGGCCCGACCGGTCAGGGGGAAGGCACACTGCTTCATGATCTTGGGGCGGCCCTTCTTGTCGGTGTGCTCCATGGTGACGACGACCTTTGTGGCGCTGGGGTTGCTGACGAGGTCCATGGCGCCGCCGAAGCCCTTGACCTTGCCGGGCAGCATCCAGTTGGCCAGGTCGCCGGTGGCGCTGACCTGCATGGCGCCCAGGATGGTGAGGTTGATGCGGCCGGAGCGGATCATACCGAAGCTCTCCTCGCTGCCGAAGACGGCGGCGCCGGGCTTGAGCGTGACCGTCTCCTTGCCCGCGTTGATCAGGTCGGCGTCCTCGCCGCCCTTGCGCGGGTACGGGCCCAGCCCCAGGATGCCGTTCTCGCTCTGCAGCTGCACCTCGACCTCGGGCCCCACGAACCCGGGCGCCAGCATCGGCATGCCGATGCCCAGGTTGGCGTACATGCCGTTCTTGAACTCCTTGGCCGCCCGCCTCACGATGCGCTCCCGCTTGGCCGCCGTGTCGCCCGTGCCCAACGCCGCCGCGCCCTCCTCCTCGCCCGGCTCCTTGGAGAAGGTGAACTTCTCGATGCTCTTCTCCGCCGTGCTCTGGATGACGCGCTTGACGTAGATGCCCGGCAGGTGGACGGCCTCGGGCGGGATCTCGCCCGGCTCGACAATGTGCTCGGCCTCGACGATGGTCATCTTGGCGTTGCGGCCCATGGCGCCGTTGAAGTTGTTGGCGGCCAGGCGGAACTGGCAGTTGCCCAGCTTGTCGGCCTTGTAGGCCTTGACGAAGGCGTAGTCGCCGTCGATGCTGTGCTCGAGGAGGTAGCTCTTGCCGTTGAACACCTTGACGTCCTTGGGGTAGCTGTACTGGTCCGGCGTCCCGTCGGCCTTGTTCTTGAGCGGCAGGTCGCCCGTCTGCACCACCGTGCCGAACGCCGCCGGCGTGTAGAAGGCCGGGATGCCCTTCCCGCCCGACGCGCACCGCTCGGCCAGCGTGCCCTGCGGCGTCAGCTCCAGCTCCACCTCGCCCGTCAGGTACATCTGCTCGAACGTCTTGTTCTCGCCGATGTAGCTGGCGATCATCTTCTTGATCTGTTTCGTCTTGAGCAGCTTGCCCAGCCCGCTGTTGTCCGTTCCGGCGTTGTTGGACACGGCCGTCAGGCCCTTGATGGCGGGCTTCTGGAGGATCTCGTCGATGAGCGTGTCGGGAACACCACACAGCCCGAACCCTCCGCAGAGGAGGGTGGTGTTGGGCTTCATGTCCTCGAGAGCCTTGGCGGCAGACGGGTAGACTTTGTTGATCTCGAACCGCCGCGAGGTCGCCGAGAAGGCGCGGGCGAAGAGGAGGGCATGCTGTTCCGTGCCAACGCAGTCAGCTCTACCGCTTCACACATCAACAGCAAGGCTACTCGTTCTGAAGAAACACCGGGGCACGCACATTCGAGCCATACTTGGAATATGCCCTGAGGGTCCGCATACACACACCCGCGGACGGCATCGTCGCGTCGCCTGGCCGGTCTTTGGGATCGTTCGAGGGCTACGAGTGAGGGGATGACCTTCCAGTCCGTATATGGAAGCAGCACGAGGCAGGAAGACAGCAAGACAGCAAGACAAGAAGACGAAGACGCTTCCAGGGGATGTTGGCAAGTGCAGTGCGGTAACCGACGACAGCGGGTGTGTCTGAGCAAGGCGGATCCACACAGTCACAGAGTCTCCAAGATCTTGAAGATTGAGAAGGAAAGGGGGCCAGTTTGACTGAGTCGAAGTTGAAGACAGGAATGACTTGCTCTCCGGTCCGGTAGACCACCCAGGCTCACTTAGCCGACGATCCAAGAGTTCCCGATGTCGCCAAGCAGCTTCACCATGATCCTGTCCGGAAAGCAGCGGCCGGCTTGTTCCCCAGGTTCCAGCTCGACCTCTCCCCCACCTCGGGTGCCATCAGTCGGAGTCGGGAGCCTTCCTCGGCACTACTGCAGCCCGGGGGTAAGAATTGACCCGCCACTTTCCGCGGAACCAAAGGGTGGCTTTGGCTTCACCCGAGGGTCGGCAGCGGGCAGCTTCCGCCTCGTCGGATGAATGTTTTTGCAACACACTGTTGACATGACTGCTTTGCAACGTCGTGAGCGCCTTTTCGTCGTACAAGTCGGCACAGACAGGTCAACTGACAACTGACAAATGATGGTCGATCCTGCACACTTGCCATGCCCTGCCTGTCCTTGGACTGTAAAACGCTGTGGATGATGCGGCGCCTGTCACCAGAAGCTCGGCTTGTTACTATACACATCAAAGCGAAATGAGGACAAATACAGGTCTAATGGTTTGTTGCCTGAGCAAGATACCCGCCGTTTCCAGCCCTGGTAATGCAATGCCACGTGCAAGCCACGACTCCGGATGGTCCCGACGTCTGCGTAAAAAAGTGTAAAACATCCATGTCCCTTCTAATTATCATGACGGTCCATATCCCGTGTGATGCGTTTCTGTCTGTACATTTGCACGCTGCCGCCCCTTGACCATTCGCCATAACCGTCAACGCCCTCACCAGCACGCTGGTCCCGGTCTGGAGAGGTACAGTGCACTTGCTCTGCTCTGCCCAGACTTTCCTGCGATGGCCGGTCCATAGTTGGTTCTTCGATGCCATAATTTCACGATGCTAGGTCAATGTCCTCTGTCATTCGCGAGTTTGTCCCGAACCCTCCCTGTTAGTCTGTCACTGTGAAGGGTTTCGAGGGAGGGAAGCGGTCTAATCATCCGCTTCGTGGAATTCTCACCGCAAAGCCCGAGTCTATCGTTGACCGCTGTTGCTGGCTGTTGCGGGTCCGGGGGCGTGAAGGTCGACATTGAACTTCCACTTGCCTATAAGGACGGTCAGCGCCATGTTCCATCCACTACGCAAGTTGTCAACGAGGTGACTTACCGTTCGCAAGGTTCTCGGCGGTGTCATCTAGGAGAATGACTCGTCTCTTGTTACAATATGCAGTCTTGTCCATGATCTCGACCTTCAGTTTCGGGTCGGACAGCTCTGGGATAGGCTTCTCAAACATCTCCGACAACGCCTCGACTGCCATCTCCAGGTCCTTCTGGTTGTCTTCGAAGATCTCAGTAAGATTGTTGCGGGCGAGGTAGAAGGCAAAGGCATAGGTCCACTTGAGTGTTTGCCGGCAGGTCTGAAGAGCCTGTGACGCGGAGTTCAGGTATTGCACCTCGATCCAGGACATGCCTGACGCCGTTTGTAGCTGGATCATCTTCTTCTCCGTCTTTTGATAGATGTCCTTGTCTAGGCGTGCGGATTGCTCATGGTTGGCATACCTGTTGTAGTAGTGCAGGTACCGCTCAAGTGACACACGCGACTTGGCTTGAGCATCGCGTGCATCGGTGCCACTCTTCTCCTCGAACCGATTGCAGTTGTACCAGCTGGTACCATGCTCCGACCACAGGCCCATGCACATCCAGCAGAACTCATACTTGCACTTCCTGCATGTCATGTGGTTGCAACCGCCGTTCTTCTCAATGGTGGAGTTGCATTTGGGGCACTCCTTGGTGTTTGCGGAAATCCAATTGGCGGTCTCGCTATCGTCAGCACACTTCTTGAGCCACCGCTTAACCAATTCGCAAGGTGCAGGTTGGTGGTCGTTGAGGATGCAGCCAAAGCAGAAGCGGTGGCCACAAGAGCAGGCAACAGTAGGCACGACCTTGTCCAGGTCCTTCTTCTTGATGCCACAATTTATGGCGTTTTCGCAATCAGGGGCAGGACACCACTTCAGCGTGCTGCTATCCTCCACGTACGTCCTGTTCAGGAGCTGTCGATATCGGTTCTGCAGGTCCTGGGCGACCAGTATGTCCAGGGATCGAGCGTCGAGGATTCGATGGCAACCATCCGATGGGCACTGTATCCGTGCAGCCTCGCCCTCCTCACGAATCTTCTGTGTCAGGTAGTGTTGATAGCAATCCACACAGTAGCGGTGGCCACACTTCATGGCAAACGTTTGAAGGTCGTCGTCGTCCTCGCAGCATATCTCGCACATGAAGCCCGGCCTGGCCTCGAGCTGCGGGCCTGCACTGGAACCGGGCCCAAGCCCAGCAGCCTCGAGGACCTTCCTGGGCTTGTCCATGTAGTCGTCGATCAGTCTCTCCTTGTTCCAGCGGAAGTAGCGAAGCAGTATGGCTGCATCCTCCTTGGACAGCTCGAGGATCATGTTCACCTCGTCGATCAGCTCGTCCTGCTGCCTCTGGATGTCTTGTGGCTCGTAGACCTTGTACGTCAAGTCATACGAGACTTTTTTCTTCGGACTGAAGTCGCTCTGGCCGGGTAGTTCGGTGTCGGGCTCCTCCTCGAAATCGAAACCTGTAGGCGAGTGGGGTTAGTCAGCTGGTCCCAGCCGGGATGCGAGGTCAGACGAGGAAGGGGCTGAGGTTCGAGCGTACCATCATCAGCAGAGTTGTCGCTTTCATCCTGCAGGACGTCGTCGTCGCTGGAGAGGTTGGAGAGCATGTCATCGTCCGAGTCCATGTTGGTGGAGGCGGTGGTGACTGGAGTTGGGGGAGAGCCTTGTGTCGGATGGGCAGCTGCGGCAGAAGTCCTCTTGTTGGGATGGAGGTCCTTGTTTGTCGAGGATAACTTCGCCTCAGCCGCCTTTCTCTTGCGAGATTTAGGAGGAATGGTGACGGGCGACTCGGAGGCAAAGACCCGAGTCTTGCTGCTCCGACGCTGGGTTATTGTGGGGTCCTGACGAGAGAGGATGGGACGAGATGGGTTGGGCTAGGTTGCGAGGGAGGTCGGTGGGGGTCGAAGCAGCCTGAGCAGTATCGCGTAGAGAGGTATGCAGGCAGGCGGGCAGGCGGGCAGGCGGGCAGGCGGGCAGGCGGGCAGGCGGGGAGGCAGGCAGGAGGGAGGGTGAGGTGTGGATGGGATCGACACGAGGCGATGGTTGTGATGGCGGTCGTGGATGGTCACTGTGGTGGTCACTGTGGTGGTCTGGACAGAATCGGTTGGAGATGGGATGGGCCAGCTGGGTGCAGGCGGCCTATGTGACCAGTCAAGACCCGTGTCATACGCCTGATAGACCAGAATAATGGTCTAATGAGGGGCAAGGTTACCGTACCAAACGAGCAAACGAGAAATGGGAATAGGGAGACGGAGACGGACCAGTGAACAGTCATTGACGGCCCGGAGTTGGAAGTGGTAGCAAGTAAGCAGGGTGTAACAGAGGTGGGCGATAGGGAGGGACCGAGAGGCAGGCTGCAGGCGCCGATAATGGTGCCGGTTGTGACTGCACTCCTGCTGCGCAGCCGCAGCCGCAGCCGCAGCCGCAGCCGCAGCCGCAGCGACGTTGGAAGCTGAGCAGGGGGTACATTCAGGTACCTAGTGTTTCTACCTGACCAACCTGCATGCATACGTACATGGTAGAAGGGAAGTCTTTAGTTTAGGACCAATGTTGGTAGTGCAAAGACCTGTGGCCGGGTGAGAAGTTGAGCAAGAGGCACAGCTGCTGGACCGAGGTCAAGAGCACGAGAGCTGTTGGGCGGGAGGGAGCCTCGAGCCTCGAGCCACTCCAGAGCAGGCCGGAACTGAGGGCTTGCCACCCTAGCAAAACCATTTCGACTGCCTTCTGGCCTTTTCCCTTGTACTCATACTCCTAAAAGGTCCTGAATCCTATCCACCTCGCGCCTCCGTAGAAAGTATATACCTATCTATCTAGTAGTCTGTTCCTCTCTGGCCTGACGGGTTGAACGCTATGTACGACACCGGGTGGATCAATCCAGCAGGCAGACACCGCGAGAAGACGTGACCAGGACAGGACATCGGTATGACCTCTTAGCCAACCTGCACCTGCTCCCTTGATGCTTACCTACTCCTCTTGGGCATTTTGGCCGGCAAGGAGGAAGGGAGCGAACGAGTGTAAAAGACTCGCTTCTGGACGGGCATTCCGTCTGAGACTACCACCATAGTAATGGCCACTGGCTGCAGGGGTGTTGCGGTGATGTCATCAGAACGACAGGCTAGGAAGGCCCGACCCGTCCGTCAATTGCTCCAGGTCCAAACAAGCTGGAGGCTGGGCATTCTTATGGATGTCTTGAGCTCGCATCACGCCCAATCCTTGGCCTCGTGACCATTGACCCATCCATCAGCAGACAGACAAACACCCAAAAACAGACAACCACCTGACCCCATTACAACTGTGTACAATGGCATTCAGAGCGTCCCTTCGTCCCATGGCCCTAGCGGCCCGCTCCGGCATTGCCTCCACCGTTGTTAGGACCGCCAGGGCCTTCCACTCGACACCCCCCGCCGCACCGGTCAAGGTCGGCGACAGCGTCCCCTACCTGGACGTCCTCAGAGAGGGCTCTCCCGCAAATACCGTTAACTTGGGCCGAGGAACTCTCCGCCGGGGATGGCATCATAATCGGTGTTCCGGGGGAGCCTTCAGGATGTTTGTTCCCGTCCTGGCCTCCCAGCCGTGCCGTGTTCATGTAGGCTGATGGTGCTGCACGGGGGCCCCGGGTGCTCTCTCAGAAGCACATTCCCCAGCTACCTCGCCCCATCCAGGGCCTCAAGGGTGCTGGCCAACGTCTTTTGTCGTCAGCGTCAATGATCCCTTGATAGAATCTGGGGCCATCGACAAGGCTGAGGACAGAGACTTTTCCCCTAAATTTTCGGGACATCCCGCCACGCCACACCATTTTCTGAGCGCGGAGCGCCGTCACTCACAGCGGAGCGTCACCCACCACCCTCCCTGCCACCATTCCCTGAGCGGGGCGATTTCACTTTTAAGTGAGCGCAGTAATCAGAGCGTCACGCATCATTTGTGGTGATGATGATAATAATGAAGAAAACGGAGATTCGCAGAGCAAAAAAGAGAGGGTATACAGGTACATGTTGCTGCCAATGTACGGTCAATGCCCTGCCACCAAATTAATATGGGGCAACGTTACCTTGCTCTTAACAGCTCTATAATATATTAAGAGTAGCTAATTTATCCCTTTTTATACCCTTTAAAGCTGCAAATCGCTTAATTATACTTAATTATATAATGTTTTAATGCTTAACATAATTTATTAATAAATAATAAATATTAATAAATAATAAATTTTTACAAGTTTATTTAACTTTAATTAATATAAATATAATATAAATTTAAAATAAATAATTTTAATAAAAAATTTATATTTTATATTAAATAACATTAATTATATTATTAAAAATATAATTTATTATAAATTATTAAAATAAATTTATTTATATTATTTAATATTAATTAAGCTAAATTTATTATAATATAATTAAAATTTAATTAAATCTTTCTTTATTTTTTTTATAAGTTTTTATATTATATTTAATCTTATTATAATTATTGTATTATTATTTAATTAATTTATTATAAATTACTTTCTTAATATTATTATTTATTTTATTAATTTATTACTTTTCTTTTTATATTTCTTAAATAAAAGCTTATAATTTCTTAATTATAAGTATTTTTTAAATTATATTTAAGTTTTTTTAGCTTTTTAATATTTAAAAAATATTATAATGTGGTTTACCACTAAGTGGCGGATATCATTAAATAGCGGAGTTTTCTAACTTTACTTAATTTTTATTAATTATAATATTACGTTAAGGCAAATAAATTAATAAAAAGTTAGCATTAATTAATGCTAACTATATTTAATTCCTTATTTTTAATTAATTTCATTAATTTAAAGGGGCTGGAGGTAGTATAGTGTAATTAGAAATTATTAAGGTTTTAATAGGATAGGCTGTTTTTAGTGCTAATTGCATTCTTAATTTTCGCATTAATTTTGCATTAATCCACCTACTTAAACATTTAATATATAAGAAATTAACAATAAAGATATATATTCTTTATTTAAAGAAAATAAAATATTTTTAACTATTTAAGCTATTTAATACTTTAAAAAAAATTGCATTAAACCCCTACTTATAGCTTAAGCTATTAAGATCTTTAATATCCCTAAAACAACTTTACGCTGCAAAATAAATTAATAATGCAGTCTTAAAGAATTATGCATTAAATAACATAAACTTAATTTAATTAAAGAGTAAACGCTTATTTAATACATTATTAATTAAAATGCTTAAGGATTCCCTTTATAATTTTTTCGTGTGGAAGATATAGCTAACTTTTTGCTAGCATTTTAAGATAATAAGCTTATAGGTAAGTATTGGGCTTAACGCTTTATAGATTTATAACTTAGCTTAAAGATTAAGTTTAACCATTTTTATAACTTATTAAATCCAACCAACAGTAAATATACCATTATTAAACGGTCCTATGATAAATTCATTATAAATTCATTAAGAAACGGTAATTTACCGGCACTTTATTATAAATTTATAGTAAATGCTTAATGCACTAAGATTTATAAGTTAAAACTAGCCCCCTGCTTTAAGCTAAAATCTTAAAATAAAAAAAAAAGATATTATTATATTAATTATTAAAGTTAATTATAAATAAATATATAATATAAGGATTTTATTATATAATATATAAAGAATTTAATAATTAAGAGTTTTATTACTTTATGCTATAGTAAAATAGCTAAAGAAATTAATATTAAGACTTAAAATGCATTCTTTATTAAGTTAAAGAAGTAGCATAATTAAAATTATAAATTTAACCTTTAAGTTAAGATTTATAAATTTAAATAATATATTTATAATTAAGCAAAACTCTTATTAAAACTATAAAAACTCAATATTTACTTATGGAAATACATTAAAATAATTATAGCCGTTTAAGGTGTAATTTTTTAAATAATTAGCAATTTTAATATTAAATTAAATACATTTAAAGTTATTTAAGAAAAGAGATAAAATTAATGGTAATTATTTAATTTAATTAAAGCTAGCCTAAAGATATATAATTTTAATTTATAAGGATATAAAATGAATAAGCTGGAATATATTAAAGAATAAATCGCCGTTTAAAAGCTATATAAATAGGTGCTTTAAATAATTGCCCTTAGTTATAAGTTTAACTGCTATTTATTTAATATATTGCTTTAATAATAATATTTAAATTTATAATAAAAATATAAATTATTTAAAGCAAATAATTAGCTATAAATAAGAATAATTTATAAGAATGCTTTAAAATTATTAAGGAATTTAAAGAAAACCTTAGCTTAAATTAATAAATAAGAAGCTATAATATTTAAAGCTACTTAATAAGGAATTATAAAAGTAGGATAAATCATTTTATAAGTTTTAAACTTCTTATAAGTTATATAAAGCATTTTACTTATATAAGTAATTATATTTTAATAAATAAAAAAATAAAAAATAGTAAATAAGAACTTTAAATTTTGGGAAGTTAGGAATCTCCTTTATAAGGAATTGTAAGCTTTAAGCATATAATATAAATCTGTAAAAACTGTAAAAGGAGCATAGGCAATTACTTATAATGGCTTAAAAGATTATAATAATAAAGAAGATGCTTATATTATTAAGGAAAAAAGCTTATATTAAAGAGGCTTGGATAAATTTAA